TTCCCCATAGAAAGTACTCCAGATTGGATTATTTCTTTATGACTAACACCGATAGACATAGAATCCTCAGATGTAAAATAGGAGTAAGAGATATATCAGACCACGCAGGGATCTACCTATCTATACATCTAGAGACTGAAATAAAACAAACTAGCTGGAAGTTGAATACAAGCTTGTTAAATGATCCCCAATGTATACAATTCATAAATGACGAGTATAAAAGCTATTGTGAACTAAATGATAATGAAGAGGTATCCCCTAGTATTGTATGGGATGCATCGAAGGCAGTAATAAGAGGAAAATTGATCAAGTGGTCCTCGAACAAAAAGAAAAAGAAACATAAACGAATGAATGAGTTATTAGCCAAATTAAAGAACTTAGAGACTAAGCACGCCACCGTTAAGGATCTACGAATATTGGAAGAGATTAATTTAACAACACGGGAATTAAATGATATATATGACAGACAGGAGGAATTAAACGCTAGATTTGTCAAGCAAAAATACTATGATTATGGCCCTAGGGCAAAGAAATTATTGGCTTGGAGAACTAAAAAACAGAATGAAGAAAGAGGAATTTATTGTATTAAAGATGAAGAGACTCAAATGCTGTGTTATACTGCTAAAGAGATACAAAACTCATTTGTAAACTATTACAAAACACTATACTCGCAGACCCGAGGGGTCGACCCTCTTCATATTAAGAAATTTTTACATTCTTTGGACCTACCTAACATTGGGAGGGAACAAAATAAAAAACTAATGCAACAGATTACTAAACAAGAACTGGATAAAGCCATTGCAAAGACAAAAACAAATAAAATGCCGGGTACGGATGGTTATACATCAGAATATTACAAAATCTTTAGAGATCTGCTCTCGCCACTATTATTGAACTGTTTCAACTATGTTTTAGAGGGAGGGGAGCCACCACCATCCTGGAGACAGGCAATAATCTCAGTGATCCCGAAGGGGGGTAAGGACAGAAGGCACTGCAGCTCATATCGACCAATTTCAATTTTAAATATGGATTATAGACTTTTCACCTCGATAATAGCAGACAGACTCAAAAATATAATACCTGAAATTATTGATGAGGATCAGACAGGATTTCTCAAGAACAGACAGATTCAAGACAGCGTAAGACGAACCCTACATATATTAGATTATATGAATAAAACCCCAAGCAAGTCAGTTGTCCTGAGCCTGGATGCGGAAAAAGCCTTTGATTCTGTCCGATGGGAATACCTTTTTCTGGCTATGGAACGATTTGGGTTCGTAGATTCTTTCATTCAGATGATTAGGAACCTATACTATCAACCCTCAGCGAGAATAAAAATAAATGGGAGTTTAACTGAAGCGGTGGGACTGGAAAGAGGTTGTCGACAGGGATGCCCGCTCAGCCCAGCCTTATTCGCCTTATTTATTGAACCACTAGCACAAGCCATTAGGGAGGACGACCAAATTAGGGGGATGAGGATAGGGAGGACAGAATACAAGATAGGTCTCTACGCAGACGATGTTCTACTGACTCTCGGGGACCCAGAAAAAAGTCTGCCCAATCTATTGACAAAGATGGAAATGTTTGGCGAACTCTCTGGATATAAAATAAACATCCAAAAAACTCAAGTGATTACATATAATTACACACCTACGGCAAGGATCAAAAACATATCCAAATTTAATTGGAACAATGAAATAATTACATATCTTGGTATTAAGATCCCCAAAACACTGACAGACATCTATGAAATAAATTACTCACCAATTACAAGGGAGCTAAAAGAAAACATTAAAAGATGGAGCATACTGCCACTTGACTTATATAATAGAATCAACATGATCAAAATGAATATATTGCCTCGACTTCTTTTCCTCTTTCAATCTATACCGGTTCATATACAAGCCAAACAATTTGCACTATGGAACAGAATGCTCTCGAGATTTATATGGAAGGGCCGCAAACCTAGAGTTAAATACACAACACTACAACTGCCTAGGGAGAAGGGTGGACTCTCCCTCCCAAACTTAGAAAGTTATTTTATAGCAGCACAATTAAGATATTTACTCTATTGGTGTGACCCATTGTATGTGGCAAAATGGAAAGATTTAGATATGACACAATTAAAATTACCACTACAGACAATATTAGGAGATAAAAAATTATATCTGGAAAAGGAAAAAAATTTTAAATGAATGGACTAAAACACCTTTAAAGATATGGTTTGACGAATGTGAGAAACATAAATCAGAAACCAACATAAAACAACTTAGATGGGTCAAAAGCGATAGGGAATTCTCCCCGGCACAAATAGATGGCCGCTACGCGGCATGGTCGACAAAAGGGATCGGACCATTTTGCTCAATAGCAGGGAGGGATGGACTACATAGTTTTGACAAATTAAGGGACACATATGGTTTGGAAAACCTGGATTTTTTTAGATATCTCCAGGTCAGGTCTTATTACAACAGTAACATAAAAAACACGGAAGAACAGAGAGACGGCCTAGTCTCCCTTATAAAAGAGGCATATCAAAGTAAGATTAAAAACAAACAAATTACTAAACTTTATCAGAATCTACAATCACTCAAAGACCAATCAACTAATTATATAAAAATTAAATGGGAAAGGGAAGCACAAATCACCATATCGGATGAAAGCTGGGCAACTATATGTGAAACACAGAGGAAAACTACCAGTTCGGGTTACTGGAGGGAATTCACTTGGAAAATTTTTATCAGGTTCTTTATAACCCCTAAAATAAAATGCAAACAGAGAGGCCAACAGAGAGAAGGACATTGCTGGAGACAATGTGGGGAAAACATGGCAGACCACTTCCATATTTTTTGGAAATGCCCGGTAATTCAGCCATATTGGAGGGAGATGGTCGACACAATGACAGTCGTGACGGGTTGTGAGGTAGTTAAGGATTTCTGTACTGTTTACCTGGGTGATATCCCATCAGTAGTCCCCACAAGAGACAAATATTTAATGAATATCATGTTGGCAGCAGGCAAAAAAGCGCTTACCAGGAAATGGCTAGAGAAGAATGCCCCAACAAGTAAAGACTGGCAGGGAATAATCGAGGAAATATATAAGATGGAAAAACTGACAGCCCTTTTGAACCTTAAATTAGATCGTTTTCATAAGAATTGGGAGAAATGGGAGAGATTTACTCACAGCAACAGCACACAATGATGGAGGGCAGGTTGTATAACTAAGATTTAGCCTACTCGCAAATGTTTACTGGATGTGGAAGAGCCTGTTGTGGATACAAACACTTTATAATGGACTGGAAACACCCGGTAAGAACAACGTCAGAGGCGGAACATTAAGGGCTACATAGACCCCGACATATGGACAAAACCAGAGGTCATGGGACTCTGAAGAGAAGAGAGGATGGCTTGCCCGGAACAGGGCGGACCCGACGGTTCCACTGTGCCAACTGTTATTGTTATTGTTATTGTTGGTATATGTTTTATGTACCTTAACAAAACTTTCAATAAAAAGAAAATAAAAAAAAAATAAAAAAAAAAAGAAAATGATAAAGTACACATTCTGGACAGAGAAGATAGATGGGGAGAGGAGTAAAAGAAGCTATCTATGTCAAACGTGAAAAAACCCACTTTAAATAGGGGAGGGGCTTAGATTTCACCTTTCCAGTTCCTATAATGCAGCTTTGGTTCTCATTCCTAATCAGCTTCAGTCTAGGTCACACCTTCCTGCATCTAATCAACACGACTCCCTCTCAATAGAGGCCAACGACTCATCAGGAGGTAGACAGTTGTCTTCATTTGAACCCTTTGGGTGATCCAACATCGGAAAAACAATACAAATCTAAGGAAAACTCCGATCTCATCAATGTGGTCGTCTTTTCAGGTTGAGACTTATCCAGTTTACTCAGAAAATGACTTGCGCTGCAGCCTCACGACAACTTCATCTCTTCTAAAGTAGCTGGTCTGCATCAGCAGACAGTACGGAAAAACACAGACAACACTGCTGCTTTTAGGTTTCAACAAACCAAAGAACGTGTTTCTGGTTATCATAACTTTCTCTGAACAGCGTTAGTTCTTGGATCAAAATCCAGGATCATTTAACCCTTTGGGCCCTGGCGCCTCCAAATTGGGGGCCTTTGGAGCTTCATGCCCCAAGTGTCAGTGATTGTTTGCATTCCCCGAGCACCGCTACAGCTACAATCGAAACAGTTTAGATAGTAAACAAAGCAATTTTTGGATTTTGATACATTAAGATAAAATAATACTTTATTTCAGAAAAGCTGCCCTGTGTGAAAGTGCTGACAGGATGGAGGTTGTGAGTTCAAATTCCATTTAGGAAATGTAGTCTATTGTTTTATTTATTCCAGGGGTCCTCAGCTACATTTGTTCAAGATTTTTTTCCCAGCAGACACCAGAGAAGGTCAGATCTCTTCTAAAATAAAGTTCAAACATCATTGTATCTTAATTTATTACTATTTTAAATGGCCTTGTTTCCCATCTGGGCTGTTTGATTGTGGCACAGGAGCTAAGTGCTCGCCCGTAATCAGAAGGTTGCAGGTTCGAGCCCCGCTCAGTCTGTCGCTGTCGTTGTGTCCTTGGGCAAGACACTTAACCCACGTTGCCTGCTGGTGGTGGTCGGAGGGACCGGTGGCGCCAGTGCTCGGCAGCCTCGCCTCTGTCAGTGCGCCCCAGGGCAGCTGTGGCTACATTGTAGCTCATCCCCACCAGGGTGTGAATGTGTGTGTGAATGGGTGAATGGCTGATTGTGTTGTAAAGCACCTTGGGGGGTTACAGGACTAGAAGGCGCTATATCAAATACAGGCCATTTACCATTTAGTTGTGCTTGGAGAATGTGGACGGTTGTAGATGTTTGGGACATGAAACTGTAGAGGCCCCCAATTGGGGGGGGGGGGGGGGGGGGGTTAGACAGGTTATCTGTGTTTACTGGCAACAAAAGATCAAAACTGTGTAAAAAAAAAGTGAAATTGATCATATTTTACTTACAGTCAGCTATAAGTATTCTTCTGTTTTGGCACCGAATAAATGTCCAGTAGTATTCCCAACCTTGTCTGCACCCTATAGGTATTGTGTTTCCTTCCTTGATCTTTTTAATGTCATATTGGCCAGAACCATAATGCTGAGCAGGATCAAACATACAGTCTGAAACTTCTGCAAACCAACAGAAAATAACAAAATCAGAACATATTCAATGATATGATAAGCATTTGGACCGAAATGAGTTGCAACTTGTTTGCAGACGTCTGATTGTAACCATGTGGTGTTACTACAACCACATCTGACCCGTGCATGAAGGTCCTTGAATCCAGGTTCCAGCTCTGCAGGTGATGGATTTCTCAGCGTTCTGCGGATCTGTGTCGTGTCCTTCTTCACACTGGTAATGCAGTTTAGAATGATCAGGATACACTTCCTGGGGTTTCTGGTGAACGATGACTGCATTGGGGATCTTAGGAGGTTTGTCACAAGCAGAACTCTTCTCTGTTAAAAAGAACAATGATTGTTGAAGACAAAGAGAGAAAACAGAGTTTAGAGTTGGTTCTGTTTGTTCTGACCAGAACGTCTGATGTACTTACTCTCACAGACAAGCAGAAGAGACCATTTCCCGTTTGTACAACGGATAACGGAGGAGCTGCGCCTGGTTAGATATCCTGAGTTACACGATACTGTAATCCTTTGACCGTTTTCATACCAGCTCCTCTGACCCTGGATGTATCCGTTTGGGATGGTTGGTGGAAGGCAGGAGGCTTTAGCTGACAAACAGGAGAATCAGCTGATTAGTTCGACACGACCTTTAGTAACCTTGTGTAAAGCTAACACTTATTTTTAACAACAGCTGTTTTCATGTCATGCATCTGGGTCGTGTGTGGTTCCGTCCACCAATCAGACAAACCAGGTCTCAGTCTCACAATACGAGCGTCTGGTGGTCCAAACTAGTTTATATCAGATCTGTTCAAATGAAAAGGGAACCGACGGAGTTCACAACATTTATTGTACATTTTTATGTGTTTTTCTTTTTAAAAAATGTTTTTTCTCAGTGGAGACTCCTGTCACGTGGAGGTGTGGGTGGCGGCGGACCATGAGTGGTGGAGCTGACCCGGAGGCAGGAATGCAGGCACGGATAACATAAACATGGATTTAATGGCAGCGGATACGGCAGGAAACAACAAGACACAACGATGACCCGACAAGGGACACATGACGACGGGAGGTATAAATACACGGGGAACAATCAGGAACACACGGGCAGGTTAACAAGGGGCAGGAGAGAGTTGGAGTCAGAGGGAGGTAGGAGCAGATCCTGACAACTCCTGATGTTTCTTGTTTGTCTCTGTTCTCGACTGCTGAGTGGGCACCAAACACCTGGGCTCAATGTTCCCGTCTGACTACACCTGCTCCTCCTACCTGTAGATGCCGACTAGGCGGTCTCATGACAGGGTTTAGTTTATTGATGGTTTAAGTTACTACATAAAACTCTTGGTTTATTTACTTGAATTTACTCCTCAGTTTTGATTGTTTAAATCTGTGTTTCTACTTTCTATGACGAAGTTGCGAAGAGAACCTGCAGAAACATTCTCACAGTGAAACAAACACCTGAATTCTTACCAATGCACCGAGGTTCAGGAGACCACTTTCCATTTAGACACACGCTTGTTGCCCACCAGCCCTCCGCCAGCGGTTTATGATCCACATCGCAGGAAAAGGCCAGTGAGGATTTAGGAGCATACTCCAACTTTTCAGGAACAAAGTAGCCCCCGCTGAGGACCGGAGGAAAACAAGACTGAGCCGTTTCTGGCTCTAGAATAAAGATAAACAACAAGTGGCTGACGCTAAAGGCTTGCTTTAATGTTGAATAACAACCATTTTAGTTGTGAAGAGTTTAGGATTAAGATTTTTTTACCTGGAAGCAGAACCAGAAGCAACAATCCCAGGTACCTCACAGACATTTTGTTAGGAATAAAGACGTTGCTGAACAGATCACAGTAGAAATCCTAAATCTGGTCAGAATTTGTTAATCATTAGTTAGAGAACTCGAAACAGCGATTTGTTTTGTTTGCAGTCCAGATTTCAACATGATTTCCCGGACAGATGCGCTCCAAGGTCAGCGTTGTTACCAAACAGCTCAGTTTCACAGTGTTTGTCTCAAATTCTTCTTCATCACTTTTGTCCAAACTTTGTCTCATTTTCTGGTTGACCAACAAAAATAAACCTAAACGTACATCGACACCATTAAAACATGCTGCCGTGTTCATCCATTAATAATTCTTAAGGATATTTACTGTTAAAACATAAAAGTTTGCAGAAGAAAGATCATAAGATTATCTACTTTAAAGGGAATTTATGGAGTTTTGAATTTTTATGCTTTTTATGCCCCTTCAGGCCAAAAGCGTAACGGCAGCTTCAGGCCCTGTCCACACGTAGCCGGGGATCTGCCAAAACGTAGATATTTTTCTACGTTTTGGCCTGTCACCCACACGAAAACGCAGATTTTTCACACGAAAACGGATCTTTTTAAAAACTCCGGCCAAAGTGAAGATCTGCGTTTTCTCCGTTTTGGGTGTCTGCGTGTGGACGGACAAAACCGGAGTTTTAAGGTCCGCAACGTCACTTTCCGGGACAAAAAAATGCTGACATCACGTGTGCGACCTGTGTTTACACTAGCCGACAGCATGGATGCCCTCAGAGCTGCGCTCGCTTTATCAATTGTCCAAGCGCTTTCTGCTTGTTTGTTTTTGCAAGTGGAATTACTGCTCCTTGTGGAAGACCACAGACGAAGGACGAGGTTAAGAACGGGGGAAGTACTGCCGCCTACAGGTCTGGCATGTCCTTAACAACGTATTTATCCGGGTACGTGTGGACAGAGTTTTTTTTAAACGAGGTGGTGTGGATGCAAGTTTTTGGAGGGGTGGATATTCGTTTTTAAAAAACCCGGCTACGTGTGGACTAGACCCAAGTCAAAGTCTCTCTGCAACGCTGCAAGTGGTTACAGACACAACAGCACTTTTAAGAGCCTCTCCACACCTCAGACAGACATCTAATCTGCAGGCCATGGTTGCACCTCATGCTGTTACAACCAAAGGTTGTAAGTTGTTTTAGTCAAGGAAATGCTTTGTATATTAATGTTTCTTAGTGCTGGTGCCCACATCTGATTGGTGAACCAGTGTCCTGATTGGATAATTAATGGGAGCAGACCTTTAAGAGGGATGTCAACACCACCTGCCGCTGATCCTCATTCTCTGCTCATCCCAACCTGCCACCATCCACTTAGTGTCCTGTGTTGAGTGCTGTGTAAAAGACCTGTTTTTAAAACATGTGGAAAGTAGGGGTGAACCTGCCATTTAATTTCTTCATTCCGTTTTCTCCTGTGTTTGTAATCAGGGAGGTAAGTTTGGTTGTATTTCTTTTAATTTTATTTTGTAGGTAAGATAATTATTTAAGTTAGGGGTGTTTTGTTTGTTGTTTTGGCCTTTGGTTCACCCTGAGTTATTTATCCTCCCTTGCGTTCAGTTAAAATAAAACTTGTAAATAAATATCCTGGTATATAAGTCAAACTGTGGTGTGGTACTTGGGATCTGTGGAAAATGGGAATCCACCTTCATGTTGTGGCCTGGCCCCTCCTAGATGGGTTCTAACGCATGGCCGGTGAAAGCTAAATTCAAGGGGAGCTACGACTGTTTGGGTTCACGTGGTCTCGTCGTCCGGTGACTCACCACTCGGGCCGCGATTCCTCCGGACCGCCGGGAGTGACGCATACAAGGGTATCGTAAACTTGGCACAGATTGCGTCTGACAGTTTTATAAACAGATCTCTAGTTTACAAACATACAGCCAAATTGATCTTACAACTCAGACTCCACAAAATTTCTCAGATACTTAAGAACGGTTTTGCTAAAACATCTAGCTTCCCTCCTCCTTGAACCGTCACCTTATCGTGGTGGAGGAGTTTGAGTGCCCTAATGATCCTAGGAGCTATGCTGTCTGGGGCACTTTGTGCCCCTGGTAGGGTCTCCCATGACAAATGGGTCTTAGGTGAAGGGTGAGACAAAGAACGGTTCAGAAGATCTTTCATGGACGTAAAATCAAAGAATCGTAGTACCCGGCCCGGAGGGTTACCGGGGTCCCACCCTGGAGCCAGGCCTGGGGTTGGGGCCCATGAGCAAGCGCCTGGTGGCCGGGCTTTCGCCCATGGGGCCCGGCCGGACCCAGCCCAAACCGGATACATGGGCTCATCCAACTGTTGGACGCACCACCCGCAGGAGGAACATGAAGGGTCCGGTGCAGTGTGGATCGGGTGGCAGACCGAGGCGGGAGCCTTGGCGGTCCGATCCCCGGACAAGGAATTTGGTTACTGGGACATGGAACGTCGCCTCGTTGTCGGGGAAGGAGCAGGAGCTTGTGGCAGAGGTTGAGCGGTACCAGATATAGTCGGTGTAATGTGATGAAGAAGCTATTTCGACAAGGTTATTTAATCTTTTCCACAGTCCCTTTGACGCAGTGCCAGAGTGCATGAAACAGCCTCAAGGTCATGCATTCACTTCTAAACTGTTTACGTTCCAGCAATGAAGACAGAAGAGAAGACTGCTTTCTTTTCTTTTATTAAAAACCAAAGAACTCTATTTTCAATAAAAGCTAATCAAAACAACTGTTAGTCAATAATAACCATGTGACCGATCTGTGAAATCACAATATTATGATTAATATGTTTTAATAAGTAAATGACTTATTCTACCCACTAGTCACGCTGATACATTAAGGTAAATAATCACATGACACATTGCTGTCGCATATCCAATCAGAACATTCACGCCTGAAGCGTGGCAGAGTCTCTGTGGTGTTTATTAATCTTTCAGCTGTGATTCGTCCAGAATCATAAACATCAAGATTAATAAAACAATCAAACGCCATTTTAAATTCAGTATTCAACGAGATCTCAAGATCCCCTGAAGTTCATCGCATGCCAAGTGAAGTATGGACAGGCCATCTATACTTCCCTTTTTAAGATAGAACTGCCAAGCTGGGAAATCCTGTCGTTTTCAACAGAACAACGGTTCCTTCAGAATAAAAGCTGAACCCGCTGACCCAGAGGGGGGTCCCTTTTGACGCTGTGAAACACCTGCCGCTTTTTACCTGGAGACTATCCAAAGACTGGTTTGTCGTGCTGTCGACGCTGTTTCATCGGCTCCAGTACCAGTGGAAGGTCGTGAACCTGGCACCCTGATCTGTACGGGAGTCTCACTGAAGGGTATGTGGATGCGACATAAATGGCGTCTCATGTTTATTTTATGACCACGGTTCAAATGTTGATCAGTTAGGAGCAAAACATCATCTCCCACTCAGACTCGCTTCTCCAGAACGGAGGTTCTGAACTGACATCGCACCAACACGCACCACCTCACATTTCATCCCACAACATCCATCATTAGAGAGTTTTGTTAAACTGTTTAAAATCATTTAGATAATAAATTTTCCTAAACGTTTGAAAGTCCCTCAGTTCATGCAAAGTGTTTATTTAATTTCCCTGTAATAAAAAGAACCAATCTTCTGATTTAAATAGCCCAGTGCCCATTAGATGGGACCCATACTAGATATGGATCTTTAATGTCTATGATCATTAATTAAATTGTAACTCTTTAACACTACATCGGACGCACCTCGACACATAGCACTGGCTCTGAAACCCAAGTCCTTGAGAGGAGTTGGACACTCTCCTTTGCTGGAGTTGCTCCAGGTGAGAGGCGGAGGGCTGGGGTTGGCTTTTTGTTAGCCCCAAGACTCTCTGCCTTGTGTTGGGGTGTACCCCGAGGGACGAGAGGGTAGCTTCCCTGCGCCTTCGGAATGTGAGATGTTACTAAATGTGTACACCCATAATAGTATAACATCTTAAAAAAAATAAAGCTAGTATAAAAGAAACATTCAAAAGGGAATACTAACACTGAGAACTGGCGCAGGGGCGTGTCCAGGGAGAGGTCTGGGGTAGCACATGCCACCGTTGGAATGTGATTGGCCACCCCAGGTGCCACCACACTAAAGCCTGGTTTATGCTTCTCTGTCAGCTCCGTAAGGGACAGACACGCACGGATTGACGGAAGCGTTTTGCCCTCATACTTCTCCGTCTCCTGGAGAGTGTTGCAAAGCAATTGCCCGGCAGGACAACAGAGGGCGTAGCGCTGTTCTGTGGTATCCTGTCATGTATCGGTCCAAGATAGTGTGTTTCTATTGTTTTTTGTGTATATAAGAGACTTTTGACACGGACATATTTGTCTCTCATTCTCCCACCGCTTCATGCACTCCCCACCTCTAAACCCATGTTTCCTCTCATTTCTGTCCACAAATGAAACGCTTGCTGCGCATCTTTTCACTCCTCCAGTCACGGGGAATTAAACGTTCATACTTTTAAGTTTTTTCGCGAGGTGTTCTTCAAGCTGCTCCGTGTCTGCCGCTAGTTAAACTCGGCTCTCTTTGCAATGGCGGCGCTGTAAACAACAGCGGCATCCTGACCAATCACAAGCTTGCGTAATCCATCTCGTTCAACGGATGTTTAAAAAAGTGGGCTCGACTCCGTACGTACTTGCGTGCCTGCCGGAGCCCTACGCAAGGACAGATAATGGCGTTGCGTGTCTCCGCACTGACGCAGACGGAGAAGCATAAATCAGGCTTTAGTTACCTTCAAATAGGCTTTTCATTGGGCTTGGGGGGAAAAACAAATAAAAGTACAACCATTGGTGCCACCCATGCACAAAGTTGTGTTTCATCTGGGCCACCCCATTTTAAAAGATCTGGACACGCCACTGAACTGGCGGGAGGAACCTCCACAAAGTGGTGTAAAAAAATAGACTTTCAGTTGTTTCTTAGCCTGGCAAGCCAGACTAAATAAATGTATTATTTAGTCTGACAACGCTCCATTGACGGCTCTCGGTTGTGGGGCGGGTTCCACCGTTGTCTTTCAAATGATCTCCGCATGCTACTGGACAATGAATGTGACATACTCACCGCAACAGCTATCGGTAAATGAGGCGGTCCGCAGTTGAAGGAGGAAACATCATTTTTTCTAAACAAAAGCACTTAAATACATCCATCTGCTCCTGATTCTAATGAAGCCCAAGTACTAATAGTCCAAAATTGATGTAAAAGCCGTTTCAAATGAGCTGTCGCCGTCTTGTTTCACTCTGTTGCATCATCCCACCCGCAGGCATATAGAGTGCCCTGATTGGCCCACAACGCGGATAAAGCTCTGATTTGTTCACTAAGCAGATAGAGCACTATGACTGGCCCACCATTATGGACCAATCACAGCTCTGTGTTTGAAACCCCTCTAGAGAGCTGTGATTGGCCAGCCAGAATGCTGTTGGGGCTGCAGAGGTTCCAGTGGAGCGTTGCTAGACCAAACTTTGCAAAGCAAGAATTTGGTCTCGCTCACTAGGCTAGTTGTTTCTAGTATCTGTTCTACAAATCACATCCTGTCCTGATGACTGATGAAGATCAGTCTGTTTTCCACATGAATGAGCCAAAGCTAAAGCCCTGTCATCATGCATCTAATAATTAAAACCCTTTAAAATATGAAGCCAGTTTGTTTCAGAAAAACTTTATTGTCAATTTTCATGTGGTGACTTAAAACAATAAATTCTCTCATCTACCACAACACAAACGAAAAAGAGGACAAAGTCATTCCATGACCGATAGATGAGCGCATCGTCCGAGTCTGAAGCTGACTGAGCCGGAACAGAGCAAACGTTTAAACACTAACCTGCTCAAACTGCTCTGGCTCCCACACGTTATCACGTATGTACATTCTGACCACAAACACGCCAAATAAAACACGTGATGAAGTCTCTTCCCTACATCTGCTGCTGAGGTCCAACCCAAAGCTTCTCTCCTCAGTCTGAGACGTTTTGAGCTGAAATCACAAATTCCTCCAGTAGGTTTAGGTTTCCTTTTCCACCTTTTCAATATCAAACATATTTTGGTATTTCTGTTAAACTGGTAACATTAGGGGGAAAAAAAAACAACAAAAAAGACCAAACAGCTCTGCTGTCCAGAGCAGCAGATCCAACAGGCTACACGAAGGAAGTCCTACTGGTCAAACTGGGATTCTGCTGGAGGATGGCATGATTCTTTTAGATGAGGTGGGCTGAGCAGTGCTGGAATGCTGCAGAATCGATTTGTGTGATTTTCCTAGCTGAACTCAGAACCTCAGGTGAGATTTGTGTTTCACCATGTACCTGAGAGGGGGGAGAGAGAGAGAGGGCGAGTCAATGACTCAGCATTTCTATTAAACACTAATTAAACCAAACCGCGGTTCCCTAAATTACACATACTTGTCGAGGGTTTCCCAAAAGCGCAGGAAGACGGGTCGGTCAAGATGGCGTCTGTGGCGGCTCAGCTCCAACACGGTCACGTCCCATTTCTGCACGTTGGGGTCCGTCTTTGCCTCATCGAATTTCAAATGAAAGGCTCGAACTAAAAGAGATTGATGCAGTATTAATTTTGTTGATGAAAAAAATATATATATATATTATATATATATATATATATATAAATATATATTTGTATAATATATATATATATATATATAATAAATATATATATTTATATATATATATAATATATATTATATATATATGTATATATTTATTTATTATATATATTATAAATATATATATCATTTTTTGTGACAAATGAAGTTTTGCAAATGGAAACAAATAAAAAAATAGGCCTGCTCGATTATGGCAAAAATCATATTTTTTATTATTATGATTTTTTTCACTAAAATTGAGATCTCGATTATTTAGGATGATTTTTTAATTATTGTTGATTTTACTTCATAAAAATGCACAGTGCACGATCAAAGGGAAAAATAAATGAGAAAAAGAAAGCAACAAGATAACCACCATAACAATTCCTGATTATAAAAGAGCCAATAAACTTGTTCATAGTTCATGACCCAAAGAGTTTAGGCTGAGGTTTAACTCATTTAAGCCTACCAAATACAATACAGAGCTAATTTGATAAAATTAGCTTGCATATACCGACAGCAAAAGAGGTACTAAGAGTACAGTTGTAGTAAGCAGTTATCGGATATATCTGCCCATCTGGCACGGACGGATTTAAACCCCACTGTTTGGCTGACTGGATACTCCTGAGACCAGTTAAACTGTAAGGCAGAGAGGAAAATGTTATCTCTGGCCTGCTCCAAAACAACTAATGTTATCTGAAGCTGGCTCCCCGCTTTGGCCTTGGCTTATGAAAACAAAACTCCCGTGGAATGACTACAGACAATCACTAGAGGGCGGAAGAGAGCTGCTATCAAAATGTGTTTACTGGAAAAATGCTGAAGAAGAAATGAGCTCGTCACGTGACCAAACAAATATGCTCAAATGTGTTCAAACATGAAGTGGTTAGTAAACGGCGTGAGAGCAGTTTACTCAGTTATTTCATTCTTGGAACACAATAAGCCTCACAAAGCGCTGAGCCTGGCACAACAAACTGAACCGAGACCAGCAACAGGCCAGTCAGCCATGACGCTCCTCCTTGCGTTCGACTCCTAATTTGTGTAGTAAAATAAACAAATGTCAGTGTAATTATTTATTTCAATGTAAGGAAACTAAAATGTTTTTAAAACCGTGGACTCCAGAATGAGCTTACAAGCACGCAATCGCAAGCAGCGCTGTTTCTTTGATGCCAGACGGTCCGCTGCACAACAGGTTCCAAGTCTGACGGACATTTTAGTTGTCATCCCACTCCCTCTTTACTTCTAGTTTATAAATGTAACGAGTGTGGGACTTTAGTTGTGCGTCAGAATTTTACTAAAAACTGTAGATGGAAAAAGCGTTAATATTTATAGAGTGCGGCAAATGTGTGCGTTGGGTGCGTGCGCGAGCGTGTGTGTGTGTATTGGTTGGTTTCCTGTTAACCATCAATAACCGGTTAGACATTTTGGAAAATGTGCATCCCTAGCTAAGGATTACAAGAAAATTTCTAGGTTGTTTGCTAGTTACTTTCAGGAAAAAAAAGAGTCAAGAAGGGAATCTGAAAGGTTGTTAGAAATAGCGACAAAGTGGCTAAGTTGACAAAGATGTTGAAAGGTGCGCTCCATTTGTAACATGGCGTAAACCACGGGGGAGGAGCAAATAATCGGCTCGTTTTGTTTTTATAATAGTTTAAAACCAGGACCATAATTGTGATTAAAATTCAATTAATTGAGCAGCCCTACGAATAAATAACCAACATTTTTTTTCATCGTCGTTGTTGTCCAGGAGGCATCCTGACCTGATGCCCAAACCACCTCAACTGGCTCCTTTCGATCCGGAGGAGCAGCGGTTCTACTCCGAGTCCCTCCCGAATGTCCGAGCTCCTCACCCTATCTCTAAGGCTGAGCCCGGCCACCCTACGGAGGAAACTCATTTCGGCCGCTTGTATCCGCGATCTCGTTCTTTCGGTCATTACCCAAAGCTCATGACCATAGGTGAGGATTGGGACGTAGATCGACCGGTTAATCGAGAGCCTGGCTTTCTGGCTCAGCTCCCTCTTCACAACGACAGATCGGTTCGGCGTCCGCATCACTGCAGACGCCGAACCAATCCGCCTGTCGATCTCCCGATCCCTCCTACCCTCACTCGTGAACAAGACCCCGAGATACTTAAACTCCTCCACTTGAGGTAGGACCTCTCCCCGACCCGGAGTTGGCAGAAAACGGAAAAGATGGGAGAATGGAACAACCCAATAAGCAAATGGAAAAGGTGGGATTAGAAGAGAAGAGAATCAGAGTCCGGAGCCAGCTGCTATTTTAACAAGCTACCGGTAACAGTTGAACAATTATTGTCTAAGAAAAGAAAATGCCCACGGCTGGGAGGAAAAGCATTAAATATAACCATCTGGAAAGTCTTTGCTTGGTGAGTACCCGTCTGGGGTTTCCCCTTTCTTTAAAAGTGTTACGCGGTAGCAGCGAGCGACCCCCCATGGGACATATTCTCAGTCATCCTGGACATCGTTTTAAAAGTTTTTGCTAAACAACTCGACCTATGTAGAAGACATTTAGCCTCTCAACCTACAGGCTTCTACTGATCGTGCTGCAAGTCTTTTTCTTCCTTCAGAACATGTTTTTGTCAGAATGAAGGTGTTGTTCATGGAATTAAAATGCAATACAGATTATTTCATCAAGTAAGACCTGTGGTTAGCTGGCTCATTTAAAACGTGTTAAGCTTTTGGACCCTGCCTCTTGAAAGAATCGGAATCGGGAATCAATAGGAACCGGCATCAAACCGAGAAACTGGAATCAGAACCGGAATCATTTAAATTCAAATGATGCCCAACCCAAAAAAAGACTAAAACTAAATTAAAGTTTCTTGTCAAAACGAACACTGGACTGATTAGCTAGCATGTTTATGTACAGGTAGTTCATGGTGTGGCCAGGGTCACTGCATCAGGGTTTCAGTCCAACACACTCGAGGGTGGAGGGTTAAAAGGAACATCTAGTACTCACTTTTGGCAAAAATATCAACAGGAGATCCATCAGGCAGCAGCCACGGCCAGCCCTTAAACTGCCAGGCAGGCCCCTGCACAAAGACGGCCACCACTCGATCCCTGTAGAAACACACACAGCTGTTTATTTCACTACAGAAATAAACAGCCGACTCTAGAAATCTGGTTAGAAACTGTGTAACCGCAAAGTTAACAATTGTGTTGTACCTCTGGAGGATGTATTTAAATTTAAATAACGTCTAAAACCTCAAAGACTGACATCTGAGTAGTCTCCAGGACTCCGAGCGCCACCACTAACCTGTACAGCATTCTCTGACTCAAAGACAATGAAAGAAACTTCTCACCAGTCCTGGGGGGCCAGTTTGAGCGGCTGGTCGATGACACGATAAGGAACCGTGACGTTCAGTGTGGTGCCGCCGGGTTGGACCTGATCTTTGCGCCTCTGAAGCAGGACCTCGTTGTCCCGCTGGATGCCCTGCTTTTTCTTGTCTTCTGATGTAACGAACCTGCAGTCACCAGACAGTTTCTCTCAGCTGCAGGGCACTCTTTTAAATGATTCCTAAACCTGTATGGCTCCTACACCTCTGATGGTCATGTGACTAGAGCAGATGGAACTAACGGTAAATACTGATAAATTCAACCTCTTACTTGTAGAGTACTTTGCAACAGACGTTACGACGCAGAACGGCTCGACAGCACAAACCCAACCGCAGTTTTGATAACTTTAAAGATAACTGATCTTAAACTATTTTAATAAACAGCAAACTTGACCATCGTTAATGAATTAAGAGTCTCACGAAACACTACGGCATGTCTGACACGTATAAACAATAGAGTCACTTCCCACTTCCTGTTCTCAAGTCCTGGGTGATGTTGTGACTATCGTGCGACTTTCCAAGAAGTGCTCAGCGGCGCGTCCTGTGTGACCACTGGACTTCTCCAGACTGAGGGCTGCGTAGCGCATCTGTTTCTGGTGTGCCCCAGGCTTTACGCCCCGGAACACTCCAGCTGCGCCGCGCCGCCAAGTGGATCGCTCACGAAATTCGTGCGCTGTCTGCTCCTCCACCGTTCACATCAGGAGAGAATTTTCAACAAGCGCTTCTGCTCAAGCCTACTGTTTTCCAACCCCCTCCCCATCCCACCCCCGTGCCTTTGCTGTGTGTGTGTGTGTGTGTGTGTGTGTGTGTGTGTGTAACCACACTGCTTCACCAGCTGAAAACGCTCAGCAATCTTCCTCTCCTGAGGGTGTTTAAGCCCGTCTCCAGCCTTCATTCGGGGAGACACAGTGCTAGTGTGGCTCTCCTCGGCTGTGGTTTTGCTAGCGTTAAAGCTACTGGTCTTCAGACGTACTCTGATTTAAAAGACTTTCTAGTCCTTTACGTTTCCTCTGTCTGAGGAATTTAAAGAGACTTTACGGACTTTTGAATTTTAATGCTCGAGATTGCCCCCTCAGGCCAAAAGCGTAACGGCAGCTTCAATAGTAGGCTCGTGCACGAGGCGCGCATACTGTACGTGCACACTCCTTAACGAAAATAACAGCAGAGACAGTCCCGTGTGTGTGTGTGTGTGTGTGTGTGTGTGTGTGTGTGTGTGTGTGTGTGTGGCCCGGAGGACAGAGGACAGGAGAACGTGCAGCTAATTAATTAAATAATGTGGTTCTGTAGCTTTCTCTTCAGCACAGCCGACAAAGGTTTATGATGGGTCAGTCCTCCTGCATGCTCAGATCATTCCCTTCCCTTGCTTGAAAAATTGTTCCAAAATGAAAGTTGAACCCACATCTTTTTTATCTGTGAATTCAATGCCGTTCGGCGAGTCTCAAATAAAAATTTGGGCATCTTACTGTAAAAAAAAATACCATTAATGTAAAAAAGAAACTCTAAATAAACTATGTTCACATCCAGAATCAAACCCAGGTCTTCTGCATGAGAGTCAGACATCTCACTAGGTGAGCTACACTCTTGTAGCATTCGTAGTATCTGTAACTTTTATATCCTTGATGACAGCTGAAACAACGTTCAAAGAACGGTTCGGAGTGAAAATGGCTATTTTGTTGCTAATTTGCAGGAAATATCTAGAAGAAAGTTCTACAGAAAGTAGCTAAGGGTCCTCAGAAATGTAGCTAGCTTTGTCACTAGGCGTTAGGAACAGCGACAAAGTGGCACTGCCTCTCTCTCTGCTGCTAAAGCTACTGATAGCAAATTCTACGGGCGATGCCTGAGCGTGAACGCGCATGAAGCAGCCTGCTCGACCCGAGCATCTCTCTTTTTCTGTGATTTTACAGAAAAACAGGCAATCACAGTAAAAATGCCAGGGCTCATTCTACAGGACCAGGGCATTGCAGGAGAATGTATGAAGAAGACATTTATTAGTTCTATACATGTTTTGGCTGTCACACTTCCATAATGCACCTTTAAGTTCACAGCTTCCCTATTCATGGTGCTAATCTTTAAAGTGGGTTTTCCTGTAACGGTTTAGCTTTAGTTATTTTGGTTGTTTTTTTGACTACTGGTCTTCTTCACTCCTGTTAACCAGGCAGTTGTTTTCAGTTTGCCGTTTGTAGCCCTTTTAGTTAGAAAGAGACGCCTTTTTGCTAGTAAACTGTTGTATTTAGACCTCCTCACTTCTCATTTCACCTTTGCACAAACCTTATTTTTAGTTTCACCGTTTGTCCCCTCATCCTCCTAGAAGGTCAGGGGGCACAAAACTCGTCATGAACCTCACCACAGCTCATGTTACTGCAGGAGCATTTGTTTCTCCAGTCTGTGTGGCAGCGGATCGCAGATTCAGCCAGAGAATCATAAAACAGCAGCAAGTCTGTGTGAGGCACCAGTGAACCTCATGGCCGTGGCTTTTCCAGCTTTTCCCTATAGAGACATTTGATTACACACAAGCAGGCGACTAGTTCAGGTCTGCAGTGCAGGAAGAAGGTGAGAGAGTGCGTCTGGCCACAAGTGGAATCGTTAAACTGCATTGTTAACCGGGGCACACTAAATATTCATGATAAGTAAAGTAAAAGGGACATGTAATGGTGTTGAACATTTAATAATAATAATAATAATAATAATAAACAATTAATAATAGCCACGCCGCTGTATGTCACAGATGCAATCCAGTGGAACCACGGCCAACGGGTGCAGAAGAGCGCATGCAGGAGTGATTTTAAAAGTTTGGCTGAAACAGCACCTGACGAGATGCGGCGACAAAAGCATCCTCCGCTCAACCTTCCACGGAGCTGCACTGCAGTGATTCAGACGGAGCGCTCAGAACTCCTCTGCGCCGTCAGAACACCTACGCAGGTGCTGGATGAAGAGATAAGCGATGGCTAGCCTACTTCGTGATTAAAGCATTTTTAAGTGCTTTTAAAACAATAAAATTTCTCACAATTAAAACAGAAGCTTCTATTTAGGGATCATAAATACAGAGCAATCTCCCTCCAGGGTCGCTTGTTACAGGGTATCTGCAGGTTTAAAGGAGCCAAATTTAAGACTCTTTAAGGCCACTTTGACCAAATTTAAGCTATTTTTTAAAATTAAATTTAAGCTATGATTTCCAGCTATTGCCTGGAACGTCGCGAACGTGGGATTAGCCATCCAGTTCCCATGGCGCACGCTCCCACTAGCTTAACCAGCTAATGTGCTCATCTAAAAATAGCCCCCTTTCACTGAATGTGTACGGTTCCGCTTACGCCAACGTCAAACACAAAAAAATGCTGAACACTAACTAGAAATTCACAAATTTTTTATAGAAATAAAATAATCTCGTTTAGTGGGTCTTTGGTCGTTTAAGACCTTTGGAAACTGTATTTAAGGACTATTTGTCATTTTTAAGGATTTTGAAGGCCTTAAATTTGGAAAAGCAAATGTAAGACGTTTTAAGGACCCGTGGATAACCTGTTGTTAGTCCGGAGCGCAGCTTCAGCCAGAACATTAAAACAGCCATGAGCCTGTCTGAGGCCAAATCCAGAACTTCCTCATGACTCCAGGCTTCTCAGCAAGCCTCATTAGAGACCTGTGATCACGCACAAGCAGGTGACCAGTTCAGGCTTACATCGGAGCAGAAGGAGGAGAGAGCGTGCTTCTGGCCGCAGGTTAGATGTTCCAACTTTAAGAGAAAGCGTTAATTATAACTACCGTATTTTTACAACCATAGGGCGCGGTAAAACGTACCGGGAAAACATCTGTGCGGGCTCGGGACTCGGAACACATCAGTGCAAACCAGACATTGTGAAAATTATAAACAGCCAAAAGCATGCTTCACTTTACTGGTCTAGTCCTGGTTATTTGTCGGAGTTCGTTTTCCAACTTCCTCCACTTGCGAACCATGGACTCATTAATGCTGAATTCTCTCGCCGCTGCTCTATTCCCGCGTTTCTCCACGTAGCTGATCGCTTGCAGTTTAAACTGTGCTTCATAGGCGTGTCTCTCAGCAGGCGCCATTCTCAGGGTTGTCAGAACAACGTTCAGCATACCGCGCCTACCTCCCCTTTTGAACTATTCGGGTTCTGTCTTCGCTCACGTCCGCACGTTCACGCCACGCCCCTTGTCTTCTACTACGTTCGCGTCTCACAACAACACAACAGGCGAACCACACCATAGGGTGCGGCGTACATTTTGGAGAAAATTTAAGACTTTTAGGTGCGCCTTATGTTCGTGAAAATACGGTAATTCAAAAAGGAAGGTGAAGAGGAAAAAGGTTGATCATACGTATATTTTTTTAACCCTGTCTGTCGAGTGACTGTAAAGCGTGACGTCTGATACACACACACACACACACACACACACACACACACACACACACACACACACACACACACACACACACACACACACACACACACACACACACAGCCAGATATGGCGTGGTGTGTGGGCTGGGGGGTCTGCAGCTAAATAAGTTTGGGAACCGCTGCTGTGGATGACAGGATACGAGCCACCCCAAGATAGAAATTTAACTATTTTACATTAATTATAAATATATAGTAAGTCAAAGTGCCTGTGAGACATTTATCTCTAACTCTTTACTGAGACGGACGAACAGACAGAAAGATAATAAAGTCTGACAGTTTATTCGGTCTGAGACCTGAGCATCCTTTCCTGAGACTTAAGGATGTCCTGAAATGGACCCCTTCCTTCTGCTGCTGCTGTGGTTTCTTACTTTAGGTCCTGCAGAAGGTCTTTTGCGTTGAGCATTGTGATGAGAGAGGTGGTGGCAGCGGGGATGATGATGATGGGGGTCCGGGACCCTGAAGAAAGAGCCAGAGAGGAAAATCTATCTGCTCCTCGTGTCACGTCATTCTATAAACTAGAGTCACAGAACATCAAAGGACATCTGACGCTACATCGTTGTGTACCTTTTTTTTGATTTGGTGGAGGTCGGGCTTGTGAAACTGGAAAGAAAACAAAACAATTAATCTCTACGCAAAAACAACAGATAATTATTCTGCTTCTAATTCTCATTGCAGATTTTGTCTCCTTCCACCGTTAAATGTCTCAGCCTGATGCTGATCTGTTGCTCTGAGGAAAAGGGGGGGGGGGGGGGGGGGGTTGCACTCAGCAGCACTTGATTCTTCTCACAACAAAAGATGCGTTCATGGAAACATAAGCAGCATAATAATTCAGTAAATGTGACACTTTTCATATTTTACACTGAAGTTTTCCTGGAAATTCCTGTGACTTCATAAAAAAGGCCAAATCCCAAAGAAAACAGCATATAACTAAAGAAAATTGATCAGTAATGACGGATATGCACCGAAGCATCCTTCCTAAAATTCACCCAGCACCTTTTAATTTACATCATGATTTTCTTCCTCTTAAAGGGACTTTACGGAGTTTTGAATTTTGATGCTCGCGATCGCCCCCTCAGGCCAAAAGCGTAACGGCAGCTTCAATAGTAGGCTCGTGCACGAGGCGCACATGCTGTACGTGCACACTACTTAACAAAAATAACAGCTGAGACAGTCCCGTGCGTGTGTGTGTGTGTGTGTGTGTGTGTGTGTGTGTGTGTGGCCCGGAGGACAGAGGTCAGGAGAACACGCAGCTAATTAATTAAATAATGTGGTTCTGTACCTTTCTCTTCAGCACAGCCGATAAAGGTTGATGATGGGTCAGTCCTCCTGCATGCTCACATCATTCCCTTCCCTTGCTTGAAAAATTGTTCCAAAATGAAAGTTGAACCCACATCTTTTTTATCTGTGAATTCAATGCCGTTCGGCGAGTCTCAAATAAAAATTTGGGCATCTTACTGTAAAAAAATATACCATTAATGTAAAAAAGAAACTCTAAACACCCGGAATTGAACCCAGGTCTCCTACATGAGTGTCAGACGTTTTACTAGGTGAGCTAAAGCACCAGTAATGTCTTTTGTATCTGTAACATTTATATCCTTGATGACAGCTGAAACAACGTTCAAAGAACGGTTCGGAGTGAAAATGGCTATTTTGTTGCTAATTAGCAGGAAATATCTAGAAGAAAGTTGTACAGAAAGTAGCTAAGGGTTCTCAGAAATGTAGCTAGCTTTGTCACTAGGCGTTAGGAACAGCGACAAAGTGGCACTGCCTCTCTCTCTGCTGCTAAAGCTACGGATAGCAAACGCTACGGGCGATGCCTGAGCGTGAACGCGCATGAAGCAGCCTGCTCGACCCGAGCATCTCTCTTTTTCTGTGATTTTACAGAAAAACAGGCAATCACAGTAAAAATGCCAGGGCTCATTCTACAGGACCAGGGCATTGCAGGAGAATGTACGAAGAAGACATTTATTAGTTCTATACATGTTTTGGCTGTCACACTTCCATAATGTCCCTTTAAGATAAAACTGTAAGAAAATAAATGAAAACAAGCAGCAAAAGTGAGCAATGAGTTGTAGAAGTGGTACATTTTACATCAGAGGCCGAGTTTAATGACAGCAGCAGAAAACCCCACCCTTATCTAGAGCTCTACACCAGAGCCTAGCACCGGGACTGGGATCCCACGGCAGCTGGAGCAGGTGGCTAAACAGAAACCTCGAGCCCCAGAGTCTAAAGCCCCCTTCAGACAGGCCATGAAAAACGGAAATGTTCCGGAATCTGTCCGTAAGACCTTTCTGTCTGAATACAAACATCCGGATAACGTGTTCCGGAATTTATCCGGACGAAGCCCCTAGTAACAGGTCCGGACTAGTTACGGACAGGGTGGCTGCTTCAGACTGGTGAGGTAAAGTTCCGGACAAGAGGGAGGGGGAGGAGGAGGGGACCGGGGGACGCTGTGCGCACCTAGATAGCTCGCTCCTGTAGCATGCGGCGAACCACGGCAGCTCGCCTCCTACGGTACCGCCTAGACGCGCGACGGAGCGCTTCACACCGCTTCAGTGATTCCTTTTAACCATTGAGCTTCATCATCCAGGTCTCTGATGCGTCTTCGTGTGCGCAGAATTATGCTTAAGCGCCTCGTGATTTTTATCTTGAGAGGTGCTATAGAAATGATATTTTCTTCTTCTTCTTAACATAAGTCCGATGTGAACCGCAGCAGTGACAGGAGCAGGGCTTGGCAGACCATAATGTAATATTTTTATTGGCAAAGTACTAAAGTTTAGCACCCAAAAGGTTAGCTCTAATCGGGGGGCTTTCGGTCCCCTTCTCTATACCAGTCTTGATTTCATAACTAATTATCACAGAAGGAACCGCTGGATCCCAGTCACACACACGACTAGCATAAACGTTTTAGAGATAAATTAGGTCTGCTTCATAGCGAAGCTGGAGGACACTGCCGGCCCAGTGGGAGTCTGCTGCTCACACACCAGTGCTGCAGAGAGAAGCTGACCCGCGAGCAGCAGCCACCAAGTTTATTAACAGCTAAATGATCACTCTCTAGTTTTTGTAACCAAAATAAAAAATTTAGTTTTTTCATCAAACTATCTTTTGTTGATCTTAAATGGAAAACTGTGCTGTTTGTTTTTCAAGCATTTTCAATGACTTGATACAGAAATCAAGCACTTCCCATACCTTGGAAACATATTAAAATTCAAGCATTTTCAAGGATATCAAGCACCCGTACAGACAAAACAGATCACTTGAATGCCTCAGACTTCTGCTGGGCTAATGTTGGAATGCAGCCTCCAAAGGTTCTCCTGAAAAGAGTTTCTGGAGCATGACCCTTAGAGTCTAGCATCAGCGAGAACGCTGCTGAAGATGTTCTGCCTGTGGTAACATGCTGAGAAGTCAGTAAGGGTGAAGACCAGAACTCACCTGGACGGGGGACTGGCTGCAGCACCGGGGTCTGGGCCTTCCGAGCAGACGCGCCTTCCTTTAAAACACAACATCATATGGTTAACCCCTTAGCATTCCAGCGTCCCACCCATGTACCGAATTCGGTACTTTTAAGGTACCGACCGAATTCCACAGTACCGACTGAGTACCGATTCACATCATTTGAAACGGTGCCTCGTTTCGGTACCCGTCCTTCATAACGAGAAGTTGCCTGGACAGCTGCGCATGCGCAAGAGCGTTACGTCGTCGGTCGCTGTGAGCCAGTTGTAAACAGAGCAGCATGGTAGAAAGAACGCACGCTAAAGCTTGGGTCCACATCACTAAATGTGATGGGTAACTGGGTGATGATGAAACCAGCAACAACGATCTAAGTGAGACATCCTCATCTTAATCTGCTCCGGTAGGTAAATAAAATGTTTAAGATAACGTTAGCTTGATATGTTAGATTCCGTTCCGCTAATGGTGCGTTCGCTTTCTCCTCGGAACTCCGAGTTTCCGACTAGAAGAACATGAACGCGCTCTAAGTTTGGCTTCACTTTACTAAATGCGACGGGTGATTGGGTGGAGATGAAACCAGCGACAACGATCTAAGTGTGAGGCATCATCGTTTTAATCTGCTCCAGCAGCTAAATAAACTGTTTAAGATAACGTTAGCTTGATATGTTCGCTTCCATTGCCACCGTTGTTATCAGCTAATGGTGCGTTCGCTTTCTCCTCGGAAATTCTAACTTCCCAGTAGGAAAAATCAAATGAAAAAGGACGGCAAAAGGAATGAAGATACACAGTAAATTTAGTTCACAGTAAAGATGTTTGCTTCAGTTTAATTATCAGCTTATAAAACTACAAGGACGATGTTAAAATACAAACAGTTGTATGTTATTTATCGTGATATTTATCAAATATGGTTATATATTGAGAAAAATATATATTTAATTATAAAAGAGAATTAAAGCTGCAAGCAGCGTCGTTCGGCCCTCGCAGCTCCGCGCCGCTCCGGCCTGGCCGGCAGCCCGGGGCACCAGGGCATGTCTGGCAGAACAGAAACGTCAATCATCCCGTCACCGGAAACAGCAAATGGCCTCCTAGTCCGCACCTCACCCTGACTAAGCATCCCCTCTGAGCTCACCATTAAATTGAATTGTAAGGTTACGGCGTTACGCCAGAATTCGCCATGGCATCAAAGCCCCTCCCTTTCTGGAAAGCTATCAGATTTGAATGGCCATTACAGCATCATGAAGACAGTGCATGACCTAGGTGTCATGTTGACTAAATTAGAGGGGACAAATATGGGCATTTCAGCATAAAATAATAACTTCCTTTAGTCAGGGGGCGGGGCTTAGATGATGTCAGCTGTCCACATTGTCATTGTTTACAGATATGGTCAATGATCACACAGACAAAGTTCGAAAAAGATCTGATCATGCACATGGGAGTTATTAAGTCAAGTAATGGCGAAAGGTCAAAGTTTGAGGCTTAGCCACGCCTACACCTTTCAACTTTTGAAAAATCCGACGGTTGACTTTTTTCCCCTATGCCTTAAGAGTATATAGCAGAAGTTTGAAGGCGATTGGTGAAAAGGGCGAAGGAGCATCACTCTCCAAACAACGTGTGCGAAAACCACTAAATCGCGTACTTGGACCAAAATGGCCGACTTCCTGTGCAATTTTGTGCTTGGCTCCAAGAGACTTTTTTGTAGGTCCTGGGACACCACATTAGTGTACCAAATTTCGTAATCCTCAGTGAAAGCATGGCTTGGGGCTAATAGTTTAAATGGTCCTAGGGGGCGCTATTTCAGAAATTAGGCCACGCCCACATATTTCAGGTGTCTATGTCTCTTTGGGGTCAGACTAGGATCACTCACCAGAAGTTTCGTAACAATATCACGATAAATGAAGAAATGAGAGGCAAACGTATTTCCATGGCGTGATGGCGATTTTCGACATGCTCCCAAAGCCCCGCCTTTTTTTGAAACCTTCCAGTACTGGATACCAAGTGACCTCAAGTTGTCTACTGCTATTTGCCAGAGACTCCTGCCGATTGGGTAAAAGGAGTCCAGTAGGGAGCTGTGAAAAAAAGAGTGGCGCGGCGACAGGTCAAAGTTTGAGGCTTAGCCACGCCCACACCTTTCAACTTTTGAAAAATCCGACGGTTGAATTTTTTCCCCTATGCCTTAAGAGTATATAGCAGAAGTTTGAAGGCGATTGGTGAAAAGGGCGACGGAGCATCACTCTCCAAACAACGTGTGCGAAAACCACTAAATCGCGTACTTGGACCAAAATGGCCGACTTCCTGTGCAATTTTGTGATTGGCTCCAAGAGACTTTTTTGTAGGTCCTGGGACACCACATTAGTGTACCAAATTTCGTAATCCTCAGTCAAAGCATGGCTTGGGGCTATTAGTTTAAATGGTCCTAGGGGGCGCTATTTCAGAAATTAGGCCACGCCCACATATTTCAGCTGTCTATGTCTCTTTGTGGTCAGACTAGGATCACTCACCAGAAGTTTCGTAATGATATCACGATAAATGAAGAAATGAGAGGCAAACGTATTTCCATGGCGTGATGGCGATTTTCGCCATGCTCCCAAAGCCCTGCCTTTTTTTGAAACCTTCCAGTACTGGGTACCAAGTGACCTCAAGTTGTCTACTGCTATTTGCCAGAGACTCCTGCTGATTGGGTAAAAGGAGTCCAGTAGGGAGCTGTGAAAAAAAGAGTGGTGCGGCGACAGGTCAAAGTTTGAGGCTTAGCCACGCCCACACCTTTCAACTTTTGAAAAATCCGACGGTTGAATTTTTTCCTCTATGTCTTAAGAGCAGATGGCAGAAGTTTGAAGCAGATTGGTGAAAATGGCGACGGAGCATCACTCTCCAAACAACGTGTGCGAAAACCACTAAATTGCGTACTTGGACCAAAATGGCCGACTTCCTGTGCAACTTTGCACTTGGCTCCAAGAGACTTTTTTGTAGGTCCTGAGACCCCACATTAGTGTACCAAATTTCGTAATCCTCAGTCAAAGCATGGCTTGGGGCTGACAGTTTTAATGGCTCTAGGGGGCGCTATTTAAGAATATAGGCCACACCCACAAACTTCAGCTGTCTATTTCTCTTGGAGCTCAGACTAGGATCACTCACCAGAAGTTTCGTAGCAATATCACGATAACTGAAGAAATGAGAGACAAATGTATTTCCATGGCGTGATGGCGATTTTCGCCATGGTCCCAAAGCCCCGCCTTTTTTCAAAACCTGCCAGTACTGGAGACCAAGTAACCTCAACTTGTCTACTGCTGTTTGCCACAGAATCCTGGTGATTGGGTAAAAGGAGTCCAGTAGGGAGCTGTGAAAAAAAGAGTAGCGTGGCGACAGGTCAAAGTTTGAGGCTTAGCCACGCCCACACCTTTCAACTTTTGAAAAATCCGACGGTTGAATTTTTTCCCCTATGTCTTAAGGGTATATAGCAGAAGTTTGAAGGAGATTGGTGAAAAGGGCGACGGAGCATCACTCTCCAAACAACGTGTGCGAAAACCACTAAATCGCGTACTTGATCCAAAATGGCCGACTTCCTGTGCGACTTTGAGCTTGACTCCAAGAGACTTTTTTGTAGGTCCTGAGACACCACATTAGTGTACCAAATTTCGTAATCCTCAGTCAAAGCATGGCTTGGGGCTAATAGTTTAAATGGTCCTAGGGGGCGCTATTTCAAAACATAGGCCACGCCCACAAAATTCAGATGTCTATGTCTCTTGAGAGTCAGACTAGGATCACTCCCCATAAGTTTCGTAGCAATATCACTATAACTGAAGAAATGAGAGGCAAACGTATTTCCATGGCGTGATGGCGATTTTCGCCATGCTCCCAAAGCCCCGCCTTTTTCTGAAACCTGCCAGTGCTGGATACCAAGTGACCTCAAGTTGTCTACTGCTATTTGCCAGAGATTCCTGCTGATTGGGTAAAAGGAGTCCAGTAGGGAGCTGTGAAAAAAAGAGTGGCGTGGCGACAGGTCAAAGTTTGAGGCTTAGCCACGCCCACACCTTTCAACTTTTGAAAAATCCGACGGTTGAATTTTTTCCCCTATGACTTAAGAGTATATGGCAGAAGTTTGAAGGCGATTGGTGAAAAGGGCGACGGAGCATCACTCTCCAAACAACGTGTGCGAAAACCACTAAATCGTGTACTTGGACCAAAATGGCCGACATCCTGTGCGACTTTGCACTTGGCTCCAAGAGACTTTTTTGTAGGGCCTGAGACACCACATTAGTGTACCAAATTTCGTAATCCTCAGTCAAAGCATGGCTTGGGGCTGACAGTTTTAATGGTCCTAGGGGGCGCTATTTCAGAAAATAGGCCACGCCCACCGGATGTTCACATCAGATCTTTTGGGGGGCTGGACTAGGATCACTCACAAGAAGTTTCATGACGATATCTTTAGAAATGACGAAATGGGAGGCAAACGTAAGGCCACAGCGGTACGCCTGACTTCGCCGCGCCGCCACAGCCCCGCCCTCTGCCGAAAACTCCCATAAAGTGACGCCAAGCAACCTCCACTTGTCTTGAGTTACCAGCTACAAATATTTGGTGATTAAGTGAAATGGGGCAATTTGGGACCTTTCACAGTAAAACTTGACCTTTTTGGTCCTGAGGGGGCGGGGCTTGTGTGATGTCATCATCCGACCATTTATTTTACTTTGTGGGTGGATGACGAATGACCACAGAAAGTTTGGTAACTCTATTCCATTCAGTTATGAAGTTATAGCAATTTAAAAAAAATTGGCGAGTAGTCAAACTTTGAGGCCTGGCCCCGCCCCTTCAACATATACGAAAACTCAGAATCCTTGTCTCATTTTTTTCGCCCATCTCTTCTGAGCAATTTTACACCACTTTTGAGACGATTGTGCGAAAAGTGATCGAGCAATCCAGTCAGAAACGGACCCTAAAAACGGCCAAAACTGCAAAAAATCGCCATTTCAACCCAAAATGGCCGACTTCCTGTTTGATATTGACCATGCTTGCAAGAGACTTTTCTGTGCGGACTGTTGAGTACTACAAGTGTACCAAATTTCATAACTGTACGATAAACTAAGCTTTATGGGGAGGGTTTTTTTTCACTTTCTAGGGGGCGCTGTTCAGTCATTTCCTGTGCGATTTTTTTGGGACCTTTAAAATATCAAATTTTTCACCAGGCCTGACATGTTTGCAAAATATTGTGAGTTTTGGGGAATGATAAGGTCCCCAAAAGGCCATTCAAAGCGGGCTAAGAATAATAAATAAAAAAGAATAAACAGAGCAAAAACAAGAGGCCTTCGCAGCGCTTTCGCTGCTCGGGCCTAATTAAAATATTAAACACTCAAAAGTATCGAAAATTGGTACCGTTAAGTACCGGTATCGATTCGTAGGTACCGGGAATTAGTACTGAATCAATTCAAATGTTAAAGGTACCCATCCCTACATGGGACAAAACCCCATTGTGTTCATTCAACATGGAAATTTAGGAGTTAAACTCACTAAGCAGAGAGAATTGGTCTCTGTACAAATAGCTACAATAAGAATATTCAGATACATGAAAAAAACAAAATAAGACCCGAGAAAACAGGAAAAATTCTCCCTTTAACGTGTCGTCTAAGTGGATACCGTGATGCTCACATCACCCTAACCCCAACAGGTCAGACCGCCAAATCCATGTGCTGTTGTCAGCATCATCAGACGGCAAACCGGGGAGATGCAAAGCTTCAGGTCTTTAGATCCAAATATTAGCTCCCTGGTGCTGCCTCAGCTTTGCAGCAAAGTGCTGCCGTAGCCTTATGACGGGCTGAAGTTGTGGACAAGATGCATTAACCCTTTCTCAATTGTTGGCTGGGTAGGAGAAACAACCACCAAGTTCTTCTAACCCGAGATGGGGTGGGGGACAACGACAGACCCTGGTCCTACCTTTAGCGGCGTGGCGTGCCACTTCTGGGACGTGCCTGAAAATTGCTGCGTTGCAGCTTGTTTTAAACACTCCATAGACTATAATGGATTCTATTAGAAGCAGCGACGTTCCACACCGATCCCGTCATTGATGCTTTCAGTGTGAAACTTGGGACAAGCTCCTACTCCCATGTCCTACCCTCCCACTGACATCAGAGATTGCTAACCGGTTAGCAAACAGATGGAGAACCAAAAAGGTGTTCATTATTTGTGTGACTTTAACAGCATGTGAAAAAAATCACCATGAAAATAACAGCGTTTTAAAAAGTAAATATGAAAAAAGAGCTTCATCATCTACGTAGAAATGACTGAATAAAATAAATAAATATTTGATTCTGTTTAAATGCAGCCCCTGCTGGTCCTCCTACTAGCTGCTTCTGGTACCAGTGACACATAAAAAATGGTTCTGTAAAGTCCCGGCTTAGCGACGAAGCAGCACTTTAATTGATTTGGTCAATTATAACTTTATATATTAATCTTGATTTAAAATTAAAAAAAAAATTAAACATCTGTCAAAAGCTTGTGATTGGTCAGGACGCCGCTTCCTGTATATTCGTCACCAGCACCGCTAAAAAGTTAAGATATTTATGTTTATGTTTATTTATTTAGCAGACGCTTTTATCCAAAGCGACTTACAATTATAACCCTACAGGGCATGTTGTGATCTGTGGGGGAATCCGGAGTACCCGGAGGAAACCCACGCATGCATGGGGAGAACACGCAACTCCACGCAGAAAGGCAGCAGCCGAGCCGAGTTTCGAACCTGCAACCTTCGTGCTGCGAGGCAACAGTGCTAACCACTGCACCACCATGCAGCCCCAGAATAGATTGAAGAACGAGTTACGGAAAAAGTCCGAAAACATTAACATTTATTCACCCGTAACTGAAGGAGTACAAAATACGGCGCAAACGTGGATGGAAGCTACGGAATATGCGGGTTAGAGGTGGTGACCGGATGAAGGGGTGGACGAGAACCAAGGACAAATTTGTCCATTTTATTAAGTCTCTGAAATATATAAACACATTAGTAAATACGCTATCGGGGACCGGATACACGAGTGTTATGGTGACAAGTACCACAGAACAGCGCTACGCCCTCTGTTGTCCTGGCGGGGAATTGCTTTGCAACACTCCGCTGCCTGAACAGGAGTTCGAATGTGAAAACCTTTCCGACACTCTGTGTGCACCTCTCCGTTGCGGAGCTCATGGAGAAGTAGAAATCAGGCTTAAGTGGAAGCATGCAACCAGACGTCGCACACCCTCCAATCAGATTAGGAAATCAGAAGTGCTGAAGTGTCAACACCAACCATTTCTGTCTCTTCCCTCTCTCTCCTCACAGCGAGCCTGGTTTTGATGATGCGTGGAATGATGGGTGTGAATACAAATAGGTCAGTAGCCCAACCCCCCTCCCCAGTAACAGAGCAGGCAGCAACAGCAGCAGAGACGACATGACGTGCTGGGAGAGCGTAACACCACCAAGCCTGGAGCTTCCTTTCACAACCCAGAGCACTACCTCTCACTCCTGGTCATCCTCTTCCTCTCCTGCTGTTTGCAGCAACGGAACAGCGCTTCAGGGACTGCTGAATGAGCGGGCCAGAGGGAAATGAACAGCAAAAGGATGGAAGCAGATGGGATGAAGAGCAGTTAACAGGAGGGAGGAAATGGAAATGAGACGAGCAGCTCAGCGGTGAGATGCTACACATCCACATCAGTCAACCACATCGTATTATTTTACCCAAAACCACAACAAGGAGAGAGAGGGGGGGAGGACCCGAAGCTAAAGCTGTCAGCTACCGACTCTTCTTCATATAGCTGGAATAAGCAGCAGTGCAGCCTCTGGGGACGATGCGCCAAGACACACGGAGCGACTGCAACACCGGAGCTCTTGACTAATGATCGGCTAACGCCGCAGGCATGTGGCGCTGACTGTACAGAGAACTCTATTATTCCATTTCTCTGAGACGACAACCAAAAAAAACCAACAACCTGGATGTCAGAACAAAGACCACGGACATTTGGACATGAATCTGGACACGAGCCATCAAGCTGCACATGTCTGAGACACGGGAGTGTGTGTAGACTCTAATCACACACATGCATGCACACACGAATGATGGAAACCAGCAAGACACAAGTTCTTAAAATAAAAACAGGTGAGTTTATTGTTTCCCTGTTCAATCAGAGAAGCAGATCGACACCAGGACAGTTCTCGATGTGCCGGTTTAACGAACACACCCAGTTCAGTCTCAGACTGAGACATTTCAAACAGAAAGCTTCACTAAACACTTCTTATCTTGCTTTTCTTAACATAAAATAGAGTCATTTATGTAAAACAGCAAAAACAACACAGCATGCAGGACTTTGGGCAGCATCTTTCCTCTGGATGAGCAACGCTACAAAAGGCGAAAAGAAATTGAAAGACTAGACATTTCCAATCGACTGATATACGGTTCCATTAAGGCAAATTCACAGCAGGGTCAGCTCGGCCTGGGCTGCCCCTGCGCAGCACGGTTGTGGTTACACGACCTTCTCGGAACGTGAACATAGATGAGAACTAGGTGTGGGAATTTATATGTTTTCATCAATGTCGATTCTGTCCATCGATCCAATTCCTGATCAATTCCAGAGTAGTTAAACAGGTGGCAAATAACTAATTGCATACGGCTCCTGCAATATAACGGCCAGGCCTTGCTTGGTCCCCACGGAGCCAAGTGTCCACCCCCTTCCCATCTGCCATGAACGGCGCACGGCAGAAAAACTATCTGCGCGCCCCTCCCCGCCGTCAGGGACGACGCACGGTAGCAAAACGTTTCAACAAATCAACAGTTGCAGCTGATTCTTCTGCCATTTTAATAATATACCGTATTGACCCGAATATAGGACGACCCCCTTTTCCAGGAGTAATCTTCGAGAAAGGACCAAAAGTAAATAAAAAAAAAATCACTTTTTAAATAAACAATTTTTATTGAAAAGCAAAAATAATACTTTAATGCAAACTACCAGAACTTTGCTGACACGTGAAATCAAAAGTCAAATTAGGCTTTTATTCAGACGCCCTCTGCTTCGCTGTACTCGCTCTCATTCTCACTCATGCTGCTGCGGTGTACCATCAGATCGCTACACCTGTCGACTCCTCCCAGAACGTCATCATCACTGCACTCCAATGCATCCATGTTTGATGCCTCTGCTGAACTGGCCACAGCCATCTTAAAATTCACATAACTCTGCCTTAGTATGTTAATTTGCCCCACTTTCGGTCCACTCCGCTCCGGACGTCTCGTTTGCCTTTTTTCCTTCTGTGGAGAACGCACAGCCTGGCGCCCTCTGCTGTTACGGGCATGTAATGGTTAGACCCCGATTACAAGACGACCCCACATTTTAAAACTATTTTCAATGAAAAAAACCTCGTCTGATATTCGGGTCAAGACGGTAATAAGCCAGAGTAAAAAGACACAAGTCTGACCCGACACAAAAGGAGCATGAGGTGATCTGTATGTGACTTAAAAGAACAACACTGTATTGGTACTGAACATTCTGCTCAGTCGGTGGCTTTTTGTCAGCCTCTGAACTAGAGATGGGTACCTTTGACATTTGAATAAATACGGTACCGGTTCCCAGTGCCTACGAATCGATACAGATACTTATCGGTATTAATTTTCCATACTTTTGAGTGTTTAATAATTATTTAAATATATATATATTTTTTCTCTCTATATATCCATATTTGATAAATATCATGATAAATAACATACAACTGTTTGCATTTCATCATCGTAATGTTGTACAAAATTCTTAACCCTCAGACTTCGTTAGGAACATTTTGTTTATGTTTGTTTATGTTTATTTATTTAGCGGACGCTTTTATCCAAAGCGACTTACAATTTATAACCTATAGGGCATGTTGTGATCTGTGGGGGAAACCGGAGTACCTGGAGGAAACCCACGCATGCATGGGGAGAACACACAACTCCACGCAGAAAGGCCACAGCCGAGTTTCGAACCTGCAACCTTCGTGCTGCGAGGCAACAGTGCTAACCACTTGTTTGTTTGTTCCGGTTGATTTAAAGGTTCAGTGTGTGAATTAGGTGTTGCTGAGGTGGAAAACAATGTCTTTATTGTTTAGACTAGCTTCTTCCCCTTATGCATGTGTGTAGTTTCCATATAGTGGTGAACATTAAGCGTGGTTTTGGAACAAAACCGGAAGTAGTTCCGGACCCGGTCAGGTTTAAGAGGTTAAACACTAAAAACATTAAAAAGACCCCAGAAATGTTCGAGTATTTCACAAATCCATAAGAACCCCAAGAATCCAAGAGTGGGAACAGCTGGTGGGGCGTGAGTTCGTCCCAGTACTCGTAAACTCAACGACAGTGTGATAATCTAACATGTTCCACACCTTGGGCTTCAGCGAAGATTGTTGAAGGTGCTGTATGAATAACAATAGATTTATTGAATGACGATAACCTTAATTGTTGGATATCGACAGACAGAATTTTAAAATGTACACTCCGCTCCTTTAAAATAAAAATGTAAAAAGTCTTCTAAGCAAATTCAATACCAAAAGGAAGTGAACCCCATGAAACAATAAAATTAACTACTAACCTTTAGGGTTTTAGGTGTCATTTAAAAAAATGTTGACGTTACTATGTTTATCGCACTTAAATTTTTTTTTTTAAGTTTATGGAAACTTCATTAATCCAGTAATCACTTTACTAGCCTGCAGGAAAATGTTTTCATCAACAACTTTGTCAGCTGCTTGTTAACTCAAAGGATTGAAGTGAAGGCAATTGGACTTCTTCGGTTTCTTGAAGACATTTCGCTTCTCATCCGAGGAGCTTTGTCAATTTTAACTGGAATATGGGAAAGTCAAGCTTATAAGTAGGGTTGGGCATCGCTTGATTTTTAATGATTCCGATTCTGATTCCAATTCCTCGTTTCGATTCCGGTTCCTATCGATTCCCGATTCTGATTCTTTGAAGACATGACATGTTTTACATGAGCCAGCTAACCACAGGTCCTACTTGATGAAATAATCTTAACTTCAACATGAATTTTAATTCCATGAACAATAACATCAACTTCATTTAGACTGAAACATAAATGTCTCCAACATATCCAGAAACGTCCAGCTGTTTTCAGCTAAAACTCTCAGGATGATCATGTCCAGGATGACTGAGAACCACACCTCCAGGCTGCAGCAGCGTTCAGTCACAACAGGAAGTGAAACTTAAACGTAGCTGCTGTCAGTGACAATCTAACAGATTTAAACATTAAAACTCAACAGAAATTGTTCAGAAAGGAAATTAAAATGTTCACAACTTTGTGTGTGATTTGTTATTATAATAATTACTTTTATTATAATTATTTATTGTGGCAGAAGCTGGTGTGGTCCACCACAGAGAAGCTGCTCTAGCATGACTTTAATTTTTCTACAGGTTATTGTTCAGCCGTCTGACACACACACACACACACACACACACACACACACACACACACACACACACACACACACACACACACACACACACACACACACACACACACACACACACACACACACACACACACACACACACACACACACACACACACGAGTGTTGGTGAGCAGCTGCGTCTGACTGCTGACGCTCCGTGTGTTTTTATTTCTGCAGTGAGACAAACTCGCCTCACACCGTCCAGAGTTTGTTCTTTAAAGCTTCTATTAAATCCACCGGGTTGACGTATTTAACACGTTTCCTCTACGCTGCAGGAGTTAAAGTTTACATTACGGAGTAAAAGTTCGGCAGACGAGTTTGTTTATATCTGGGTGGGGGGAGGGGGGACTTGGTGCTGCACACAGACAGCTGGTGTGATCAGCTCTGAAAAGCGTTGATCACAATTTGCAGATCGGCCGTGGATTCCTCTTCCGTCTGCATTCTAGTTATCGAAACTAGGAATCGAAATAAAAATTGAAGGATTCCGGGGAAAAACTAACAGTTGGTCCCGTTTCCAATCGATGCTCGATGCCCAACCCTGCTTATGAGCTGTAGCTTTCTATTGTTATTTAACGAGCCGAAACTACTCTGCGTACCCCACCTCTCCATCCCTTGATGAGTCGTTTGCCTCTACTGTGAGGGACTTGTTGTGTTGAATAGATGCAGGAAGGTGTGACCTAGACTGAAATTGCTGATGCCCGGATCACACTGTGCGACTTTCGGCCGTTGTGCAGGATTGTTCATGTCACACTGCGAGAACTCTAGACAGGTGGCACACTGTACGGCGGAAGATTTCGGTGAGGCAGACTGCACGACATCTCTCTCCAGCAGGACACGCTACGTCATGAGTGCACCTCCCAAAGCAGACGCCACTAAGCAGACCGCTAACAAAAACATAGCTGAAACACATAAAAACGCTCAGTTTAAGTGTCCGTTCATGACCCAACTCATCTTCCTCAAAGAAGAAGCTTCATTTTTAAAACCCTTGCTTTGGCGTCAGTCATACTCCGACGGCAGGTCTCCTTTTCCTGTCCTTCAGCTAAACAGTGGAGCTGTCAGCTGGTCATTCATTCTTCTCCTTTATACACAATAACCCACTAAACTACAGAGAAGTAACAAACGGTCAGAGATCGCTGCAATATTTAAACTTTTGCTGTGAATTCTGTTTCACTGCTCCACAGCTCAGCTCCATGTGACAGCTCACACCTGCTGTCACTTGTACTTTCCTCTCTCCCTCTGCAGCAAAACGCTTCTGAACCATCCTTATCGGCTGAATATGCAAGATTTCCACCAACAGCAAAGGGATCTCATGCTTTTATGTTTATTTTTTTTATGTTTGCGACCTCATCTCTCAGCTCTCACAGATCCCAGAATCACAGTTTTCACCATCTGATGGTCCAAAAAAGGTAGTTTATTTTAGTATAACTCCTGTTTAACGTGGGTTATTAACAAAAATATAAACTAGTGCGTAGTTTATAGTCTGCATTTCAGACATAAAATGAGCTCAGAGAGGGGAGTCTTGCTGCTGCGGCAACCCAAAGGTGTGTTTTCATTGGTCGATTGCAGACAGGAATCATAGGTTTTCAAGCATGCTTGAAGACCTTTTGAGGCTCATTTGGTTGGGAGATGGCTCAAAAAGCTGAGGCAGAGCCGGTCACACTGTACGTTCACAGCATGGTGCACATATATGCAAATCACTCTGACGTTGACAGTTTTTTATCACGATTCTGCTCAGGACGAGGGATTTGGCAAAGACGGCAAAAACAAAAACAAAAAACCGCACAGTGTGATCCAGGCACTAGGAATGAGATTCAAAGCTGCATTATAGGTACTGGAAAGGTGTAATCTAAGTCCCCACCCCTATTTAAAGTGAGTTTTTCACATTTGACATAGATAACTTCTTTTACTCTTCTCTCAAACCATCTATCGTCTCTCTCCAGAATGTGCTCTTTGTCCTTCAGGTGTAGGACACACCTTTGAAGATGAAAAAGTACACATTCTGGACAGTCATCTGAATGACTGAGACCTTCACCAGCATGTTTTTTAACTGTTGATGCTAGCATTCTTCGTCTTCGTCTTCCTCCGCTTATCCGGGTCCGGGTCGCGGGGGCAGCATCCCAACTAGGGAGCTCCAGGCCGTCCTCTCCCCGGCCACCTCCACCAGCTCCTCCGGATCGAAAGTTGATGCTAGCATGACAAACTAAAAAAACCGTAAGAACAATAAAGCTGTCATAAATGTGATTCACAAGCTGTTAAAACTGTGGATCATTCTGAAGAGATGCTGAAAGCTGAGGGCTCAAGTCAATACTTTAGTCTGACAAAGTTTCAGCTGGAAATCCAGCAAGATTCCCACAACACAGAATAAAATGCCGATGGCAGCTGGTATTACTGGGTCTTGAAGAGATAATAATCTATCCTGATGGCCTCTATTGTGTCTCCTAGGGAACTGCATGGCAGCAGCAGCGGAGAGATTTTCACACATGGAGGTAAAACGGCACGAGAGGCCCATGACCAACTCCAAACTTCAGCTTCAGAGATCCCGTTGAGTCAACCTACAGAACATGCAGTGGAGACGACGTCACTGCTGCACTCACACAGCCAAACTTCTTTACCTCCTCTCACTGTTGGGCCTGCTGGTCTTTCTGGTCCACCAGGTGTGGTTCCCTAAGCTCACTGGAATGCCGTGGTGGAGGGGCTATCCTGTGGTGTATGGGGGTGGGCTGCTTCATGGATCCAAATGGAATACAAGCACCCCGCGCACAGTGTGGCGGTATGTGATCGCTTCTCAGCCAACTTCCACGGTCGATGCCAACACCAGCTCTCCAGAGAGGCGCGGTGCTTCCCCCCATCAAGGAAAGATGAACTTCGAGAACAGTCTAGCAGCCAACACCAGCCAAAGCCAAGTGGGAGACGTTAATGGTACAATGACCCACGGACCTTTCCCGTATATCATCAATGAGCCTGATAGGTGTGCAGAGAACCAACCAGCACCATTTCTAGTGCTGCTAATTGCCACCGAAGCACGACAAGTGGAGGCCAGAAATGCCATACGGCAGACTTGGGGCAATGAGAGCATTGCCTCAGATCTGGGATTCATTCGACTCTTTCTGCTAGGCAGAAAGGAAGGAGAGCTGGGACTCCTTCAACAAAAGATGCTACAGGCAGAGAGCCGGAGGCATCATGACATCATCCAGCAAGACTTTCTGGACTCCTACAAAAACCTGACCATAAAGACACTAATGGGAATGAACTGGGTGGCAATGCACTGTCCACAGGCAGGTTACATCATGAAAACTGATAGCGACATGTTCGTCAACACGGAGTACCTCATTTACAAGTTACTCAGGCCAGAACTGAAGCCTAGGAAGAAGTACTTCACTGGTAATAACATGAGAGGCTTTGCACCCAACAGAAACAAAAACAGCAAGTGGTACATGCCCCCAGAGCTGTACCCAGGTGAGAAGTACCCCACATTTTGCTCTGGGACTGGTTACGTCTTTTCTGGAGACTTGGCTAGAAAAATCTACCATACGTCTCTGACTATCCGCCACCTGCATTTGGAGGATGTTTATGTGGGAATATGTTTGGCCAATATTGGAGTTGAGCCCACTCCTCCACCCAATGGCTTCCTGTTTAACCACTGGAGGGTGTCTTACTCCAGCTGCAAGTACAGCCACCTGATAACATCACACGGGTTTCATCCAAACGAACTACTCAAGTACTGGCATCACCTTCAGAGCAACAAGCGCAACGCCTGCATCAACACATTTAAAGAGAAAGCAGGCAGGGCTCACTCCTCATGGCTCAACGAGGAAAAACAACCCGTTCAATAAGAAGCCGAGTTAACACAAACTCCTTCTGACCTAAGAGATCAAACCATCCATCCATTTGCTTCATTTTACTGACAATTTTCTATGAATGTTCAGTTAACTAAACCACTGAGAAATGTTTGAGTACAGCACTGTAAAAAAGTATTTGCCCCTCACGCAGGTTTCTTCTGGTTTTACATTTGAGTCCATAAAATGTTTCAGACTGAACACATTTCAGTATCAGACACAGACGGACAGAGTTGATACAGAATACTATTGATTTCACTCATTAAGAGCAGAAACCGAACTAGATGTAACACCAACAGATTCAGTGTCTGCGATAACTGCTGATGAGCCTCTCATCCCCGTGGAGGAGTTTTGTCCTGCTCTGCTACTACAGCATGAAGAATGCTGAAAGATCTCAAAAGGCAACATATCAAGCTTTCAGAAATGGCAGTGTTTCCCCTTTCCTCAGGCGTGGCGCTGCACCACAGAAAATAAGTTTGTGTGACAAGTTTTTTCCTGACCCTAAAAAGCTTGGTTTATGCTTGACGCATTTACTTTCCGCGCGGTGATGCGGCTCGCGGATGGAACGCGCTTCACAACTCGCAGCGTTTATGGTTCATGCGGCTTGTCTCTGCGGTGAGCCAATATTCTCCCAAACTGTAGGGGGCAGCATAGAGCTCTACGGCATGCATCCAACACTACACCATAGCAGAAGTGAAAATTACTGTTGTTTACATCGACATATACATATATGTTGTTTACAACGGGGCATTCCAGCATTTTTTAACAGCGTCCTCGTCTTTTCCGACAGTGCGAGCTATTTCTCTCCAAGAATTATTAACAACATGTTGATCACGGTGATCTCTGAGAGCTGAATCATACAAATGTCTGTATTTACCAACCTCTGCCATACTAGTTCTTGCCAGTCCGCCATGTTTTTCCTTGTCCGACCGTCCGCGTGGTTAGAAAATTTCCTAGGTGCGCGGTGCGGAAAGTTTGGGCTGTGCGGAGGCGCGGTGGAGGGGCGTGGTTGTTAAAATGACGCAACTTTTCCGTGCGGAGCCATGCGGACCTCGCAGACGCGTCAAGCATAAACCAACCTTAAGTAGGCGTTTAGTAAGGATTCTAGGCAAAGTTTTATGAATGAAGCCCGTGGTGGTGATACGGTCTGGGTTTGACTGCTGGAACTGAACTCTGATTCATAAAGAATGTGGTTAAAGAAATTTGGGAGGTAAAAAACTATTTCACATAGAACTAGGTTGGTTTGCATAGATTTGTTCTCTTAAAAGATGAAAACTGTATTTTTTTTCAGTTGATCTTTGTCTAACACTGAAACATCTGAGTCATTCTGAAACATCCAACTGTGACAAAAACCAAGACATAAGGAGGGAGATACGTTTTCAAGTCAAATATTCTGTCATTTCAGACAAGATGCATTTAATTGTTTATTTTTTTCATCGTATCTGTAGAACACAATATCTGTTCTAAGAGTTAAATAAAGCTATTATGGGAAATCTTCAAACAAGCTAGGCTTTCAATGCAAACATGGTCATGGAACACTCACCCCTACCCTTGAGTATGTCGCCTGAGACACTTCCGCTGGAACCATAAACCTACGATGACGAAGGAAACGAGTGCGCCAAACTCTAGTCGGCATTTCCTTGATCCAAACATCCGTGATTTCAAATGGAGTTTTTCTTTCTGGGACCCTGGCAGTTTGTCCTAAAGTTCAAGTGGTAGCAGCCGGCTGTTTCTCCTTCTCTGATATTAATGAGCAGAGAAACTCTCACACCAGTGGTGTTCTGGTGCTGCTAAGTAGTGCGAAATGAATGGCGGACCCAGGGAAGTGCGGCGGTTCACAACCACCAACAGAATGGTCCAGTGGTTGCTTTCAGGACGAAAAAGGTGTTTATGGCGGAGGTTTTTAGTCAAATGTGAGACAACCACTTTATTCTTTTTTGTTTGTTTTTTAATTTCCACAATATGCAATACAGGCCAAAAGTTTGGACACAGCTTCTCATTCAATGCGTTTTCGTTACTTTCACGACCATGGCCATTTACAAAGGGGCCAACAAGTGCTTAACACCTCTGGGAACTCCTTCAAGACCGTTGGAAAACCATTCCGGGTGACTACCTCTTGAAGCTCATCAAGAGAATGCCAAGAGCGTGCAAAGCAGTAATCAGAGCAAAAGGTGGCCTTTTTTTTCCCAGTAAGCTTTTTGAGATGCTCCACCTGAGAGTAAATCTGTAAGGCTTGTCACCAACATTCAGACATCAATTCTGTTTGCTTCACAGCCAGATGGGACACGGGAAAAATAAAAAATAAAAAATGCTTTATTACTATCAATGAACTATTTATATCAATTATGTGACGCACTATAGTTTCTGTGTCACGTCTGCCCTGTTTATTGTTCTTCTCTACATTCTGGGCTACGTCTGTAACTATTAGTGGTGTTTATACCATTCTTTCTACACCCACCATGTCCTGAACACAGCGAAATAAGCTTTGGATCGTGTGTGATTCACATGAAGCACACAGACTCTCTGGGGTCAGTCTTCAAACTAGGGCTGTCGCGGTTGAGGAATTCCCCCTGCGGTGATGCAGGGTGGCTTAATATTGCGGTGTGCGATATTATTGCAGCACTTTTTTATTGCAGTACTATCTAAACATAATGTTTACACATTTAAAAAAGGTTAAAAATTGCCGTGCCTTCTTTAATAACACTTTACTGAATGCAGATCAAAGGGCAGTAACAACGCAGATCGCAGTAACGCTTGTTTCTCCGACAGTCGGAGTCCGACTGAACTTAAAAACAACAAAATTCAGGAGGTTAAACTTTTAAATGCAAATTTGGCTGCAGCATCTAACAAATAAGAAACAAGTCCCCATTTTGTTTAGTTGTTTAAAATCAAGCATAAAAAATTACATGTACCGGGCGCGCGCGCGCGCGCCGGGGGGCGGGCGCACTATCATTTCACTTTCACACACACGAATGACGGTGATTTATAGCTCGGTCACGTCCTTGTTACCTACAAGGAAAACCAGCATGTTAACTACGGTTTGAGAGAGGATCTGAGAGGGGCGGCAACATTTGCAGCAACACTGAAAACCCTCTCGGATGGTGCGCTCGTTGCACTAACGCACACGTACTTGCGTGCGACTCTGGCGAGCAAAGGGAATCTCCCGGTTGTTGCTCCACCATGTCGGGGGGTTTCTTTAGGGTGGATGCATTCCTCCTGCAGGTAGCGAGTGAGCTCCAGCTCGGCTCAAACTCTCTTTGGGACGGCTGCAGAAGCAGTGCTTGTCCGGGACTTCAGCAGGTCTCCGAGCGTTTATTTATTTATTTATTTGCCGCTGGTGGCAGCTCTGTCTCGGCCAAGGACTCTGGCTGCGCAGCAGCTGACGTACTGAAAACCAAAGCGCTCCCACAGGAGCGAAGTAACGTTTCGTTTTGATACCAGTGCAGCCATCCTTCTCAACATGCATCATTGAGTTGAACCAAGTTCAGTAATCGCGGTGGCGCATGATGCAGCGCGGTGGGCTTCTTCATATCGCGATATTTCATTTTTGCGGTTACCGCGACAGCCCTACTTCAAACTCTAAAAACTCCCAAAATTTCAATAGAAACACCCAAAGGTGTTGCTCAGATTAAAGTTGCACATCTCCATTATCTTCTCTGTAAAGTAATAACTTCATCAGGGATTATATTTGCAGCTGTGGCTTGTTAAACGCAATATTGCAACTTGGCACTTAAAGGTTATAAGTTTTATGCCTGTACATTTATAATTATAATTATTTTAAAATAATTTATTATTATTTAATGTACATGAGTGGGGTCAAATGAAATGTTTTATTTTGAATTTTGATTTATATTGTGCATTGTTGTTTTGTCAGTGCTATATAAACATTTTCATGGTTTTGTAATTGATTTATTATTTTAGTGAGGTTAATACACATGAAATTTTTTTCATTGTTTTGGTTTTTGGGCCTTGGGTTTCCTCATTTCTGGTTTCGGCAAAGATTTTTAACTTCGGTGCATCCCTAGTGTCTCTTTATTTTGAGTTTGAGTGGGAAATGGAAAGAATCACTGTTACATTTGGATGCACTCTTAGGAGCCAGAGGTCATACGATCTACTTTTTACCCAACACTTTCATTTTTAAAATAAAGACAAATAGACATTCAATACATTTTAATTCATATTTAGCCCAAACAAGCTGACCAGAGTGACCCAATGCATTTAAGCGATTTCTCTTAAATCGGGAGCATTTCACCTGCTGTGGCCGAACGCACATTCACTCGGATCTACGTAAACCTGGACTGTGGATCTGCTTAAGGGATGCCAAATGCAAGCTGCTGGTGCAAATTATTTAGCAGACATGTGATCTCACTTTTCCTACATTTAGCATCTTTCATCACACTCAAAGTGACAAAGTGTAATTTCCCTGGAAACAAGGGGCAGTACATACCTAAATCATTGCATGCAAGCAGTATTTTTGTAGCCTAGTGAACGAGACCAAATTCTTGCTTTGCAAAGTTTGGTCTAGGAATGCTCCACTGGAACCTCTGCAGCCCCAACAGCATTCTGACTGGCCAATCACTGAACTGTTGCTCAGTGGTACAAAGTACTTTTTTCAGATGAAAGCAAATTTTGCACGTCATTCGGAAATCAAGGTGCCAGAGTCTGGAGGAAGACTGGGCAGAGGGAAACGCCAACATGCCTGAAGTCCAGTGTCAAGTACCCACAGTCAGTGATGGTCTGGGGTGCCATGTCAGCTGCTGGTGTTGGTCCACTGTGTTTTATCAAGGGCAGGGTCAATGCAGCTAGCTATCAGGAGATTTTGAAGCACTTCACGCTTCCATCTGCTGAAAAGCTTTATGGAGATGAAGATTTCATTTTTCAGCACGACCTGGCACCTGCTCACAGTGCCAACACCACTGCTAAATGGTTTACTGACCATGGTATTACTGTGCTCAACTGGCCTGCCAACTCTCCTGACCTGAACCCCGTAGAGACTCTGTGGGATATTGTGAAGAGAACGTTGAGAGACACAACACCCAACACTCTGGATGAGCTTAAGGCCGCTATCGAAGCATCCTGGGCCTCCATAACACCTCAGCAGTGCCACAGGCTGATTGCCTCCATGCCACGCTGCATTGAAGCAGTCACTTCTGCAAAAGGATTCCCGACCAAGTACTGAGTGCATAACTGAACATAATTATTTGAAGGTTGACTTTTTTTGTATTAAAACACTTTTCTATTATTGGTCGGATGAAAAATGCTAATATTTTGAGATAGGGATTTTGGGTTTTCATGAGCTGTACGCCACAATCATCAATGTTAGAAACAATAAAAGGCTTGAACTACTTCAGTTGTGTGTAATGAATCTAATATATATGAACGTCTAATGTTTATCAGTACATTACAGAAAATAATGAACTTTATCACAACATGCTAATTTTTTTAGAAGGACCTGTATATGGCAAAAAAAAAAAACTGCATGGAAAATGAATTTTTTAATCAACAGAGCAGAAAGAAAAGTTATTTGCATTTTTACATTTTTCACTTCAGTTCAGACAATTTATAATTTTGTGTTTATTACATTTAGCTTGTATTTTATTTAAAATAGTTTCATCATTAAGTTTTTGTTGCTTTGTTTGGAAAAAGAACCTTAACATAAAAACTATTTGAGATATTTTGTATTTATTTATATGAGTTTTGAACATATAATTGTAATTTTAATAGCATTCTAAACTTTATGGAATTATTTGTTCTGCAATTCATCTGGTAACAATAAAATATAATATAAAAGTATGTAAGATTGTTAGAAAACAGTCACTCAGACATGTATAAACAGAAAAAAGAGAAGAAAACCGCTTCAAAATGTACTGCCGTATAGATTTTAGACCATATTACCCATTTCTAATTGAGAATCGATTCTGAGTTGAACAGTAACCTCGAGTATCGGAATCAAACTGAAACGTGACTTGTTATAAGATTCACAGCCGTAGCTCTAGCAGGTGATACAGGAATGAGATTTCCAACTTGTTATTTAGCACTCATTTTACAGTAAAACACGATATGAAGGGAGTCTTCTTACCGTCACAGATTTCAGGGTCATGCCGTGGTAGGTGCCCATGGTATCGATTTTGAATCCCTCCGTTTCTACAAAAAGACAGCTAGTTGCAGGTCACTGGAATGTAAAGAAGCTGAAGTATCACTACTAAATCGCAGCTGCACCTTCTGGTTCCAGGTACATGTGATGTTTTAAAAACAAATGCACCCTAAGTAATCTTGGATAATCTAATAGAAGACTATAGTATCTTCCATGGGGTAATTATTTAGACATTTACTACGTTTACATGCAGCCAATATCCGGGTTATGATCGGGTTAAGGTCGGTATTCGGGTTTCTGAGTTGATCAGAATAACCCGTTTACAAGCATAAATAGAAAGAGTTACCTCTAACTTGCATAACCCGATTTAAATGCGGACGTTGGGGTAGCGTCACGACGTATGGACTACTTCAAGATGCAATATGCGTCATTTCCGGTTCTTCTTGATCCGGTATCCGTGAAAACAACAACATGTTTCCCAGTTGGGAAGAGATAGCGACCGCGTTTGTTTGCGCTTTAGTTTCCTCGTCACTCCAAAAGTGTGGTGCTGTGCCGCGACTCGCCATGTTGCTCCCAACTTGTTGTTTACTTCCGGTGTTCTGGCGCATACAAGACGTCTCGCTACTCAAAAGACCAAGATTCCTTGCGAACAGAGCATGCGCAGGACACACGCTTTGATGGGGATATCCCGATATGCGTTTACACGACCAAACATTCAGGTTAGAAAAGGGTTACCCCAGGTTATGAGCATACCCGGGTTTTTGGCGGTGTTTACATGGCCGTGCGGAACCGGGTTATTGTGAATATTCGGGTTTTAAAAGGGTTACTGGCTGCATGCAAACGTACTAATTGTGGTGTTATTTTGGACCTTGACTCTGATGATAAAGTTGGTGGTGATGATGATGATTGAAGGGATTGGGATGAAACAGCAGACAGATTAAAGATGGTTTCCAGCAGACTTTATGTCTGCTGTGTCAGATAATCTGTGGGACTAAGTACAGCTCGACCTAGCTGGGGAAGTGCGACCTTTGGTCACAAAATGAGGCCATTCATGTCGCTACACTAGACTTTGACTATACAGCTCTGATCTGTAGATCTATTCGGAAGCAGGTGAAGGAACAACAAGGTAAACTCACCCTCTTTTCCTTTGAAGCGCTCCTGGTCGTATCGGTTATAGGCAGCAGGGACAGGCTGTTTAGTCCTGAGGGACGGGTCCTAGAAGACACACAATCACCTATTTTTTATTTGTATTTCCATATTTTGTTCTTGTGAAGCACCTCATGATTTTTATCTTGAGAGGCACTATATAAAAGATCATTTTCTTTCTAACACAGTACGCTCCAACAGCTGATGGTAATTGGTGAAATGCATCGTTTAATATCTACTGAATATTAGAGACATTGGATGTTGGCTGCAAGTGGTGCATGAGGTCCGTTACCACTTGGTTAGTGTTCTGTGCTGGTCTCTGCTCTGGTGCTCGCCCTTCTTCTCTGGCTTTCACCGACTGAAGGATGGCAAAGATGTTCTTGGAAAAATTCTACGAGAGAAAAACAGACACACATGATCACGAAGTAATAAAAGACGATTTGTAAATAAAGACATTTTTCCTGCAATGTAAACATGTCGAACAAGGCCGTTAAAGCATAAATCCAGAGTTTTTTCGTAGAGGATACCATCTAGAGGCCGAAAAGTTATATAGTATGTCAACATGTGGAAGGCCAAAGGTGACCCACAAGTCCTTCTTGGAGGAGCCCAACGCCGGGGACACACCGGCCGCCGAAGCGCCGCGAAAAGGGGACCGCCTTCATTCGGCACCCTTGTTATCCTATTCTATAGACCACATGGGCCGCCGAAGCGCCGGCGCTCCAGCCCGCGCCGTGCAGAGATCGTTTCGGCGTCTGCTCTATTTTTTTCGCGAGCCGCGGGTGAACCGCGTCAATTCTGGCAGGAAGTCAAACCTAGACATAAGAGGCAGGCCGGAAAATTTAACAAAATAAAGCATTTCAAAATAAAATTCCGCGATAGTCAAATGTGTTCGTAAACAGACACTGCATTAAAACCACACACACACACACACACACACACACACACACACACACACACAAGTTTGCTGTGTGTGTGACCACATGAAGGGTGTGTGGTTTTGGGTGTCTTTCAATAGGAGCAAACAGAACAGAGTGTCAGAAAGTCGTAGGAAGCTATTAACAACTGATTCACACCATAGGTACACACACACACACACACACACACACACACACACACACACACGCACGCACGCACACACACACGCACGCACGCACGCACGCACACACACACACACACACACACACGTACAAACACGCACACGTACAAACACACACAGAAACAACAAGGGGGAGGGGGGTGTCGAGGAAAAGAGCGGAGAAAAGGCAGAGAGGAAATGGAGGACGCCAAGTGGTTAAAAGAAAAACTGAGGCGCGCCTCGACCGGAGCGGAGAAACAAGCGTCTGGTCTGAACTGAGGAGCAGGGAGCGGCAGCCGAATTTCGTGAGCGCTTCGCCTCCCGGCGCTTCGGCGGCCGGTGTGTCCCCGGCTTAAGTGAGATGGCACAGACAGACAGCCAGTCAGAGAGAGGGAGACAGAGAGAGAGAGAGAGACAGAGTGAGAGAGACAGAGACAGAGAGAGAGAGCGAGAGAGAGAGAGAGAGTAAGTAAGTAAGTAAAAGTGTATTTATATAGCGCCTTTCTCAGATATAAATCACAAAGCGCTGTACAACATGATAAAGATCAGGGCAAATACCTCTAACCAATAAAAATATCAGGAAAAACAATAGCAGTGATAAACGTAGAAAATAAAATCATGAGTATAAACAAAGTGAAGGTGTGAACCCGAACAAAGCCATCTTTTTGAAACATTTAGGGAGGGAACGCCTGGATGAAAAGGTGAGTTTTTAGATGATTTTTAAAGACCTCTACAGTGTTAGAGAGAGGGAGATTTGAAGGTAGACTGTTCCAAAGTCTGGGTGCAATAGTCTGAAAGGCCCTGTCCCCTTTGGTTTTCAGTCTGGTTCGAGGAACAGCCAGGAGGTTTTCAGATGTGGATCTAAGGTTCCGAGAGGTGGTGTGTGGGGATAAAAGCTCAGATAGGTAGCTTGGAGCCTGGTTGTTAAGAGCTCTATAGGTCAGGACTAAAACTTTAAACTGTATTCTATATTCTACCGGGAGCCAGTGGAGGGACTGTAAACCTGGAGTGATGTGAGCTCGTCTGCTGGATTTGGTTAGGAGTCTGGCTGCTGCATTTTGGATGGCTTGAAGGCGTGAGAGGGAGGTTTTGATGAGACCAGTAAAAAGAGCGAGAGCGCGAGCGTGAGAGAGAGAGAGCGAGAGAAAGAGAGAGAGAGAGAGAGAGAGAGAGAGAGAGAGAATGCCTCCAATCACTGTGAGATGGGGGTGTTTAATGTGAAGACACCTGTAAATACAGGTGAGGACAAATCCGTAAACGTAGGAAAGAAATAAGCGGCGCTACAGAAAAGTGAGGAAATGAGTGAAAACAGGATGGTATGGAGTCATTTCCTGCTTGTTGCCGGGCAGTTTTCACTTCCTGTGCAAAGCAAAGGTTGGGCTCCCCACAGACGCATTTTCTGCTCGATAGGCAAGCTAAAGTTAGGAATGCTATTTGGAGAAAGTCACAGCGGAGAATGCACGAGGACAACTGAGAGTTCGCTTCCATGCGCATTTTTTTCAAGACGTGGAGAGGGCGGTTCTTTCCTGAATCTCAAAAACATCCTCCGCCACACCTTTAACTCAGTTTTTGTCTGCTCTTTATTGAAAGTAGTAGTTAATTAAGGAATAGCATAAAAATGGCCTGGATCACACTTATAATACATTTCCTACAGTTTCTTTTTTCAATAATTATTGATTTTTTTAATATAAAATCTTTTTAATGTATATTCTTTTTTGCTATATCGTACAGCCCTAGGTCAGAGTTCCCCTTGTAACGGAATGAAATGACTGTTTCCCACCAAAAGTCTGTTTCCCCCTCTCCTCTGACACAGAACTAATCTGCATGAGATATGGCCTCAAGGTCTCGTGCATTTGCTCTAAACTGCTTCCTTTCCAGCTCAAGAGAAGAATGAAGGACTCTCTCCTTTTAATAAATCAAAGAACTCTATTTTTAATAAAGCTAATCAAACAAAGTGTTAGTCAATAATAAGATGTGACCAATCTGTGAAATCAAAATATTAATTACTTTATTATAATCCTATAGAATATAATAAGTACTATGACTTTAAATGTTTCTACTAGGACTGATCTCACGTAGCGTTAAGACATGACACATTGCTTTACTGATCCAATCAGAATCTGCCAGACCTGACGTAGGCGTGGTTTTGGTGGTGTTTGGTAAATCTGTCATCTTTTCATTCGACCATAAACCAAAACATCTGAAGTATAAAACTATGCCCACGTCATCTTTAACGCCAGTTCAAAGCGTTCTAGAGAAGTTGTCGGAGTGGTCAATCCGTAACTTTCCTCTTCAGCTAAAGAACCAACGACAAGCTGGATAAAATCTGCTGCTGTTCCACCTGCTGCAACGGTTCCTTTCAGAATAAAAACTAAACCATCACGACCCAGGTTTAGGTCTCGCTAGAAGCCAACAAAACTGTCGTGACCGGGAAGTATCTCAAGACTGGTGGTCGGCTGCAGCGGCTGCTTCTACAGGCTTCGGCTCCATAAGGTCAAGCTGGACCTCTACACCTCCTGATCTAACGGGGACTTCCGCTAAGGGTACGTAGACCGACAGAATGGCGTCGAATGTGTTTATGAATCTCCTAACCAAAGCTTAGCATGAAGACATCACCTTCATTTCCCATCAGAACTAATCGTTTCTTCGGATTTGCTGGTTCTGATCAACATTCCACACTACACCATTCTGCGTCTCATCCACCTTAGTTACACCATACATTTAGTGTTAAAGTTAGTCTAGTTTTAATTTGTTTAGTAATAAATCTTTAAACTTTTAAAACTTGACTCTCTCTTCTGTTGTCTCTGAATACGAAGCTGTTACATAATCCCTGCAATAAAAAGTTCCAGTCTTCTGGTTAAACAGTACCCACAGATCCATAAGGTTGATTTCATATTTACTATGGTGTCTCGTGTCTTATGGCTCATTAAATAACATGTAAATTGACTCACTACACCCTTTTGGATTTCCTAAAGAGGAAAAATGCCGGAACGCTGCTTTAATAGAAGAACGAGTCCAGCAGACTTCGTTAAAGGTGCAAAAGCAAATCTACAGAACAAGCTCACTTAAAACATTTTATTGAGTTATATAAATATATTGTGGAGATTAAAAACATTAAAGCACCTATTGGACCATCTGATTGTCTGCCTCTAAACCACAGCACTTTCGATCCATTCATTACACACTTGTACTTGGCACCAGAACACCACTGGTACGAGAGATTCTCCGCACAATTAATTCATGGAAGGAGAGACAGCCATCTGCTACCACTTCAACTATAGGACAAACTACTAGAGTCCCAAAAAGATAAACGCAGACAACAAAAGAGGTTTGGACCTAGAAAACTGCAACTGGTGTTTAGTGCTCTCTTGTTTCCTCTGGAAATGCAGGTTTCCAGGGGCGTTTCTCAATGTCAAGGAACCTTGCCTTGATGTCTTGACCCCGCCCCCGTTGCCTAGGAGATACGTCATCAGGAGCCGCCAAGACGTGTTCCAGTCGGTTCCAATGTTCATGTTCTACCGAGGCGTGTGTTCTCCGTTTGTTAGCCGTTTAGCTAGCTGAGCAAGGACATACGGGAGTTGTCTTGTAGCCTAGCCTTGGTCAAAAATTACCCTCATTTAGGGCTGCACGATATTAGGAAAACCTGCGATTTTCGATAACAACGATTAATGTTGCGATGAGGATATTTTTTGCGATAAATAAAAACTTAACTCAGGAACAAAAATAATCAAAGACAAAGAAATAAAAAAATCATAAAAATGAGAAAAGCAAAAGATGTGAGGAAAGGGAAAAAGAAAAGCGGAATCAGAAAAAAAAGCAGAACAAAGCTAACTCAGGCGCGCTCCGTCCCGCAGCGCTCCTCTGTGAGAGCGAGGGGGTCGCACACGTTCCGATGCCTTTTCTCACCAGTATCAGCTGATGGAGGGCTCTAGTTTTGTTGCGCCGTTCGTGTCAGGGACATGGTAGGGTTGGGAGGGGGGCGGGGCATGACCCAGCCTGGCGGGTGGGCCGCCAGGCTTATAAAGCGCTGGGGGAAACCCTGGTATCTGTGAACACTTTTTATATTTGATAGTGTCCAGCTGAAGCAGACAGCTGTTTATTTCTAACAGAGCTGAGCTGTGGGAGAAAATATTCAGGATTATTTCATCTCATTTTCCCTCACCTGTGGGTTTAGTGCATTCACTTAATATTAGTCATAAAATTATGAATAACAGGTCACTCGGGGCATAGAACGTGTTTCTGGGAACAGACGCCTGTTGGGTTATGGTCGGCAGCTGCTCACCTGTTCCTGACAGGAGAAATCCTCTCATCAGCAGCAGATGATCTACAGCACATATGTCAGAGTCAAGGCCCGCGGCGCATTTTTATGTGGCCCGCGAGATAAATATCAAAAATATATTAAAACTGGCGCGCTGGCCGATTTTACCGCAAATACTACAACTCCCATGATGCTTTGCGGCGCCAGCGCGGGGCAGACGCGCCCTCTCCTTTGTGTTTTTTCAGCGCCGAGGCAGTCAGAGGTAGTTGGGTGTCTGCAGCTCCTCCGCTGTCTCGGACAAACTACACTCCTCTCACTCAGCGCCGAGTTCACTCAGCTATTTTCTGACGTTGAAGCCCAGAAACGGAGATTCTAGCCGCTCAGTAATGTGTTCACGACTGAAAGAGAAAGTTTTCCTACTAATGTCCAGACAGAGCCGATATAACTCCAGCGAGCAGCGACACGCTCAAACCAGCACGACTCTGTGGCTGCTGTCGTGTTTCCTCCCCGACACACAACAACGTGGTCAAGCTGCTCAGACATGTTCAGCAGCACAAACCTATGTGAGCACCTGTTGTCATCTAATGTTGTCATTATTATGATGAAGATGAACAAAACAACAGGAGTCTCCTCCTCAGCTCAGATCAACCCCATGATGCAGGTATCTGGCTGGAACAGGTGAGCATCACAGTAAACCAGTGGAGCAAACTGAGCTTTAAATATGTTGGTTTTATGCTCTTTTTCTGCTCCAAAACATGAAAGTTAACAGGTGAGATGTTGCTTTTTCATTTAAGATAAAATGATATTTTTATTTTGTTGTTGGCCCGTGAGAAAAGATTTAACCTACAGTAAACAGGAAGTGGAAAGGCTGCAGATAGATGAATAGAATAGAAAATCCCTTTATTGTTCCTCAGTGGGGAAAGCTAGACGTCACAGCAGCGATGACACGTATTACAGGAGAAAAAAGGAGAATAAAAAATAAGAAAAATGAATAAACAAGAAAACATAAATCCTGAATAGATTTTAAAAATGCTGATTATACCACAAGTAATGAATACCACTGATGCTTTTTATTTAAAACTGACTTGCGCGTGAGTAATTTGGTTATTCCACATTCAGTGTTAATGCAGAAATACGTTTGTTTCCAAACTTAAAGGTTCAAATTTGCATATATGTTGATAAAGAAAACGTGCAAATTTGCCGTCACTTTTTCAAAAATATTAAGTTTGGCATTCGACTCCGTCCCAGAGTTTCATTTCGGCCCCGTGTGAGTTTGAGTTTGACACCCCTGATCTACAGAGTAAAACCTGCCCGGAAAAAAAAAAAAAACACAGAACTCAAACAGGGCCACCAGAATTTCCCCAGCTGGGTTCTGGTTCCACCCGCCATTGGATAAATAAACACACAACTTAGATCTGTGGCTCGTATTAAACCAAACCCAGAGCGCACCGCGGGAGCAGGATCGGAATGAGCGTGCGCGTTTTTACAGCGGTTATACGTTCGAGGACCGTTCCCTTACACATTCAGTTTTTTGCCACGATTCTGTTTACAGAGATTTGTCTAGGATGACCAAAAAATGCACAGTGTGGCCTGGGCTTCACTATTAAAAGGTTGGTGGTTTAAACCCACCTCATGTTGTAGTGTGCTTGGGCAAGACACAGATCCTCTTGCAGCCCCAACCCCTAGTTAGTCATAAAGTGAACTCTGACCTTCCCAGTGCTTTGGAGAATGGTTGTCCTGGTCCTCCAGACCCTCTCGCGGCTGACGATGTCTCTGGTGACGTCCACCTCGGCGTCCACAAAGCTTCTCTGCTTCAGGGTTATTTCATCATCCAAATCTGTTTTAATGGTTGAACGCTTCTTGGCCATAATCTTGGCTTTGATTGCAGCAATTTTCTCCACTGACATGGCCTCAGACAGCGATCTGGAAAAGAGACAGGAACATAACAATCATGTTGCAAGATGACTGATGGAGGAGTTTGGGGGTTCAATTCAATTCAGTTTATTTATATCGCTCCAAATCACGACAAGAGTCGTCTCCAGGCACTTAAGTAAACATTCCAACACAGGTCAGGTCATTAAGCCAATAAGTAAAAGGTTTCCTATATAAGGAACCCGGCAGGTTGCATCGAGTCACTGACTAGTGTCAGAGTCTTTACAGCAATCCTCATACTAAGCAAGCATGTAGCGACAGTGGAGAGGAAAACTCCCTTTAAAGCCCGGATCACACTGTGCGATTTTTGGCCGTCTTTGCCAAATCCCTCGTCCTGAACAGAATCATGACAAACAACGGTCAACGTCAGAGTGATTTGCATATCAGTGCACCATGCTGTGAACGTGACCGGCTCTGCGGCAGCTTTTTGAGCCGTCGCACGATCAAATCAGCCTCAGTCTTCAAGCAAGCTTGAAAACCTATGATTCCTGTCTGCAATCGACCAATGAAAACACACCTTTGGGACACTGCAGAAGAAAGACTCCCCTCTCTGAGCTCCGATTTCCATTTATGTTTAAAATGCAGATTATAAACTTCGCACTAGTTTTAATTTTAGTTAGCAGCCCAAGTTAAACAGGAGTTTTATTTAAAATAATGAAACTACCTTTTTTAGACCATCAGTGAAAACTGTGATTCTGTGAGAGCTGAGATGAGGTCACGAACATAAAAAAAAAATTAACACTAAAACATGAGATCCCTTTGCTTTTGGTGGAAATCTCACATATTCAGCCGATAAGGATGGTTCAGTAGCGTTTTGCTGCAGAGGGGCAGAGGAAGGTACAAGTGACAGCGGGTGTGAGCTGTCGGCAACGGAGCTCAAAGGTTTGGGAGCATTTTACTAAAACAACTGAGAAGCAAGTAGAGTGCAAACTCTGTAAGGTGAAACTCGTTTCACGGGAGCGCATCAGCGACGCACGCGCATCTTAAAAGGAAGCACATGATGGCGGAGAACGAAGAGTCGCCCCTGTAAGTTTTCCTCTTGTTAGCTGCTAGCATCATAGGTGTAGCAACAACCGTAGTGATGGCGATTATACGTTTAGAACATGTACGTATGTCACCTATTTGCTCTAACGTTTCAACAAAGAGTCGCCGCGGTAAGTTTACCTCATGTTAGCTGCTAACGTCAACAGAGAGCCGCTTGTATTCTTATGTGTAGCAACAGCAGTAGCGGTGGTGATTTTATTACCTTCAGAACACGTTTGTATGTCACGCCATGAAGGAAAAGAAATATGAAACACCTTTAGGAGGTGTGTGTGTGTGTGTGTGTGTGAGTACGTCCGCATGCGTGCGTCTTTGTCTCAGTTTCTCTCAGGACAAAACTAGCATAAACATTAGAATAAAATGCATTTATGATCAAATAAAAAGGTCGCTGATGGAGCAATCAAGAAACTAATATTTTTAAAGCATAAAACATTGTCTTTGTGATAAATATTTATCTAATTTATTTGATATAACAGAATTATTAATCTGTTAAATAAACTAACTTTAATATATTTTATCTTTACGGTAAAGCTTGGTTTTTGCTTGACGCGTCCGAGAAGTTCGCACGGCTCCGCGCGGCGAAATTGCGTCATTTTAACAACCACGCCACTCCACCGCGCCTCCGCACGGCCCAAACTTTCTGCACCTAGGACATTTTCTAACCACACGGACGGTCGGACGCGGAAAAACATGACGGACTGACAAGAATAGTATGGCAGAGGTTCGTAAATACAGACATTTGTATGATTCAGCTCTCAGAGATCACCGTGATCAACATGTTGTTAATAATTCTTGGAGAGAAATAGCTCACACTGTCGGAAAAGACGAGGACGCTGTTGAAAATGCTGGAATGCCATGTTGTAAACAACAGTAATTTTTATTTCTACTATGGTGTAGTGTTGGATGCATGCCGTAGAGCTCCATGCTGCCCCCTACAGTTTGGGAGAATATTGGCTCACCGCAGAGACAAGCCGCATGAACCATAAACGCTGCGAGTTGTGAAGCGCGTTCCATCCGCGAGCCGCATCACCAAGCGGAAAGTGAATGCGTCAAGCATAAACCAAGCTTAGAGCAGACCCTCAGAGCTGTTGATGGTCCCTGACTGCTGACGTGTGGAACAGCCGCGCTACCTTGGTGTGTCCCGCCATTTCAGGAGTTGAACTGGCGACTAGTCGACTATTAAAATAGTCATTTGTGGCAGCCCTAGTTTGATGAATGACCAGCTGACAGCTCAGCTGTGTCGCTGGAAGACGGATAAGGAGACCCGCAGCCGGAGTCTGATGCCAACGCGAGGGTTTTAAAAACAAAGCTTCCTCTTTGAGGAAGAGGAGCTGGGTAATGAACTGACTAAAAATAAATGTTTACATTTTTTCTGCTTTGTTTTGGTTAGCGGTCTGCTTAGTGACGTGTGCTTTGGGAAGTGCGCTCATGACGTAGTGTCTTGCTGGCGAGAGACGTCTGCCTCACTGAAATCTTGCGTCGTACAGTGTGCCACCTTTCTGGAATTCTCACAGTGTGACAAGAACAATCCTGTACGACGGCCAAAATTCGCACAGTGTGATCCGGGCATTAACCGGAAGAGACCTCCGGAGGATTCTGGTTCAGAATGAGCAGCCATCCACCCTGATTCACTGGGGCTCGAGAAGACTTGAATTCATCAGTGGACTAGCAGTAGCAAATTTTTGTAAAAGAAAGTAAAGTGTCATCAGGAGAAAAAGACTGCAGCAGCGTTCCAGCCGATAGCACCCTCCATGAGACCACCACAACTTAGCAGAACACCAGCGCAGCTTCTGTTCAACTCTTCAATCTAACAGATTAATATATTTATGTCAATTCAACTTTTCAACAGAAATACCAGCTTATCAAACTCATTTTAGTGTGTTTGCGGCACCTGATCTGATCCGTCTGCACGATGCCTTCTTTGTGGCCTTCCAGACGAGCAGCCAGGCGCTCTTTGTCCAAACGCACTCGCTCCTCATCCTTAAAGGGAACGTGATGTCAGCATGTTAGAACACCAACAAACAATTCAAAACATAACGTAAAATTAAACAATTGTCAAAAACGTAGGACATCTACATGATTGCCATCTTCCATCTCCTGAGATTGAGTTGAAATGAGAGAAAATGAAGTAAATAAATAACTCCATACCGACTATATTCTCATTTAGGCTGAAACTTAATTTGGAGGGGAGAAATACTGCTGTTTAATGTTCCTTTGGTCTTGTATGTGAGAAAATGCTTATCAAGTTCACCAGTTAATGGGCACTTTTATAAATTAACGCACAACGAGATCTACTCACTTCGTGGTGTTTTACCGATCTGGTCATGATCAGTTTTGGGTTGGTGGGAAGCTTTATATATAATGTTGTTAATTAGTGACAAGAAGCTAGCTTACTTTAACACACAGGACTGACTCGGTTAGAACATTTTAGTACATTTAACAAATTAAGTCATTATTTGAAAACATTCTGTTTTTACTCAGGTTTTCTTACGCGTAGTTTATGCTTCTGCATCAGCTCCACGAGGGAGAGATGCACACACATTGACGGAGACGCTTTGCCTTCAGATTTCTTTGTCACCTGGGGAGTGTTGCAAAGAAATTCCCCGCCAGGGCAACAGAGGTCGTAGCGCTTTTCTGGGGTATCCTGTCATGTATCGGGTCCAAGATACTGCGATTACTATAGTGTTAATATTGTGGGTTTGTTTTTGTATTTGAGTGACTTTTTAACACGGTCAAATTTGTCCCTCATTCTCCCCCACGTCTTTATGCGCTCGCCACCTCTAAACCCACATTTCCTGTCATTTCTGACCATGAATGAAACGCTTGCTGCCTTGCTCCTCCAGTCACGGGATAATAAAACGTTCATATTTTCATAGATTGTCCGCGAGTTACTCTTCAAGCTGCTCCGGGTCTGCATCTAGATATGTCCCTGGGGTCCCTAAACTCTGGGGCAACTCCTGGATCTCTGGGACTTGGAGCTCCCTCCGTCTCTTACACATCTTTAGGGGGCAGGTCTGTGGCCCCTCACACTCTCTATTGCACTCTCTATAGAGAAACCTTAGATAAACAAGCGCGTGTACACACACAGGTGCTCACATGGTGCTCTCATAAGTATGGACTTGGGCACGTTCAACACATGTCTTAAGGCTGTGGTTGGCACTAAATGCACTGTGATTTATTATCGTGTGATTGTTCAGCAAAACAATGTTGATTTTATATTTCCTCATCAGGATGACACAGTGACATCTTGCTCTTGTTGTATTGTTGTGTGTCTCTTTTCTGCAGGTCTAGAAGAAGATTCTTGTTCATCATTGATTGTTTATTTTTGTGGAACATAATTATAAGTGTAGGGGCTTCACAGAAAACAGGATAAAAGATTTCAGAATCCTAAAAAAACCTGAAAATTCCATTTTCTCTCTCTCTAGCTCTCTCACATAATTAACTCATTGACTGCCAGCATTTCTCACCATTTTTATTTTTTTTTTTAAAGAGTCACAGAACGTTGCGCGCTAGGATGATGTCGACGCCAAAACTACCAAAACAAAGCAGAGACTCACCTCTTATATCAGGAAAAATCCGTGCGTTTCAAGAGTTATCCGTTCTTTCATAATCCGTTGTTGAATTGCGATCGGCAGAAGCTTTTCCGGTTCGCGCCTCACTTTTTTTACAGCAGTGGCCCAAAACGATCTAACACATGGATGTTCTGCTTCCTGATCACGTGACGTGTGACGTACGCCGATAAGATCAGCTTTAGAGCTGGGATGTTTGTTCTCACGGTGCAGGGGCTTGTTCCGACGCCCACACAGTAAAAACATGCATCATTGGCAGTGAACGGTTGGATTTAAAATGACGACTTTAGTCATCAAGGGCAGTGAATGAGTTAAAGTAAAATAATTTAAATTCTATCTAGAGGTGGCTCATATCCCATCATCCACAACATTACCAGTAATAGGGGTTATGCATGTCCCACTTTCGCATTATGCTAAACAGGATGCACCAATTCCTTCCGGTCCGCAGGCCAGGTTGAGCTACGATAGCGGTAGCCAACCATGGTATTGTTTCATACACGTTCCCTCCAGGAGCTGCCGAAAATAAAAGTTTCAGATGTCCATAGAATATGCAGAGCGACTTCTAAAACTCCTGCCACAAAAATGGAGAGTGATTTAAGCTGTACGCCTTATCCAATATTTGCAACTACGAAGGTTTGCAAGTTTACATTAGCTTTGCAGCTAGTAGCTAAAGTTACCCAGAGAGCAGAGACAAACCAGAGGGAGAAACGATCGGCTAAAGCAGAGAGATTGAGGAGAACAGCGGAGGAGCAGCAGGTGAGTTAACAATGCTAGCTTAAACTCGTGTGCCAACATCAGTGTTGTACAGATTACTATCGTGTACCAAACAACTAAAATAGTATCGGCCAGTTAATATAATATTAACACTAATGAGTGTCTGTCAGCTGTCTCATACTCGTTAATATCCATTCATGTAACATAGTTTAGCTTAGTGAGAGGGAGACACCTGTCATCCGGTTTTGGAGCTCATGAAGGCTTCTGTGAGCTGGTTCTGACCCAGACACCAGCAAGCCAGTCGAGCTGGTATTTTTAAAAGCTGCACATGATCCTTTCCTGGAGGTCTGTGGTGGTTCTGATCTGGTTTCGACCTAGAAACCAGCTCCACTGTTCCGCTGAGCAGCGCGTCTCTTCTGGTGGTCGGTTCTGACGGTGCTCTGAGCTCCAGAAATCCACATTTAATTTTTTAAACTCTGCCACGGGTCTCCGGAGCCCAGCGCAGACCTCCCTGACCCAGTACCGACCAATGTGGGCTACAGAAGTCCGTCTTTTCAGCCGCACAAAACGCCCTCAGGCAAGAAGATAGAGGCGTTGTTTCTCTCATCTGGGAACCCGTGGACTCGATGTCCAGACAGGCTGGAGTTGGTACAGCCTTCAAAAACTCTAGGTTATCAACATAAACACAATCCAACACTAGTAAACACACACACTGACTAGATCACATGACCTCTCTACCCTAAAACTAGCCACTCTCCACACTGAGCTGAGGCAGCGCCGAGCTTCTAACTCCCTTTGGTTACGTCAGAGGTTCAGATTTAGAAAAAAAAGAGCCTTTTTAGAAACTTTGCTGAAAAAAGCCACTTTTTACTAGAACAACTCTGCTGTTATGCGTTTTATAACAAAATATCCACAATAAGCATTTGTAATAGTATTTTTTGGACAGCATTTTATATGAATTAGAAAAGAAATGTAACCTGCAATTTGCTCTTTCAAATAGAATTTTTGCTCAGTATTCGTTTTCAAAATTTCAATAAAAATAGTTTATCTAAAAAGTGATTATTTTTTTGTCTTTTCCTTAAGATTAGTCTTGGAAAGGGGGCTCATCTCCCCTGCGGAAAGGCCGCAGCCGAGCAGAGTTTCAAACCTGCAACCTTCGTGCTGCGAGGCAACAGTGCTAACCACTGCACCATCATGCAGCCCGGTGGACAAATATTTGACTCTAAAGCTGCTCAGAGTCATTAAAAACTAATATATGGACCCATTGTGGATGTAATAACTTAATTAAAGGCTATAATTGGACATTTCCTAAAGGTTTTCAGTATGTATTAATATTTTGTTAGCATCTGCAGAGCATGTTTTTCCCAGCCCGAAACGTGATTGTTGAATGAGGAAAAATATCTTTTTAATTAGTTAAATCTTTTTAAATGTTTATCACTTTTACATCGACTGTTGTGAATGGGGGATGGCAGGTTGTGCCAGACAAATTTTTGATTTAAAAAAGCAAGTATCTGACATCTTCTAATAATTAAACAAATCTATATGAAATAATAGTAAGGCATCGAGATATCGAATCAAATCGTTGGCCCAATAATCGTAATCGAATCCGGAGACGAGTGAAGAGTCACACCTCTAGCACCGACGCAGATGACTTTAGTCTACTAAAATGTTTTTGCTGATCTGAAATACTTCTGGGATAAAAGCAGGAAAATGCTTTTTTATTGTGCTGCACACCAGTTCTGTTATTAAAATAATAGCACAAAATTCCTGTTTCATTGATGCTCCATTAACTGGGTCAAATGTCTTGTTTTGAATTGTTAATTTAAGGTTAATATCAAGTTGGTACTTTTCTGTTGAATTAAACAGTTCCAACGGCAAGTTTAGCTTACAGGTCGGAGGAAATAAATTATATTTTCACAGTTATGACATCACACCAACTGACCTCGACACGGGGTTTTTTGGCTTCAGAAGATACTTCATCTGCTGCTCTTTTAACTTCAGGGAAGAAAAAATAATAATTATAATTTTCATGGATTTTAACAAGTTTACTACAAGCTAAAAGAAAGTCAGTTTTCATGTAATTTATCTCATTTTAAAATTACTACAAACACTATATCCTAATATAAAAAAATTAATCTAGTGAACTTACGTTGCGTTGGTCTTTGAAGACCTATTTCTATGGGCGCACTTCTGTCGATGCTCGCTGATGTCGCTATAGATGAACAAAAAATAAACAAGATAACATTTCCATTTCAAGCAGTAAGTAAATCTGAAAGATTTTCATTAGGTTAAGGAACCTCAAGCTCTACAATTAAACAAAAACATATACCATACCAATTTATTTATAAAGCACCATTTAAAAGTAGCACGACAGCTAAGCAAAGAGCTGTACATAAAAGAGCCAAATGCTCAAACATATCTGCAAATATCTTACAAGGTTTTGTGGAACAGCAGAAAAGGAAATCCAGAAAAAGCACAACTATAGACAGAGTAGCTTCAGATGGCGAGATTTAGTCTTATTTCCTGATATTTGGACATCTCTTCTTTGATTGGCTAACAGCAACACATCTCAACATCACTATTTACACATCATACCGGCAAATCGGCGTAACATTACCGCAACAGTGCGTCTTATGAATCCAAATTTTGTGGCATTCGTTCCGCCTCACTTGGTAGTAATATTGCGGTAATGGTCTGTCTTATAAACAGCTATTACGCAACTGAAGGAGATGTCATGGTGTGGTGGGGGTGAATGCTGGGCTCCGGCTGGCAAATACAGGTCCTTCTCAAGAAATTAGCGCATTGTGATAAAGTTCATTATTATCTGTAATGTACTGATAAACATTAGGCTTTCATATGTATTAGATTCATTACACACAACTGAAGTAGTTCAAGCCTTTTATTGTTTCTAATATTGATGATTGTGGCGTACAGCTCATGAAAACCAAAAATTCCTATCTCAAAAAATTAGCACGTTTCAACCGACCAATAGAAGAAAAGTGTTTTTAATACAGAAAAAGTCAACCTTCAAATAATTATGTTCAGTTATGCACTCAGTACTTGGTCGGGAATCCTGCAGAAATGACTGCTTCAATACGGCGTGGCATGGAGGCAACCAGCCTGTGGCACTGCTGAGGTGTTATGGAGGCCCAGGATGCTTCGATAGCAGCCTTAAGCTCATCCAGAGTGTTGGGTCTTGCGCCTCTCAACGTTCTCTTCACAATATCCCACAGAGTCTCTACGGGGTTCAGGTCAGGAGAGTTGGCAGGCCAAGTGAGCACAGTAATACCATGGTCAGAAAACCATTTACCAGTGGTGTTGGCACTGTGAGCAGGTGCCAGGTCGTGCTGAAAAATGAAATCTTTATCTCCATAAAGCTTTTCAGCAGATGGAAGCATGAAGTGCTCCAAAATCTCCTGATAGCTAGCTGCATTGACCCTGCCCTTGATAAAACACAGTGGACCAACACCAGCAGCTGACATGGCACCCCAGACCATCACTGGCTGTGGGTACTTGACACTGGACTTCAGGCATGTTGGCATGTCCCTCTGCCCAGTCTTCCTCCAGACTCTGGCACCTTGATTTCTGAATGACATGCAAAATTTGATTTCATCTGAAAAAAGTACTTTGGACCACTGAGCTGCTTCTCTGTAGCCCAGGTCAGGCGCTTCTGCCGCTGTTTCTGGTTCAAAAGTGGCTTGACCTGGGGAATGCAGCACCTGTAGCCCATTTCCTGCTCGCTGCTCCTCAGTTCAGACCAGACGCTTGTTTCTCCGCTCGAGGTGCGCCTCGTAGATTTTCTTTTAACCACTTGGTGTCCTCCATTTCCTTTTCGCCTTTTCTCTGCTCTTTTCCTCAACACCCCCTCCCCCTTGCTGTTTGTGTGTGTGAACCAGTTGTTAATAGCTGGCCTATGACTTTCTGCCTCTCGGTCCTGTTTGCTCCGGTTGAAAGACACCCAAATCGGTCACACACACACACACACACACACACACACACACACACACACACACACACACACACACACACACACACACACACACACACACACACACACACACACACACACACACACACACACACACACACACACACACACAAGTTTGCTGTGTGTGTGTGTGTGGTTTTTATGCAGTGTCTTTTTACGAACACATCTGACTATCGCGGAATTGTATTTTGAAATGCTTTATTTTGTTAAATTTACCAACCTGCCTCTTATGTCTAGGTTTGACTTCCTGCCTGAATTGACGCGGTTCACCCACGGCTCGCGAAAAAAATAGAGCAGACGCCGAAATGATCGCTGCACGGCGCGGGCTGGAGCGCCGGCGCTTCGGCAGCCCATGTGGTCTATAGAATTGGATAACAAGGGAGCCGAATGAAGGCGGTTCCCTTTTAGCGGCGCTTCGGCGGCCGGTGTGTCCCCGGCGTAAGGCAACACAATAAAGTAAAAACCTACTTGTGCAACACTGACTTCACAAAAATAAATCTAAATACAGGGAGTGCAGAATTATTAGGCAAATGAGTATTTTGTCCACATCATCCTCTTCATGCATGTCGTCTTACTCCAAGCTGTATAGGCTCGAAAGCCTACTACCTATTAAGCATATTAGGTGATGTGCATCTCTGTAATGAGAAGGGGTGTGGTCTAATGACATCAACACCCTATATCAGGTGTGCATAACTATTAGGCAACTTCCTTTCCTTTGGCAAAATGGGTCAAAAGAAGGACTTGACAGGCTCAGAAAAGTCAAAAATGGTGAGATATCTTGCAGAGGGATGCAGCAGTCTTAAAACTGCAAAGCTTCTGAAGCGTGATGATCGAACAATCAAGCGTTTCATTCTAAATAGTCAACAGGGTCACAAGAAGCGTGTGGACAAACCAAGGCGCAAACTAACTGCCCATGAAGTGAGAAAAGTCAAGCGTGCAGCTGCCAAGATGCCACTTGCCACCAGTTTGGCCATATTTCAGAGCTGCAACATGACTGGAGTGCCCAAAAGCACAAGGTGTGCAATACTCAGAGACATGGCCAAGGTAAGAAAGGCTGAAAGACGACCACCACTGAACAAGACACACGAGCTGAAACGTCAAGACTGGGCCAAGAAATATCTCCAGACTGATTTTTCTAAGGTTTTATGGACTGATGAAATGAGAGTGAGTCTTGATGGGCCAGATGGATGGGCCCGTGGCTGGACTGGTAAAGGGCAGAGAGCTCCAGTCCACCTCCACCAGTGTAGGTGGAGTACTGGTTTGGGCTGGTATCATCAAAGATGAGCTTGTGGGGCCTTTTCGGGTTGAGGATGGAGTCAAGCTCAACTCCCAGTCCTACTGCCAGTTTCTGGAAGACACCTTCTTCAAGCAGTGGTACAGGAAGAAGTCTGCATCCTTCAAGAAAAGCATGATTTTCATGCAGGACAATGCTCCATCACACGCGTCCAAGTACTCCACAGCGTGGCTGGCAAGAAAGGGTATAAAAGAAGAGAAACTAATGACATGGCCTCCTTGTTCACCTGATCTGAACCCCATTGAGAACCTGTGGTCCATCATCACATGTGAGATTTACAAGGAGGGAAAACCGTACACCTCTCTGAACCGTGTCTGGGAGGCTGTGGTTGCTGCTGCACGCAATGTTGATGGTGAACAGATCAAAACACTGACAGAATCCATGGATGGCAGGCTTTTGAGTGTCCTTGCAAAGAAAGGTGGCTATATTGGTCACTGATTTGTTTTTGTATTGTTTTTGAATGTCAGAAATGTATATTTGTGAATGTGGAGATGTTATATTGGTTTCACTGGTAAAAATAAATAATTGAAATGGATATATATTTGTTTTTTGTTAAGTTGCCTAATAGTTATGCACAGTAATAGTCACCTGCACACACAGACATCCCCCTAAAATAGCTACAACTAAAAACTACTTCCAAAAACATTCAGCTTTGATATTAATGAGTTGTTTGGGTTCATTGAGAACATGGTTGTTGTTCAATAATAAAATTATTCCTCAAAAATACAACTTGCCTAATAATTCTGCACTCCCTGTAATGGTGACTCAAACTGAATGCAAAAATATAGATTTGAGAGACAGATGGACATCCACAGCTATTGTCCAGCCTAGTTAACACTACATCAGAAAAAACGGGGCTTGTACTTGATCCCACAGCGCCCTGGTCTGTGTTGGGACTTATAAACATGGTCTCCATGAACAGCTGTGACATGGCTGAGAATCTACTTCTTCTAAGACATTTAATCTAGACTAGATGTTTACCAATATGTTTGATCAGAACAAATCTGTTTCTTCATACTGAGGTTGTTGCTGATGAAGCTGTTTTCACACAGATTCTAACTCATTCAAGCAGAAACACAAAAATCTTCCAGGTGCTACTTACAGCTCTCGCCATTGAGATATGACAGTAAGCCCTTTCGATCCGGTCGTCTGACAACAGGAATGTTCTCCGTCTGTAAACAATGTGCACTCATGTAAATATGAGGTGTGCTCAAGACAATTGGCCTGTATTTGATATAGCGCCTTCTAGAGTCCTGGAACCCCCCAAGGCGCTTTACAACACAATCAGTCATTCACCCATTCACACACACATTCACACACTGGTGGGGATGAGCTACGATGTAGCCACAGCTGCCCTGGGGCGCACTGACAGAGGCGAGGCTGCCGAGCACTGGCGCCACCGGTCCCTCCGACCACCACCAGCAGGCAACGTGGGTTAAGTGTCTTGCCCAAGGGCACAACGACAGCAACAGACTAAGCGGGACTCGAACCTGCAACCTTCCGATCACAGGACGAGCACTTAGCTCCTGTGCCACCGTCGCCCCGAGTGTAATAAAACATCATATTTTGTTTTATTTAAGCCAAGAAGGAGAATTCTACTCACTGCAGCTCTCCGCACGTAGGATGGATGTGAAAGATGCACATTGTTGAGTAAGAATAAAATAGAGTCCAGAGTATAGTACTCCTTGGGCTGGCCTTCTTTACCGGTTCTGGTGTCAGAAACACAAAGAAAAAGGAAAACAAATCAGACATTTTCACTTCACCTGATTTACAAACAATTCCCAAGGGCTTCACTACGGAGCCAGACTTCCTACTAGGGTCGGGCGATTTGTATCAATTTTCCCACCGCCAATCGTCAGTCCAAAAAATGACGATGCATGTGACGTCATCAATCAATCAATTAACCAATCAATACTTTATTAATCCCAGGGGGAAATTAGAGTTTCAGTACACACAATTCAGAGATCAGACATACATGGGCAAGACACATGACAAGAATTGGTGACTGTGGTCACTCGCAACCCTGAGTTGCGCTACCTTAATAGAGATAAGAGGGTTACATGAGGATTGGTTCAGGTGGAGGGAAAAAAAGGCACTTCAGAGTTACCCTCCCACCAGGAGGGCAGCTTTGCTCTGCAAAAAAACACCTCAACAAATATGGAACAGATTTCAGACAACACAACATGAGACTCCAACAGGAAGGCGGGGGGGGGGATCCTGTTTCCCTCAGCGAGAGCAGCCATCTACGACGCTCATCTACTGTACAGTCACAGGTGGGAGGGAGATCTTGGGAGAAGCGAAGAGTAAATATTATATTAATAATAATTATTATTATAATTATTTACTGTGGCAGAAGAAAAAATATCACGATATATTGCCACATCGATATTTTCTTACATCCCTATCTGGTAGCAACAGGTCAAACCTAAAATACCGTAAATCCTCTAATACAGGCCCGGGTCTGTATTTGACTCAAGCTCATCAAGCTCCAGGCCTTTATTGGAAGGAGGACCAGTATTAGAGGCAGGCCTCAATTTCTATTTGAGCAAAATGAGCTAATGGTTCGCTGGAGTTTTAGACAATTAAAATTGCGCCCACATTTTCAAAGTTAAACACATTTCTTTTGACAACGGTAGTTTCGGCTTCAGCCCTCTCCCCCCTCCCCCTGCTCAGCGGCCGCAAACTCACTGATGCGCCTGCAGCCTCTCGGAGTTCCTGCTGCTCTAAACATTAAAATAATTATTTCATTTTCTGTTCCTTACTTCTGATTACCTTCAATGGTGTCTGTTTGTTGCAACCACCAGGTACAAAAACTAACTTGTTTTTATTTGACTATTTTTCTGTCCTGCCTGTTTATTATCTTCCTGCATCTCCTCTCAATCCTAAAGAAAAACTGCTACCTGGGTTCATATATATTCACCTCATGAGTTACCTTTGAACTGCAGTTCTAAAAGATCTACAGACCGCAAAAACAGCGGAGTGCACGCCGGCTACATCAGTTAGGTCACCGAGGACAAAACAGGTGATGCGCCCCGATCCACAGCAGCGAAACGCATCAGGCACAAATAAAAGAATAAAAGACAGAAAACATAAAAGGAAATGAGCCGACATGAACGATCGCGTGTTAAATTAGTTTTTGAGGTGGCGACACCTGATTTGATAATGTTACTGTGGCTGTGCTCAGGACGCAGATGTCTGGAGCGCGTCAACAATCAGAGCTTTGCATGCGCAAGCTGGTTAAGGTTAGGATGGGGGTGAGGGGAATGTTAAATTGCAAGAGGGTAAAGGTCACAATTTGGTTAAATGTCTGTTTTACGGCGGGTGTCGGTACCGACGCTCTGACACAGCGCGTTGCCTCCAGACGCGCAGGAGCTTGTCACCTGCTGACAGCAGGCTGCTGTCTTTTCCGTGGACTGCATCTTGCCGGTCATTATCACGTGACAGCGACTAGTCGATGACAGGCATAACAAGTCACTATAGAGCGGTGAAGTCGACTAGTGACTAGTTCATACAACCCCTACTGCTCCCCAGAGTGTTCTGCAGCATAATCAGCACGTTCTCTTTGAACTTGATATCAAATTTTCGCCTCCTCTTCGTCTCCGCACGGTTAAAGTTACCCTCGCGGTCTATCGCTGGCAAATCAAAAATGAGACGGATGACACAACCGTCCCCCGTACTTGCTTGTTACCACATTCCACCTGGCCACAATAAAAAACCGTCCATTATTCACCTCCGCCGACTCCGGCCAAAATGTGATACCCAGCAGTTAATTAAATACAGGCTAATATTAGAGGATTTACGGTATGCTAAAAATCGCAGTTTTTAAAAACATGTCAACTTTTTTTTGTGTTATTAATGTCTGTTGTCCTTCGGGAATGCTGTAGGAGGACACACAGGGATTTATGGGAATTGGATGAGGAAAACGAAAGGAAGAAAGTAAATCAGTGTTTTGTGATCAGTTTAAATTGACATGATCACGACAAACACACTTTGACAATCCTTGCCATTGTGTGTGTAAAAACAAAGTGTAGAATAGGGCTGCAACAACGAATCGATAAATTCGATGAAAATCGATTAACAAAAGCGTTGGCAACGAATTGCGTCATCGATTCGTTGTGTTGCGCAACTCTTCCAAAAGCCCCCTCCCCTCCCGCCCGCCGTTGCGCGCAGACCGGTGGAGAGCCGGCAGGTGTTTGCAAGAGGAACATGGCAGAAGCAGCGAGACCCCAAAAAAGTAAAAACTTCTAAAGTTTGGGAGCATTTTCAGTTAAATCAGGCGAAGACATGCAACGTTTGTAGGTCAGACTTAGCATGGCACGGGGATACTACGGTGATGATGCAGCGTCTTAAACGCAAGCATGTCAGAATCATCAGCGAGGAAGGAGAGAGCTCGGTGTCCGGGTAAGTTAAAAACTTTTCAAAAGTGATTCACCCAAGCCCCAGATTATTACACAGGCTAGACATGCCCTAAGCTCGTAAAAAAAAGTCTATAAAATTGTAAGCGCGACGCTATTAGATAGGCGGGGAGGGGGGGGACTCGCGCCGCTGCGAACCGGTTCCGCCGTCACATTCCCGCAGAAACTGGTTGATCACACCGGGGCCAGACTACTAACATGTGGCTTTACAACCACAATGTCCTCAGAAGCGAAAACGCTTTTATAAGGGAGGGAGGAGTCCTAACTGTTGCTGCAGGCGTGTTGTGTGAGAGTGCAGTTATATACTGGTTAATATATGTTTGGGTTCAGTTGCTTTCATGTGGCCTAATGCGAGTCTATTTGGGATCATTGGAATGATCAGCAGCATTTCTTGATGTGACTTTATGGCAGTTGCCCAAGGAGAATGGCATTCATTTTCTTTTGTTTTATTTGGTATTTTTTCAGTCATTTTTGGAAATAGTGATTAATTTTGATTAATTCACAGCCTATATTTAATTACATTTAAAAATGAGTTGTTTGACATCCCCAATTATAATAAATGTCTACAGATGAGATCAAACAAAACAGATGAGAATTAGAGCAAGTCACCCCCAAATAAACTTTTTTTTGCTGATGAACTAAATAAACGAGTGTCTAATCGTGCTGCAGACGCGTGTCGTCAATAATTTGGCACTTCAGTGCATCTTAGTTAAAATTTAAATATTCTGCCTAAAACTGGCAGTGTTGTGCCGTTGTCAGGTAAAAACTCTGCACTGTATTTTAATTTAAATCTGCCACTGCTATTGGCTATGATGTAAACTGGTACATTATGATGTCACAATGCTGTCATGAGCCTGAGTGTGTGTGTATTTGTTAGCGGCTCCGCCCTCTCGGTCTGCCAGGCAACAGCATGTGTTGCATTTTTCAAACATGAAGTGGGAGTGGAGTTAGACTCTGGTAGGGGTTGACTTGCTCTTTAAGCTGTTTAACTTGGACCAAGCATTTTAGGTCACAGATAGGTGTAGCTTAGGATCTCTGTCTATACACCTTATAAGACAATTTAGGTGATGGCATGTTGTTTTTCTGCTATTGAACTGTTTTCTAATAATGTTGTGTTTAATAAAGTGAAGGAAGGAGAAAAATAACGTTTCCCTAGCAGTTTTTAAAAATGTCCCCATGTAATCCGATTAATCGATTAATCGTGTCGAGACCCCATCCGATTAATCGATTATCCAAATAATCGTTTGTTGCAGCCCTAGTGTAGAAATAAAAACGAATGACGTGAGTTAGTAGGGAAATAGCTGGTGAGTGGTGTTGATGCATGATTGCGCATGAGCTGTGAGCGGTTCTGGTACTTTTTGGGTCGCGGCCGCTCGCAGCGCCGCTTCAACCCTTACAAGAGATGAGCCAAATTTCAAACACGCCAAAAGTTCATGCGGGCTCACGATTGCTGATCGGTAGCTGGTTACGTGGTGTTGATCGTCTCTTGTAACCCCCTGTATATTTGTGGATTCTTGCACAAGAGGAAAATTGGCTCAAAAAGGTGAAAAACTCAGAGTACCCCCAGCTTTAGGGCCACTGAAAAGAAAAAAAAGGAAAGAAAATGCAGACTGACTTTTGTTTTCTCAGAATTCTGACTTTTTTCTCTGGATTATTAATGTCAGAATTCTGAGAAAAAGTCAGAATTCTCTCTTCTTTTCAGGGGCCCTAATCCTCTTCCATATTATTGAAATTACAGTTTATGCCAAAAAAGAAATCACAAATAAATATTTTCCAAAACTCATTTAGCCCTACAGAGAACCATAAAAAAGAAAGGCTGATACACAAAAACATACAAACATGGAGGAGCGCGTGCGCACACACAAACACACACACACCAATATGGAAAAAACATTTTCAAACAAAAACACAGCCAAATATTCAAAGATAAAATCATTTGCACTTACCAAAACGAACAATTATTTATTGCACACGCAGTTAGAGGTTATAAAATCATTTTTATTTAAATTTAGCTCAGCGGGAAATTCCCCTTATTCCCATCAACTCTTATCTCTGTCCTTGTTATTTGTTATCGTGTCTTTTCCGGTCTCTCCCCTCTGGATTTGGTTCATATTTTCACTTAGTACGAGAAAGCAAGGTAATCTCTGCTTGTAGTAAAGTGAATTTACTCTGACGTAGTTAATATACTCAAATCCACAACTGTGGATTTGGACAGGAAACATGAATCTGCTTTAATTTAAACATGACAACAACAAAATGCTGCTGATTACATATTAAAAACTAATTTGCACGTTTGATGGCAGTCCTGAGGTCAGTTTTGACTTAGTTTAGATAAAACTACTCATGTTGACGCATTAACCTCAGCAACTTTACTTTCTGCGGCTTTACTTCTGTTTCATGATCTGTAAATATGAATCAAAACGGAGCCATTTCCTCCAAGAAATATGTGTCCAAGACTTCATGCATCTACGTTAGCATGCCGCTAATAACTTAGCATCACGTTAGGCAAGTTTGACGGTAGTGCTTTTTAAATACGTACGTACTAGATTGCAAAATCATTTATTGGCATAGATACAAGCACGCATTATATATAATGCGTCACGAAATGAATGCATCGCGCTACGCTATTTAAAAAAGCTTCAAGTTTTAAACACAGCGAAGGAGACTAGAGTTGCATTAGCATTAAGTGGCTAACTAGTTTTACATTGCCAAGCGTGAGCTGCGGGCCTGGAAAAGGCGTTTAGAAGTATTTGTAACAGTGACATACCCCCAGATTATGTAATTAGTCTTGACATTTTTCGGCCAGGAAAACTCTCCAAATATCACTTCATCACCTTTAGCTACGATTTCTTTTTTCTGGATGTTATATTGACGGAGAACACTTAACACATCCGCCATCTTCACCTGCCTGGATGTAGTGCGCTAAATCGGGTTGCTAGGCCCCCCACATATCAACATCAGGTGGCCCCGGAAGATGCCTGATCAGAAAGAAACTTTCGAAATCGTTTTAGGTCATCATTATTTTCCTTTGATCTGGGTCTGCATCTGGCTTGTAAATGAACAATACATGCTATACTGGAGCTAGCTGAAAAAGTCAATGTTGCACTTGACAGAAGAGGTCACAGTGTTAGCGTTTTTCTGGATTTGTCTAAAACATTTATGATTGAAATTCTACTCATTAAGCTGAAACATTGTGGAATTAGAGGCCTCTGGTTTAGTAACTATTTGTGTTGAAGAAAAAAACTTATTACAAAAAATTAACATCTATAAAGGTTATTTTTAGGACCAATTATGTTCCTCTTGCACAAATAACTTGACTAAGTCCTCATCTGTACAACATAAAATATTCAGTGATGATACAAACAAGAACCAAAAGGAAGTAGAAAACATTTTGGATAATGAACAACTGAAAATAGGCTAGATTCCTGGTTTAGGTGGAAGAAACAGTCTCTCAGCAGCAGAAAAACATACTACAACACATGTCATTCCAATAAAAATAACTGACACCAAGCAAATCTTTCTCAAAATGAATTGACTGATTGAATTATAATACTCTATCAGTGCTACCAAATCAAATTTCTGGGGAACCTGATTAATGCATGTTTTTATCAAAATGTCAAATTGATTGCCTGATAAAAATATACTTCTATTAGTTTCAAACTGAAACTGAAGCTCTGAAAGATTTCTCCCACTTTCTGCAGACAATTCTCACCCTATATAAAACCTTATTTGAGCCCCATCTACAGTTCTGCAAAACTATATGGTATAACATATTTTTTCAAATCCAAAAAACTTTATAAAGTTAGACCCCTCCACCCTCATTTAAGCCTTACTGAATACAAATGCTTTCAGAATGCTTGTAAAATGCACTGACTTGCTCACAACCTGTGTGATCTCATTCAGATAGTCCTATACACACCACAACTATCATCAAAAGGGAAGATTATTGAGAAAATGTATGTAAAAATGTACAAATTTTATCTGCAGATCTGGAATCAGCTTGACGACAAGCTCTAATGCCACGTTTAATAATCTCAGTTTTTAAGAAAAACTGACAAACTTCTCTGCATACAAATTGGCTACTCGTGTAGAATGCTGGGATCGACTTCTTTATGTCTTTTTGTGTGTTTGTTGTTACTCCTGAAACAATTAGGAGTTAACTGTTCCTAATATATCAGGAATATTACGAATATCCATTTGGCTAACGAACTAGGGCTCTGATAAAAATTTTGAAAAGCTTATCTGAGGTAAGAAACCAGAAACCAATCCATAACAATCTCTCACTCACTTGTAGATGCAACCAGTGCTTAATTTGAGCCGGATCTTGCCAGAACAAGATCCGGGAACTATTTTATTTTGAAAGGACCATTCCGGCAACTGTCTGCTAGGTTCCGGTAACTCCAGGAGACCAGTCTAGGTTTCAACCAGTGTCTTAATCCAGGTCCTCCGCTGATTCTGTCATGATATTCACTGCATGCCTAAACCTCTGCCTGTCATGGGGTTTGTCATTTTTTCCTGTTCCATCACTTCTCCACACGGTTGACCTTTCTAGGGGAGTCGGTCCGCAATGTCGGGTGGCACCTATCACGGGCCATCGCACCGGTTCGTGAAGCACCGGCTGCCCAGCCTGAGCCGGCTGATCCTGCTCCTCCACCTGCACCTCCTCTGCCTTCAGCTAGAACTTTGAAGGTGGAGTGGTTTCTGTTGCCAGACTCGTCGGCTCCATAGTTCTCTATCTCGAGTTACACAAGTTTGTCTATTGTCTACTGTTTGTGTGTGTGCATGGTTGTCTTTCCTGTTTATACATGACGTGCAGACTTGGGTGATTTGAGATGAACATGCTATGGATTCCTGAAGTCAGGTAATCAGGTAGTTAATGGGTTTAGTCCACATATTACTGTTATCCAACTTTGTTTTTATTTTCACTAATCTTAATACCTTATGGGTACATTCACATGTAGGTTGATTACCAACTTCACTGATTTACATTTTTAGTGCTCTTTGACACTCATATCTATCTTTTTATAGAAATTTACTACAGTGATTAAGTTTTGAAAACTTTATGATTAACTTTGTTAATTTACCATTATCTATCATTAGCTCCTCCTTGAACCGTCACCTTATCGTGGTGGAGGAGTTTGAGTGCCCTAATGATCCTAGGAGCTATGTGTTCTGGGGCACTTAGTGCCCCTGGTAGGGTCTCCCATGACAAATTGGTCTTAGGTGAAGGGTGAGACAAAGAACGGTTCGAAGGATCTTTCATGGCGGTTAAAACGAAGAGTCGGAGTACCCGGCCCGGAGGGTTACCGGGGTCCCACCCTGGAGCCAGGCCTGGGGTTGGGGCCCGTGAGCGAGCGCCTGGTGGCCGGGCTTTCGCCCATGGGGCCCGGCCGGGCCCAGCCCGAACCGGATACATGGGCTCGTCCAACTGTGGACCCACCACCCGCAGGAGGAACATGAAGGGTCCGGTGCAATGCGAATCGGGTGGCAGACCAAGGCGGGAGCCTTGGCGGTCCAATCCCCGGACAAGAAAACTAGTTTTTGGGACATGGGACGTCACCTCGCTGGCGGGGAAGGAGCCGGAGCTTGTGGCAGAGGTTGAGCGGTACCGGCTAGATATAGTCGGACTCACCTCGACACATTGCATTGGCTCTGGAACCCGAGACCTGGAGAGGGGTTGGACACTCTACTTTGCTGGAGTTGCTCCGGGTGAGAGGCGGAGGGCTGGGGTTGGCTTTTTGTTAGCCCCGAGACTCTCTGCCTGTGTGTTGGGGTTTACCCCGGGGGACAAGAGGGTAGCTTCCTTGCGCCTTCGGGTCGGGGAACGGGTCCTGACTGTTGTTTGTGCTTATGGGCCAAATATCAGTTCAGAGTACCCACCCTTTTTGGAGTCCCTGGGACGAGTGCTAGATAGTGCTCCATCAGGGGACTCCATTGTCCTGCTGGGGGACTTCAATGCTCACGTGGGCAATGACAGCTTGACCTGGAGGGGTGTGATTGGGAGGAACGGCCCACCTAATCTGAACTCGAGCGGTGTTTTGTTATTGGACTTCTGTGCAAGCCGCAGTTTGGCCATAACGAACACCATGTTCGAACATAAGGATGCCCACCGGTACACTTGGTACCAGGGCAGCCTAGGTCACAGGTCGATGATAGATTTTGTAGTCGTATCATCTGACCTGCGGCCGTATGTTTTGGACACCCGAGTGAAGAGAGGGGCGGAGCTGTCAACTGATCACCACCTGGTGGTGAGTTGGATCAGATGGCAAGGGAACATGCCGCGTAGACCTGGCAGACCCAAACGCATAGTGAGGGTCTGCTGGGAACGCCTGGCAGAAGAACCTGTCAAGACGGTCTTCAACTCCCACCTCCGGCAGAGCTTTGACCACGTCCCGAGAGCAGTGGGGGACATTGAGTCCGAGTGGGCCTTGTTCCACTCTGCGATTGTCGAGGCGGCTGTTGCTAGCTGTGGTCGTAAGGTGGCCGGTGCCAGTCGTGGTGGCAACCCCCGTACCCGCTGGTGGACACCAGAGGTTCGGGGAGCCGTCAGGCTGAAGAAGGAGGCCTACAGGGCGTGGCTGGTCTGTGGGTCTCCGGAGGCAGCAGACAGGTACCGGATAGCCAGGCAGGGTGCAGCAGTGGCAGTTGCCGAGGCAAAATCTCGGGCGTGGGAAAAGTTTGATGAGGCCATGGAGAAAGACTATCGATCGGCTCCAAAGAGGTTCTGGCAAACTGTCCGGCGCCTCAGGAGAGGAAGGCAGCAACTCGCTCACACTGTTTACAGTGGGGATGGGGAGCTGCTGACGTCAACTGAGGCTATAGTCGGACGGTGGAAGGAATACTTTGAGGAGCTCCTCAATCCCACCAATGCGCATTCCGAGGAGGAACCAGAGCTGGGAGGCCTGGGAATGGACTGTCCGATCTCGGGGGCAGAAGTTGCTGAGGTAGTCAAACAACTACACAGCGGCGGAGCCCCGGGGGCGGATGAGGTTCGTCCTGGGTATCTCAAGGCTATGGATGTTGTAGGGCTGTCATGGTTGACACGTCTCTACAACATTGCATGGTCATCGGGGGCAGTTCCTAGGGAGTGGCAGACCGGGGTGGTGGTCCCCATCTTTAAGAAGGGTGACCTGAGGGTGTGTTCCAACTATAGGGGGATCACACTCCTCAGCCTCCCTGGAAAGGTCTACGCAAAGGTACTGGAGAGGAGGGTCCGATCGATAGTTGAATCTCAGATAGAGGAGGAGCAATGTGGTTTCCGTCCTGGCCGTGGAACTGTGGACCAGCTCTATACCCTTGCAAGGGTGATGGAGGGGGCATGGGAGTTTGCCCAACCAATCCACATGTGCTTTGTGGATTTGGAGAAGGCTTATGACCATGTCCCCAGGGGCACCCTGTGGGGGACGCTCCAGGAGTATGGGGTGGGTGGCTTTCTGTTAAGGGCCATTCAGTCCCTTTACCAGAGGAGCGTGAGTTTGGTCCGCATAGCCAGTAGTAAGTCGGACCTGTTCCCAGTGAGGGTTGGACTCCGACAGGGCTGCCCTTTGTCACCGGTTCTGTTCATCACTTTTATGGATAGAATTTCTAGACGCAGCCGTGGTGTGGAGTGTGTCGAGTTTGGTGGAAGGAGAATCTCGTCTCTGCTTTTTGCGGATGATGTGGTCCTCCTAGCTTCATCCAGCTCTGACCTTCAGCTCTTGCTGGGTAGGTTCACGGCCGAATGTGAAGCGGCTGGGATGACGATCAGCACCTCCAAATCTGAGACCATGGTTCTCGACCGGAAAAGGGTGGCTTGCCAACTCCGGGTCGGGGGAGAGGTCCTACCTCAAGTGGAGGAGTTTAAGTATCTCGGGGTCTTGTTCACGAGTGAGGGTAGGAGGGATCGGGAGATCCACAGGCGGATTGGTTCGGCGTCTGCAGTGATGCGGACGCTGAGCCGATCTGTCGTGGGGAAGAGGGAGCTGAGCCAGAAAGCCAGGCTCTCGATTTACCGGTCGATCTACGTCCCAATCCTCACCTATGGTCATGAGCTTTGGGTAATGACCGAAAGAACGAGATCGCGGATACAAGCGGCCGAAATGAGTTTCCTCCGTAGGGTGGCCGGGCTCAGCCTTAGAGATAGGGTGAGGAGCTCGGACATTCGGGAGGGACTCGGGAGTAGAACCGCTGCTCCTCCGGATCGAAAGGAGCCAGTTGAGGTGGTTTGGGCATCTGGTCAGGATGCCTCCTGGACGCCTCCCCGGGGAGGTGTTTCGGGCATGTCCTGCCGGCAGAAGGCCCCCGGGTCGACCCAGGACACGTTGGAGAGGTTACATCTCCAATCTGGTCCGGGAACGCCTTGGGGTCCTGCCGGAGGAGCTGGTGGACAAGGCCGGGGAGAGGACGGCCTGGAGCTCCCTAATTGGGATGCTGCCCCCGCGACCCGGACCCGGATAAGCGGAGGAAGACGAAGACGAATTTACCATTATGGGCTACAACCATTTTTGCCCTTGAGTTTGATTTCATTTTTACTTAGTGCAGTGATTTCTCCCATTCCCAGTATAGGGTTTTATTAATTTTATTCTTTTTGCACCATTTTTTCCAGTGCACGTAGTGTATTGCACCCATTTCTTTGCTTAAAGGCTATTCACATAATTGCTACACATAGTACATGCAGGTACTCATACTGATAGGTTTCTTTTTGTTTATTAATTTTAGGGCTGCACGATAGTAGGAAAACCTGCGATATTCGATAACAGTGCTTAATATTGCGATATCGATATTACTCCCGATAAATGAACAAATACTAAAGTATGTAGTGTTGATGTCGTCTGGCGTGTGACGTCTGCTCTGGGTTCAACGCAGACAAAAACTAATGCATGAATTCCATTACAACATAACATTTTTATTGCAAAAATATGCAGCTGCACCTGCTACTGTATTAGCAGCTGCACCTGCTACTGCATTAGCAGCTGCACTTGCTACTGTATTAGCAGCTGCACCTGCTACTGTATTAGCAGCAAAACAACAAACTGCATGCATGCAGTTTCTCAGTGACTTTAAAACATCACCTCCACCATAAAACTTTTTCTGATGCTCCAAATACAGAAAAACATCCCTTACCAGGGTTTTTGAATAAATAAAATATCAGAAAATAAGTTTAAATGTTAAATAATAGTTAACATCACTTAAATGCAACAGCAAATTCTCTCATTGCCACTGAGCATTTTCTCCACTTATGTGGTTATGATATAAGGCTGTTGCTGTAATTGGGAAGTGAACTGTGCTGGGCCAAACTAGGAGAATATTAAGATTTTCTGAGGAAAAGAGAAAAACAATTGTCTACCTTTCAGAAGAGGAACTGGCAAAAAAAAACTACATGGAAAATATGTGAAAACGTTTGTTTTTAACCCCAAATTGAACAAGTTTACCTAGATCTTAAAAAACAGCTCAGATGATGAAACTGCAACTATGATTCTGATAACAAGCTAACAAATTGAACTAGCTCCTCTAAGATAAGCGGCTAGCAGAGCTTCTGACTGACAGTTTATGTGCAGCAGCAAATCAACTATCCTGATTAACAAGGTTATAAAAGCTCATAAATGAAAAATCACTTTGATGTGTGGGGGAACTTTTCCAGGCCCTCTAGGGTGGGACTGGGAGGAGAGTGCTGTAGCCTTTTAGCTGGAAGCTAACCGGAGCCTGGGGCTAACACCACCCGGTGGAACACTAGCGACATGAAGGTAGGTGGGTTGGTTCACCGGCACGTGTCGGAGTCAGCCCGGTTGTTATCAGCTGCTTAACGACACCGAGCGGACTCATGTTGATGCTTGAAAGCAGCGCTGATTCCAGAAACCTCAGCACAAAGTGCGTTCGTTAACCTGAGCCAGCATGACGAACAAGGGAACGGCGTCGCTAAGTTAACTCAGTTCGGGTGTTGCGTTCCACACATCCTATGGGTCTACGTAGGGGGCGGGCGTATTACGTGAACGGACCCATCTGATTGGACGCATATCAGAAGGGCTACATTTGATCAGTCAAATAATACTTCCGCGTAAAAAACAGAGCTGGTTTACAAAAAGTTGATGTATGACACGGATGGAAATGTTTGAACCAAACATTTATCGCCCTTTTTGACGTGCTTTGCGATGGGCCTATCGCACGTCCTGTTATCGCGATGACGATAATTTTTCGATATATTGTGCAGCCCTAATTAATTTGCATTAGACGCCATTTTGTTGTGTCTACATTGAAGTGCCCTGTGCGGTGCTCTCTCTCCTCTGCTGAGTTTCGCTGATGATCCTCGACTCGTCATCGGATTCTGCTCCTCCTGATAGGTGTTCCGGCTCGTAGGACCTGGACGTACGTGGATTCCGGCATGGCTGCTGGGATTCTTCGCTCGCTGGGACCTGACCTGCCTGCTGCTCTTTCCTGCACTGGACCACGATAAGTGCAATTACAAAGATCAATATACTATTTTGAAAGTATTCCCTACCCGTGGATATATAAAGTTGCTCCTGCTTCAAATGGTTACTTCCACGGAGATATCTTGATAATCTACTGACTTGTGTGCTTCCCAAGGGAGTATGCAAGACTGTTGAAACCATAGACTGTTCTTCGGAGTGGGGTTCGTACCTCACCACTTTTGGCCTCTTCCTGGGGAACTGCACCTTCCCCTATTGTCGGAGTCCCTTTAGGACTCTGGTCTGTTCAATGCCAGGTGGTCTCTGTACGGACCACCATACCATTGAAAAGGGGGGATTTGTAACGGAATGAAATGACTGTTTTCCACCTAAAAGTCATTTTCCCCCTCTCCTCAGCAAGAACTAATCTGCATGAGATATTGCTCAAGGTCGTGCATTTGCTTCTAAACTGTTTTCCTTTCCAACCCAAGAGAAGAATAAAGACAAAGGACTCTTTCTTTTTAATAAATCAAAGAACTCTATTTTTAATAAAGCTAATCAAACAAAGTGTTAGTCAATAATAAGATGTTGGCCAATCTGTGAAATGACAATGTTATGATTAGTAAGTTTTAATAAGTAATATGACTTTAATCTAGCTGCACTAGACATGCTGATCACACGTAATGTAAACACATGACACATTGCTTTTACTCATCCAATCAGAACCTTCCTTTCTGAAGTGTGGCATAGTCTCTGTGGTGTTTATAAATCTGCCAACTTTGATTCGACCAGAAATCAAAATATCCAGATTAATAAAACCAGTCCCCACGCCATCTTAGTCCAGTTCTCTGCAGTTCACCACATGCTAAGAGAAGTATTGGACCGGCCACCCGGACTTCCTTTTTAAGCTGAGAACCAACAAGCTGGATAAAATCTGTTGCATTTTACCAACCAAGCAACGGTTCCTTTCAGAATAAAAGCTGAACTCACTGACCCTCCGGGTCCATCTGACGCTGTCATATTTACTATGGAATCTCATGTCTTATGGTTCGTTAAATAAATGTAAATTAACCCTTTATATCATGATCACAATAAAAAACAATATCCTTCAGACTGAACTATGAGCACGAATGTAATCACCCCAGAAATAAAATGACTGTCAGCACAGTGTAATTATTCAGTGTCTGGTGAATAACAAAAGTAGCTTAAATCTCCTTATTTTCTCATCATACAAAAGTACATTCATTTTGTTTAATTCTGCAAAAGTAGCAATTATTAGTTTTGCATAACAAAACTGTCATGAACTAAAGATACAGCAATAAAACTGTAGCAAATTCAGTAACTGTAAACGTCTGTTAAACATCTGTGGTCGTTCCTCCTCCACAGAAAACCCCCCGCAGTGTTCCATTTCTGATGCATAGAATTCAGAATCAGATTCAGCCCATCTCACTTAAAGGAACCATATCATGGAAAATCAACTTTTCTGGGCTTTTTACCATGTGATATTATTTCCTCATGAAAAATATCCCCAAACCCGTTTCTGGCGGCATTCATGCATTTTCCTGCATCAGCTGCAAAAGCCTCAACGGTAACTTTGGGCCTTCCACACTAGGGCCAGCTCCAGTCCGCAGTCAGCCCCAGCCTGGCCAGGTCGATTACACACATCCTTCCACTCATTCTTAGGAATGCAGGTGTGACCGAGCATATGGGCGGTCTACAAATTGGCATGAAGATACCAGTGATGTCATGGTCGCATCTCCAAGCACGTGGGCAGGGCAAAAATAAAAAAATAAATAAAAACATGTAGAGAAATCTGCAGTGTCTCCCTTAAAAAATTTAAATGAGGTGGCAGTAAGCAATGCTGCTTTTGGCGACTGATATTACATCCTGCTCTGCTGTGTCTGTCCTGGCGCAGCTTAAAGAGCAAGTAACACCTAAATTAACTTTTCTTTTTTATTTTTGCCGATAACCTGTATCTGCTCTGCTCCACATTTATTTATAATCAGCTGTGGTTGATGGCTAAGCTGAAAAACGTGACCTTGTCAGTAAAGTACTGCGTGGCTGCACTGCACTGGTCTCCACGTGAGGCAGCCGCACCTCCACCTGGCTCAGCCACTCACCTGCCGATTGGACACATTAGCGCTTTGAGCCGCTTTCCTCCTTGAAAAAAAATGCCCTCCACCCCTTTTCATCTAATGATCGTGTTTAACAGGAAATCCTCCAGAATGTAGCAGAATGTGTCTGCTCTTCTCCTGAGCGGTAAGTCTTGTGTGAGGGCGTGCTCGCTAACAACTTGTTTTTAGATTGAGAAACTCCGACAGCACATGCGGGGAGTTGAGGGGGGTGCGGTCTATCACTGCCTCAGTAGAAGCATTTTCCTAACAGGAAGTGTGGATGAAATACGTCTCCACCCATGCATTGACCCTGACTTTAAGCCAGTCTGTGTGTGCTCCTCACTGCAGAGAGAAGGGGGAAGAAAAGAGATGGCTTCAGCCTGAGGCTGTTTCCTCCTCAGTATCCAGAATGGTAATAAATCGCACATGTGGAAAGTCCCTGCTGGCTGAGTCTATCCACCAATCGGAGGCTCCCCCTAATGGTATGCATGAATTAGAGCTGGCCAATCAGTTGGCAGTTGGTGTGTTGGACCAGTTCACATTGAAGTAGACCACCTTAGGAAGAGGGCTGAAAAAAATCCAGGCTGTGCGGATATGAACAATTCCTACCCTATCTATGCAGAGTAGAGCCGGCGCTAGTGCAGAAGCCCTATAGGTGTGTCATCAGGCCCTGCTCCTCCCTCTGAAGCTAGTCTCAGACCTGGAACCCACCTACCCTAGAAGTAGGTCACTAACGCCCACTTTCTCCTAGTTGCAGGCACAGAGCAGTTGATTTCATGTTGCACTTGAGAATGTGACCTTCATATCACAGATGACTGCTTTAAACCTTCATCGGTACCAGAGTGGACATTCTGACAAATTACTTCTACCACGAGTCCTGTCCACAAATACGCACGTAATAGCCAGAACAGGACATGTGTCTTAAGCCGGGCGGACACTGTGCGACTTTTTCACTCGTAGCACTCAGCTTCAGCTCAAACTGTACGAGTTCCTCGCAGGGCAGATCTCACGAGTCATGTGCTCACACTGTACGACCCAGTTCTCGGATGCGATCTGACTGCTCACACTGTACGTCTGGTAGCAACACGTCGGACCTAAAAATATGCTAAAAATAGCAGTTTTTACTCAACACGTCAGTTGTTTTTGTCTTGTTTTGCCTGTTGTCCTTCGGGAGTGCTGCAGGAGGACACACAGGGATTTATGGGGGTTGGATGAGGAAAACGAAATAAAGAAAGTAAATCTGTTTTGTGATCAGTTTAATTTGACATGAACACGACAAACACGCTTTCTTGACAATCTTTGTGACGTGTAGAAATAAAAACAGTGTGTGTTATTAGGAAATAGCGGGCGAGCGGTGTTGATGCAGGATTGCGCATGCGCCGTGAGCGGTTCTGATACTTTTTGGGTCGCAGCTGCTCGCAGCGCCGCTTCAACAGTGCGATACCCTCACGAGGGACGAGCAAAATATTAAACACGCCAGAAGTTTGTGCGAGCTCACGATTGCTGATCGGTAGCTGGTCACGTGGTGTTAATCGCCTCTCGTAACCCCCTGTACACGACGCTCAGCGCTAAACTCGCCCCGATCTCGTGGATTCTCGCACGAGTGGAAAATCGGCTAAAAAAAGTGAAAAAGTCGCACTGTGTACGCCCGGCTTTAGGCGACTTACATTTCATATTGGGTTTAGTAGCCCAGTGGTTGGAGTAACTGACTTGTAGGCTGTTTTGCTATGACCTTACAAAGGTTCGCCTCCCATTCACGGCAGTAACTTTTTTTTAGATACACTGGCCAGCACTGTTTTCAACCCTTTATTAGTAAACTGTTTAAAATATAAATACTAATTTTTATTTGACTTTTTGTGCTTATTTAACCAGTGTGAGTCCATGTGAGGTGAGCAGAGTAAAACAACTAAAATGCTGCATGGAAACGACCAAATGCAAAGATTTTTAGAGACACAAAACACATTGCGGAAAATCACCAATTAAACTAAAATATATTTAAAAAAATTAAATCTACTTCAGCTGGCTAAATAAATTACTGCCGACCCTGGGAATGGAATCGGCATCAGGAGATGGCAAAACAAGGTTAAAGGCAGACGCTGTAAACACTGGACTACCAAGGCCAATACAGCGATTGACTTGCCTAAGACGCTGTTGTAGGCGCGTTTGTCGGAGCGGGCTTCACCGAAACTAACGGCTTTATTTCTATGTATAAATTTAGGCTGACAAAAAAGAACTTACATTAGGATAAAGACATCTCAATACTGCCAATTTGGCAAGATTTTATCATACGTGCCTACTTTTGTTCTCAAAGGTTTAAAATAGCATGACCTTTAAAGTTTGAAACATTAGCATCAGCTGAAAAAATGAGTTTCCAAACAAAAACAACAATAATCTCCAACATGGATGTTTATATTTCAAGTCACTGGGGGTCTCTGATAAAAACTCAACAGGAGCGGGACAGACTAGTTATCTCTACCATTACTAGCCTAAAGGCAAGGTCAGTGGGAAAGTGTTGGTGTTTACAAACAAAAACATTAAAAACAACCATTTATGCCAAAAAGTTTTTGTTGTTGACTTTGGTGCTTTCATCATTACAAGATGAAAAGAACCCACTCCTCCTCAGCTACAACAGTCTGACTCTTACCTGCCTTCTTCTTGCTCTAAAACTACCAAAACCATCAAAAACCACAGACTCGGGCTAGCTACATATGCATCTTTTCAGATTTAACAGAAAACATACGTAACACCTCCAGATAGTAGTCCAGCCCGCTGGACGCTTGGTCGACTGTTTAGAAGCAACATAACAAAAAAGGAGAATCTGGAATTAAGAATGTGAGCATATTTTGGATTTATGTGAGCAATGCTGGTCTGCTTTGTGCCTTCAGTTTGTACGCAACGGCCCCTAACAGATCAGATCCTGGGCAAGGCTCCGAATCACACTAAACGCTCCGACATCGAAGCCACAGATGTTGAGTAAACCGCAGTCCTCCGAGTCTGCGATGGTGTGTCCGATGGAAGTCAGGCCACACATCACTAACTTGGAGTTGGCCCCCGATGCCTGCAGGAGAACAACCAGAACAACAAGCCTGGTGGGTGCATGATCACAGTTTCCTAAACTTCTCTCCTGTTGCATTTCTGTGTAGCAAACGGATCTCCTTGTGCTATTTTTGTCCACACACACACTCACACACCAGTCTGTGCTTCGTTAGCGTCTCCACTGGGCTAGCGCTGAACGTCCACAGCGGGTTGTTGGTCAGAACGATGAAGATGTCTACACATTTCCTGTTCCCTGTGGCCCACGCGATGGGAAGGGTGCAGTCAGTGGTGCTGTTGGGAAACTGTGGGAGAAAACAGAACCTTGGGTGGCTGCGGATTAAAGGCAGGGTCCTTGGTTCCCAGTGAGTGGAAGCTCTGGGAAACGGTCCCAGTCCCTAACGCAGGGCTTCAGCTGGGTTCAGTAAATTCCATTTCAAACTTCTTAAAACCAACATGGCTCCAATTTAAGACAAACACTCTAAAAATCCCCATGAATTACATTTTATTATCTTCTGTTTTTCAAAGATTTTAAGAAAAAAGAAACTTGTAAAATATTCAGATACTTGTTCTGAGCATTTCCTTTCTGGAGTTGCTGCAGTGCATCATGGGAGTAGCAGTTTTTTAATAAAATATGGCTCCCACAGAGGAGAAATCCCCTTGTTACAGCAGCACACACACTTACATAAATAACAGGATTACAGGCAAGCACACAAAGGCAATAAGCCATTATTGTAACCTTCAACCACTAAAGACAGCAAATAAAAAGGAAACTTTCAAGGGCTTAGCGATTAATTGCACATGCAATTAAACTGAAATGTGACAAAAGGAGATTTTCCAATCACAATGGCTGCGATTTGACTGGCAGTGAGTGGTTAGCACTACGCTAATATACATGGAAAACCCGATAGGGATGCTAATGCTAATGTCGCCGATTACATTCTTACAAATTACGAATTAGGAACGTGCCAAATTATTAGGCCCGAGCAGTGAAGCTGCGAAGGCCTATTGTATCTGCTCCGTTTCTTCTTATTATTCTTTTTTCTTCCGCGTCTTTGAATGGCCTTTAGGGGGTCTTAGCATATCCAAAAAGTCACCAAATTCTGGCCCAATATAGAAAGTGCGTGAAATTTACGTATTTCACTGGCGATGTGAAAGTTCGTCAAAAAGTGACTGAACAGCACCCCCTAGAAAGTGAAAAATACCCCTCTCCATAAAGCTTAGTTTATCGTACAGTTATGAAATTTGGTATACTTGTAGTACTCAACAGTCCGCACAGAAAAGTCTCTTGCAATCATGGTCAATATCAAACAGGAAGTCGGCCATTTTGGAGTAAAGTGGCCATTTTGACCCCGTTTTGGCCATTTCTAGGGTCTATATTTGGTTGAACAGTTTGGTCATTTTTCGCACCATCGTCTCAAAAATTGTGTGAGATCGAACAGAAGCGATGGACGATTCAAATGAGACAATAAAATTGACTTTTCGTAAATACTGAAGGGGCGGGGCCAGGCCTCAAAGTTCGAGCACTCGCCAAAAAAATTCAAATTGCTATAATTTCATAAATGAAAGAATTACAGTTAAAGAAATGTTCTGTGGACAATTGTCATCGCCCTCCGAAGACAAATGAATGGTCGATTGATGATGTCACATAAGCCCCGCCCCCTCAGGACTTAAAAGGTCAAGTTTTACTGGGAAATTTTCCAAAATTCGCCCTTTCCAATAATTAACCCAAATTTGTAGCGGGTAACTGAAGACAAGTTGGGGTTGCTTGGCTTCACTTTATGGGAGTTTTCTGCAGAAGGCGGGGCTGTGGCGGCGCGGCGAATTCAGGCGTACCGCTTAGGCCTTACGTTTGCCTCCCATTTCGTCATTTCTAGAGATTTCGCCACGAAGCTTCTTGTGAGTGATCCTAGTCTGGCCCCCCAAAAGATCTGATGTGAAATTCCGGTGGGCGTGGTCTATTTTCTGAAATAGCGCCCCCTAGGACCATTAAAACTGACAGCCCCAAGCCATGCTTTGACTGAGGATTACGAAATTTGGTACACTAATGTGGTGTCTCAGGACCTACAAAAAAGTCTCTTGGAGCCAAGTGCATTGTCGCACAGGAAGTCGGCCATTTTGGTCCAAGTGCGCAATTTAGTGGTTTTCGCACACGTTGTTTGGAGAGTGATGCTCCGTCGCCCTTTTCACCAATTGCCTTCACACTTCGGCTACATACTCTTAAGACATAGATGAAAAAATTCAACCGTCGGATTTTAAATAAGTATAAAGGTGTGGGCGTGGCTAAGCCTCAAACTTTGACCTGTCGCCACGCCACTCTTTTTTTCACAGCTCCCTATTGGACTCCTTTTAACCAATCACCACCAAACAGTGGCGAATAGCAGCAGACAAGTTGAGGTCACTTGGTCTATAGTACTGGCAGGTTTCGAATAAAGGCGGGGCTTTGGGAGAATGGCGAAATTCGCCATCACGACATGGAAATACGTTTGTCTCTCATTTCTTCAGTCATTGTGACATCGCCATACAAGTTCTGATGAGTGATCCTACTCTGACCCCTAATAGAATTGGAGAGCTGAAGTTTGTGGGCGTGGCCTATTTTCTGAAACAGCGCCCCCTAGGACCATTAAAACAGTCAGCCCCAAGCCATGCTTTGACTGAGGATCACAAAATTTGGCACACTAATGTAGTGTACCAGGACCTACAAAAAAGTCTCTTGGAGCCAAGCACAATGTCGCACAGGAGGTCGGCCATTTTGGTCCAAGTACTCAATTTAGTGGTTTTCGCACACGTTATTAGGAGAATGATATCTCCTCGCCCTTTCCACCGATCACCTTCAAACCTCTGCTATATACTCTTAAGACATAGAGGAAAAAATTCAACCGTCGGATTTTAAATAAGTATAAAGGTATGGGCGTGGCTAAGCCTCAAACTTTGACCAGTCGCCATTACCTTATTTGACTTAACAACTCCCATGTGCATGATCAGATCAATTTCATACTTTGTCTGTGTGATCACTGACCACATCTGAAGACAGTGACGATGTGGACAGCTGACATCACCTAAGCCCCGCCCCCTGACTACAGGAAGTCAACTGTTTTATGGTGAAATGCCCATATTTGTTCCCTCTAATTTAGTCAAGATGACACTAAGGTCATGCACTGTCTTCATGATGTTGTAATGACCATTCAGATCTGATAGCTTTTCAGAAAGGCAGGGGCTTTGATGCCATGGCGATTTCTGACGTGACGCTGTGACCTTACGTTTGACTGTAACTTCCACAAACAGCCTCCGACTTGCCCGAGACTGAACATCACATCACCAGTGTGGTAAAGATAGAGTATCTCCTAGTGGTGAGACGTGTAATGGTGGGCTCAGAGGGGATGCTGAGTCAGGGTAAGGTGTGGACGAGGAGGCCGTTCACGGTTTCTGGTGTCGGGGTGGTTGACTTTCTGTTCCGCCAGACGTTCCCTGGTGCCCCCGGCTGCCGGGCAGGATGGAGAAGCGCGGAGCTGGGTTTGGAGAGTGTCGGGGATGGAGCGGAGGGGGTGCGGAAGGAGGGCGAGCAGCTTCGCTGCGAGGGCCGAACGACGCTGCTTGCAGCTTTAATTACATTTGGAGTCTAATAAGAAGTAAAAACTGCCATCAGTCAAATAAGTACAGACGGATATTTTAGTAAAGCTAGAAAACCGTAAGAGGCTTTAACTCCACTGAATTTTGGCTAGCAGCTAAGGATGTAACTGAACTACGGAAGCTCTGCATGGAAAAGACGTCAAAAAACTCTAAACACAAAAGACTTCAATAAACAGGACACACTTATGTTTATGTTTATTTATTTAGCAGACGCTTTTATCCAAAGCGACTTAAAATCTGTAACCTATAGGGCGCGTTGTGATCTGTGGGGTAAACCGGAGGAAACCCACGCATTTCTTTCCTGCAAATAAATGTTCACTGTTGATGCTAATACCTATGCTCCTTCAAGGGTCGTGCTCCTGGCTGCAAAGCATTGCACCTGCACATACATATCTAGACACATAAACTTGTTTATATTCAGTACAAGTTAGACAGATTATCTTTGCTTCCATTAGTTGAAAAATATAAGAAAAGCCCCTTGAGAAAATAATTGTGAATTAAATCGCAATTAGATTACATTCCAGAATCGTTCAGCCTAGTTTCCACAACTACGCAGCATGAGGAACACAGACGTACCAATGTACATTTGGTATTGCACAAGAATTGAACACACACTGAATTTTGCATTGTTGTCTTGTAATCATGGACGTAAATTTTTTTTGGGGGGGGGGGGGACATGTCCCCGCCCCACTTTTTCCAAAGTCAAGTTTTGACCCCTGCACTTTTTACCATCCAAAAACAATATTATGCTATATTAAATTGACACTGGTTGAGCTCTAGGACCAAGCGGAAAACAACCGTTTTTGTTGAAGCCTGTTTCTGATTAGAGCATACTGTAACGACAACACCCCGTCCCTCCCACTTCTAAAGTGAAAAATACGTCCATGCTTGTAATAACAGAATCCTCAGAAAGAATAGTAAAGGAAGAGGTGAGGCGTGAACAAGTTAAACTTAAATGAAGGCCTCAAATGGAAAATCCAGTTTTACTTCAGACTGTTTCAGGTAGGGGTGGGCGATATAGCCTAAAATCTATATTGCGATATAATTTGAAACATGTGCGATAACAGTATATATTGCGATATATGACTTTCTTTTGTATATATGTCAAAAACGACTGTTTCTAAACATACTCACATACCAGATACATTGCAGCAGCAGAATAAACACACTTCAAACAGTACAAAATGCCATTTTAAGAAAATTTATTAATTTTCCTGCTTTACTTGCTTGCGGACTTTCTCGTACAGTTTTGGCATCTCTGTTTGGCTGAAGTGTTTGCAGCTCGGTACCTCGTAACGTGGATCGAGTGTCTTAATCATGTCCCGAAAGCCGCTTTTCTCCACTGTAAGAAACGTCACCATGTCCTTACGCAGGTACGTGGTAAAGGCATTTGTAATATCAATTCACCGATGATTATTTCTCTCATACTGAGTGCGTTTAGCTAATGCTTGTAAAATATCCGTCTGCTGGTGTGTAAGACCACCTTTTTTCTTACCGCTCGACTGACTGGGCGTTTGTTGAGGACGCAGTTTTTGGCTTTCTTCGTAGTCCACAACGTGCTTCGTTTCGAGGTGGTAAAACAAATGAGATGCATTCCCTCTATTCGCTAATACTTTCTTCCGGCATACTTTGCAGATTATATTGTTCTGCTCCACATCCGACTCCTTCAAGCCAAACCAAGTCCAAATGACCGATGTTGCACCGGTCTTCTTTACGAGAACCTCCTCCTCCTCCACCACAGGCTCCATGCTTTCAGCCTCAACAGACGCCGCTTGATGACGTCATCAACATGCGCTACCGCGATAGGCCGATATAGTCAAAATCTCTACCGTTGGCCAAATTAATATAATTTCTACCGTATACCGTTTATACCGCCCACCCCTAGTTTCAGGCCTAGACAACCTTACAATCAGGAGCTTCATAGAAGCCAGAGAGATGTTAAACAGCTGAAATATTTCTGTCCTGCACCTATCTTACCTTTACCAGCTCAGCAGTGACATCAGCGAGGGTCATGTTAGGACGCAGAGAACATGGAACCACACGTCCGTCAGAGAAGGAAAGCACATCTGTATCTGCTTCAGTCTGAGCAAAAATCTGAGACAAACACACAGAAAGTACCAGCTTACAGTTTAAAGGAATGAATCAGTCATCTTCCGTACAAACAGCATGTACCACAAATCTTACAAAAGGCCTAGCTGTGATGGGAGTTTGTGTGTCAGCAATCAGCTGGTGTCATAAACGAGCGACGAAATGAGTGACTCTGCTACCCTCTGCCTTCTAGGCAAGGGATGGGTACCTTTGACATTTGAATGGATCCGGTACTAATTCCCGGTACCTAGGAATCGATACCGGTACTTAACGGTACCAATTTTCGATACTTTTGAGTGTTTATTATTTTAATTCACTTTTATAATTAAATATATATTTTCTCAATATATAACCATATTTGATAAATATCACGATAAATAACATACAACTGTTTGTATTTTAACATCGTCCTTGTAGTTTTATAAGCTGATAATTAAACTGAAGCAAACATCTTTACTGTGAACTAAATTTACTGTGTATCTTCATTCCTTTTGCCGTCCTTTTTCAATTGACTTTTCCTACTGGGAAGTTAGAATTTCCGAGGAGAAAGCGAACGCACCATTAGCTGATAACAACGGTGGCAATGGAAGCTAATTTATCAAGCTAACATTATCTTAAACAGTTTGTTTAGCTGCTGGAGCAGATTTAAACGATGATGCCTCACACTTAGATCGTTGTCGCTGGTTTCATCTTCACCCAATCACCCGTCGCATTTAGTAAAGTGAAGCCAAACTTTAGAGCGCGTTCACATTCTTCTAGTCGCAAATTCGAAGTAACGAGGAGAAAGCGAACGCACCATTAGCGAAACGGAAGCTAACATATCAAGCTAACGTTATCTTAAACATTTTATTTACCTACCGGAGCAGATTAAGATGAGGATGTCTCACTTAGATCGTTGTCGCTGGTTTCATCATCACCCAGTTACCCATCACATTTAGTGAAGTGGACCCAAGCTTTAGCGTGCGTTCTTTCTACCATGCTGCTCTGTTTACAACTGGCTCGCAGCGACCGACGACATAACGCTCTTGCGCATGCACAGCTGTCTAAGCAAGTTCTCGTCATGAAGGACGGGTACCGAAACGAGGCACCGTTTCAAATGACGTGAATCGGTTCTCAGTCGGTACTGTGGAATTCGGTTGGTACCTTAAAAAGTACCGAATTCGGTACCCAGCGCTATTCTAGGCTGTAACACTTTTAGCGCGAGGACAAGGCTGAAGCCTTCACTGGAGTGAGCCTCTGTTACCTGTCAAATAGACACGTCCCCAATTATTCATAATTTTATGCTTTAATTACATCTAAACAGAAGAGTTACAAAAATATCCACAACCCCTCTGAGTTGTCATGACATAAACTTAATCTGTTAAACCTAAAAGTTGTTTTTGAACCAGGCTGAAAACATTTTCTTTTCTGTTTAAAGTCAACGGGAACTTTCTTTTTGGAGCCAGCCCCTAGTGGAAGAGGGCGGAACTGCGACTGTTGTCACTTCCGTGCTTGCTTTACTCAACAGGTGGAGTTTGCCCCTTGTTTCTACCACGGATCTGTAAAACTCACTGAGTTAGAGGCGTTTTAGGTTTGCTAATGCTGGTTAGCTGTGGTGGCCACCTTCACAGGTTGATGATGTATCGATGCACAGCCAGAGATTATTTTCTGATATTTAGACAAAATTACAAATGAAAAAACAAAAACATTTTCATCACCAGTGTACCTTTTGGTGGCAGGTGATAAAATGTGATGTCACCGCTCACTGCTAACGAGCACTAACGACTTCACGTGGAAGGAATTTCCCAGTAATCCAAAGTATGAGTCTCTCACACAAGAGATGGACTGGGTCGGGTCCTGCTTACAGACGCAGCTGTTCTGACAGCAATTCCCCTGCAGGGTGTGTGTGTGTGTGTGTGTGTGTGTGTGTGTGTGTGTGTGTGTGTGTGTGTGTGTGTGTGTGTGTGCGAGACCTCCCCCGCTCTGCTCTAGTCTTACCCCTTCTTTCCACCGGAGCCGTCAGCAGCGCGAGTCGGCCGCGTCTCAGGAGCAGCATGTCGCGGCCCTTACGCGCCGGTTCTATTTTCTACGCGCGACGCCTCTGAAACGGGTCAAGTTCAGCATTTTTGGGGAAGGAAAGACAGGAAATCGGACGCGGAAACGGAGCGAAGCTCCCGAGATTTTCAGAATAAAGAAACGTACTGCCTTCCGGTTGCTTTACTTTTAAAAATAGTTACTAACTGTGCGGCCCCGTGAGAAGTGATCACCTAGCTAGCGGTCTCCTTTGTTTTTCAGGTCCGTATTGGCGATTATAAAACGGACAGAACATAAAACACAAACCATGTTGTAGTTTTCTCCTGCTTGTTGTTGTGTTTACTGACGAAGTCACTCGTGTGACTTCGTGCTCTGTCGGTGACAGCTGCTCCCTTGCTGCTTTGCGTCTCGTGGGAAGGGCGCAGCAGCTTACTCGAGCAAGACGTGCTGCTGCAGTAACGTGCTGCCTCAGTAACGTGCTGCTGACGGCACCGGTGGAAAGAAGCGGTTATGGGCTCGACACACGGGAGGCGGCATCGCCTCTCCTCCATTCATTTTCAATGAGACATGCGCGGCAAAGCGATAATCGCGGGTCTCCCTCCTACCAAGCGAAACGCGAAAAACGTGCATGTGTAATTTTGCGCTCGTGCACGTGTCGTGCACAGACGATCCAGCGACGTGATCCCAGAAAGTTTAAATATTTTCAACTTTTCATCGCTGTCGCTCGGACGAGGACCAATCAACAGAGGTTTCATTCACTGACTAATGAGCGGACAGGATGCTCCGTACACCTCCAAGCAAACATGGAGGAGAAGTTGATTATTATTATGTTTTATAGTAAAATCAGAAGTAAGATTTCACATAACTCTAGCAGCACCTTGTGAAACATCATATCTACCACTTTATTAACTCTGAACCGCTTAAATAACCTTAATTCCCTCCAACCTGACACAGCCAAACAAAACAACAGAAGTTTCGATGTCGCCATGGAACAGAACGCGTAGACGCGTAGCTTTGCCGCTGGCCGCCTCCCGTGTGTCAGGTAATAAAAGCGACAGCGACGAATTTCGCTGATCGCGGTCGTTTGTCGCCTCCCGTGTGTCGAGCCCCTTACCATAGTGATGGCTGCAGCAGCTACAGCAGTGCTGACGGCAGTTCCCGGGACGATGCTGCTCAGCGACGTGCTCACGTCTACGGCCACCAACAAGCGTTTACCGACAGGCTCCACATTCTGGAAACACAATGAGAGCGGGAAGGGGTCAGGCTGCTACATCACACAAAAGCAAATAGGAGAATGGTAAAACGCCCACCACAAAACTTTTGTAAAAGGCTGAGTCCAAGGCTTTGAGGATGTTACTGTCTGCTTCCCATTTGGTTTTCCCCTGGCAGCCCTGGCCTCGCTTGTAGTTTTCTGACGCCTGGAGAATGCTGAATGGGTGGATCTTGGCCTGGAGATGTTAGCACACATAAACACCAGGATACTAAATCACATATAAAAACCAGGAGCAACATGTTTATTGTGGGTTGCACCTTCTCTAGAGCAGACTCGCTCTGAAGCCTGTCGCAGACAGTCTGAGTTTCTAAGCTTCCTGGTTCAAGGAGTTTGTTTGACGTCATTTTTCCGAGGATTTTTAGCACTGAATGAAGCGGCATCTCCTTCAACAGAGCCCTCCAGACCTTCAAACAAAACAGAAGACAAATAAGGCCTAAACAAGGTAAAGTCCCACTAGTTGTGACACTAGTGTGTGAAACGTGTTGTGTGCATTTGACCTATCCCCGTGGGGAGCGGTGAGCTGCAGCAGTGGCTGCACTTGGGACCTATTTGGTGGCTTAACCCCCACAATTCAACCCCTTTAAGCTAAGTGTCAAGTAGGGCTGGGCGATAAATCGAAAATTTATCATTATCAAAATTTCTGACTCTTATTGGGATGATTTTTTTTGCATGTCAATAAATGTGATAATAAAAAAATGAAAAGTTGTGTGAAGGTTGGCAACGTTCATGTTCCTTTAAGAAGCTGTACCACCTTGAGACACATAAAAATGTGACTTGATGTAATACATGTGACAGCCCCATCTGGTGGACAACTTTTGTTTCTGCGCATACCCGTAGTTATCGTCCATTTATCGTTATCGAGGTGAAATATCGTGATATTGATTTTAGGCCGTATCGCCCAGCCCTAGTGGCAAGCAGGGAAGCGTTGGCTCCCATTTCTAAAGTCCACGGCATGACCCGACCCACGATCTCCCAGTCCCTGTGCGGACACCGAGCCGGCAGGTGTCCTCCCTCATTAGTTAAACGGTTATTTTGGCAGTGAACCAAACATTCACCCTCAGCATGGACGTAATTTGGGGTGGGGTGGGGGGGACATGTCCCCGCCACTTTTTCCAAAGTCAAGTTTTGACCCCTGCACTTCATACCATCCAAAAACAACATTACACTATATTAAATTGACACTGGTTGAGCTCTAGGACCAAGCGGAAAATAACCGTTTGTGTTGAAGCCTGTTTCCCATTAGAGCATGCTGTAAAGATCCCCCCCCCCCCTCCCCCCGTACCCCCACTTCTAAAGTGAAAATTACGTCCATGACCCTCAGACTAGTATCAGCACATGGCAGGCTGTTCTCTTCATTCCCCCAACGGATGTAAAAAACGTACATTTGATGCAAGGGTTTTCTCTGCAGGTGGTCCAATCACCAATCTGAGATCACGGTGACATGAAGAAATAGATCAGATCATCACTTATTTTATAAAACAAGCTGTTTACGTTTCCATCATTAGTCATAGCGGCCCACCCGGGAGCACATCCCACCAACCCTGGGTAACAAACCAAGGGGCTCCTCCCTAAACGAGGTGACGCTGGTTCATGTGAGTTTAGTCCATTAATAAATCAGGGGTTCTTCTCTGGAAGTTTTCCTTATTTTATAATAATGTTCAATGGCGACTTTAGCTACATCTTCTACATGAAAACAGCTGTTTGACAGCATCAGTCCTAAAGGAGTTGACTGATGAGGCGCCCATGTTAACGAGCGACCCAAATGTATTAGCAAATGAGAGAAAGTCAGGGAGGAAACGCTTCTCCCCACTGTGGGTACCAGAAACTACAGAATTTCTGTACCTGTAGTAGCACGTACAGCATGCGAGAGATGTCGGCGTTAGAGTGCCACATTCTCGTGTGAGTGAAGTTGGTGCCAGTTTCAGAAAGGAACTTAGCGTTTCCTAGCGCATGCCATGTCAGGGTCAAACTTTTTAAAAACCTTTTCTGTGAATAGACGGTAGCCAGTCATTAACAGACCTGGGCTCTCCCTGAGCGTGATACCTGTAGAGGAACCAGGTTCACACAGTCGTGGAAGAGAAGGCTGAAGAGGAGGTGTAGCCACATTAGATATCCCGAAGATGCACGCGACCAGCACAAGATACATTCATAGACCAGAAACCTGAAATTTTGGAGGATGAAAACTGTAGGCTGGCATAGGAGCGGCCTTATGAGGGCTCGGCACAGGGGTGCGCACTGGTGGACCCTCGGTTGACGTGTAGGTGCAGCCAGCAAGATCAGAGTCAGCCTGAAGCGGTACAGGGCGACCTTCAACCCCCCCTTTGGTAGGTGGTGTTCCCACCGCAGGGTGAAGGAAGTCAGGTGCAGAGACGATGCAGACACTAGGGCGGTCACTGACCAGAGAAACTCTAGACCGACTGGTCATCTGGGCGGCGTCGTTGTTAACAGCACCTAAGGAAGAAACAAGGTCCTGGTGGAGCTCCATGGGTAGCGGTTGAGTCAACCGGGTCCAGAGCCTCTATCCACCACTGGAACGACAGGCCTAAAGCGCTTGAGCAGGTCCTCTCCCAACAGGAAAGGAAAGTCCTTGATGTCAGACACATACACTGGATGTCTCGCAGACATGCCACCCAGTAAAGCCACACACGCCAAGGTCATTGGATCTGGAGTGAAAGGACAGTCCACGGCGCAGGGTGCGAGCATTAAGACCCTGACCAGCTGCAGCCAAGCGGACGCTCTCCCAAAGAGAACGGGACATGATGGAAAAGTCTGAACCAGAGTCCAAGACCAGACCTCACTGGGGTCACGGAACGCACCGTTAGGGCACTTTTCACTTTTGGAGGACTCGTCGGAACGACTGAGTCGTGTGCAGGTTCAACAGGTGCAGGAGGATGTGCCCTCTGTTCTGCAGAGGAGACGAGCAGAACTCTATTAGTCTTCGTTGGGTCTTCCAAGACACGAAGGGCATATTTTAACGCTTCGCGCATGGTCTCAGGAGGCCTGCTACCGTGCTGCGTTAAATAGTCTCTGTAAAGTCCTAATACCTTTCCACTCCCATGTGTGCACCATGAAACACATTTACACACTGATGCACGTAGCTGATATACTAAAGACAGACCAGGTGTCTTCGGGTTCAGCGTGAACATTTCTGACCACTTTAAATCCCATCAGCAATGGTCACGGCTTTAACTCAGTTACGTGCTGCTGTCATCAAACACCCACCAAGTGGTTAGGGTGACCGTCTGCCTCTGAAATACCGTATTTTTACGACCATAGGGCGCACCGTGTTATAGGGCACAGCTTCAGTTACGGGTGTCTTGTTGGTATTTGACACATACAAAAGGCGCACCAGGTTATAGGGCGCGGGAATAAGTACCGGTAAAACATCTGTGCGGGCTCGGGACATATCAGTGCAAGCCAGACATTGTGAAAATTATACACACCCAAAAGCATGCTTCACTTTACTGGTCTAGTCCTGGTTCAGACCTGGTTTAGAGCGCACGTGCACTTCCTCATTGTGTGCGCTGGCGGCTCGTGCTCTTCTTGTGCGCGTAGCTGATCGCTTGCAGTTTAAACTGTGCTTCATAGGCGCGTCTCTCAGCAGGCGCCATTCTCAGGGTTGTCAGAACAATGTTCAGCATACCGCGCATACCTGCCCTTTTGAACTATTCGGGGTCTGTCTTCGCTCACGTCTGCACGTTCACGCCACGCCCCTTGTCTTCTACTACGTTCGCGTCTCACATCAACACAATAGGCGCACCGCACCATAGGGCACGGCGTACAATTTGGAGAAAATTTAAGACTTTTAGGTGCGCCTTACGGTCGTGAAAATACGGTAATTCACTTTCAGAGGCTTGATGGACGTAAATGAAATGGTTACCTGTTTGGACTTCAGATGGGTCGTCAGCAGCTGCTCTCTCTCCAGCTTGTGCTCCTCTATCAAGTTGCAAACCTCTGTTTCATCACGGCTATGCTTGACCTTCTCTACCACTTCTAGATATGAGAGCACTTTGATGACTTCGTCCGAGTTCTCCTTGTCTGCGTAAGCAGCCTGGACCTCCTTCCACCCTTTTGTTACATATTTGCTGATCAAGGCAACAGCTGAAAACACACAGAGATGATCATTGCTCTGCTGCTGTCAAGGATGTTCTTCCTCACAGATCTAAGAACGTCTAAAACAGACACTGTGACTTTACAAACAGCTTTCTGTTCACATGCGGTAAATATACATGTGAGAATGGCGATGCACCAATATGACATTTTTGAGCAGATTCCCGTATTGAGATCACTGTTATGGCTAGGGTTGTCACGGTAACCGGTGTAGCGGTAAACCCCGGTAAAAAAGTTGGCAATAATAATAACCGTCTTGTGTTTTTAAAACATATATCATCTCGGTGGTTTACCGTGGCTGCGGTGTAGGCGCGGTGACCCTTACCAGCCACCGTATCATCTGCTGAAGTTGCCGGCGGCACATGCGCACTTTGTTGTTTACAACCAAAACTTTTTTGAAGCTAAAGCTGAAATAATGGCCAAAGGAGGAGACGGCAGCGCTCAGGACATTTATTATCCCTCAAAGAAGACAAAGTGGGAAGTACGGGCATCTTTTGGATATTTGAAGAATGCCGAGGGACAGCTGATAGAAGACGGCTATCCTGTTTGCAGCACGTGCAGAAAAAGTGTCTGTGAAAGGCAGCAACGCTTCAAATCTCATGACACATCTGCGTGACCATCACCCACAACTCTACAGTCAACGCAAGGCAAGCTAACGTTAGCGTTTTAGCTAAAATGCGTGATCCGAGGATTTGGGTTGAGGGAGAACGCAACGAGTCGCTATATAAAGCAGCCGCAGCGCCGCTACCTGCATATAAACCGTGTTGCGGACACCGCCATGTTGAAATGACGCTATGCATTACGGGGCTCCCAGGGGCAGATAAGAGTTGGTCTCTCTCCGAGAATAATTATGAATTTAACAACGATTACTGCCTGATGACATTTTCCCACATCTGCAAAGCTCACTGGAAGGACACAAACCGAGGACAATATTTTCCTGATATAGGGTTTATTACTCAAGTAAGGGTAAAAAAGTATCTGATTAGAAGGCTACTTGAGTACTGAGTATCATCTGGTCTAATATTTTTAAAATGACATCAAACAGACAAAAAATAAGAAGTTATGGGCAAATATTGTTATTTTAAAGACTAAAGGGAAAATATGTAAACAAATAAACAACATAATTACAAAATAACACATTTTAGGCTAAATTTAGGCACAAACTGAGGAGAATATTTTCCTGACATACAGGGTTTATTTAGTTGTCTGAAAATGTAGCACGTTTAAAAAAAATACAGCGATAATACCGAAAACCGTGGTAATTTTGGTCACAATCACCGTGAGGTTACATTTTTACTCCGTGACGACCCTAGTTAGGGCCAGTAACCGATATTTGCAGATACCGATATACTGACATTAATGCTTTCTAAAATCTGCAGAATTTGTATAGTATGAAAATTATTAAATCTGAATTTACATTATGTACACACAACACACACATTTACGGTTCTGAGATGATTTCATTCACAGTTCACGACTAAACAATTACACATCCCCCCCGAAACTGGCAAACAAATGGAGACGCGATGGAAAATATATCGGTTGTTAATATCGGCACGGTTTTATTTATCGAACCGATACCGATATTGATGCCGACATATTGTCCATCCCTATTGGAGAACACGTCAGAAGTAAACCATCAGTGTCTTCACACAGTGCATCAGGTGGAACTTACCATCAGAGGCTGGTCTGGTGTGGGCGAGCCTGAGAAGATCCTGGTGGGTCCAGCCCTCTCTCTGTTTACATCTGGTTACAGCTGCAGCGAGACTCAGAGCATCTTGCTCGTTGTACCAGTCAGACACAGCCTTCCTCAAGGCGCGACCCCAGATCCCACACTTCATGCCCTCTTTCAGTTCCTTTTTGTACTGAATGAATGAAAACAACTGGGCCGGGTCCTGACATACCACCTTTAAGGCTTTGAAAGCAGCTTGTCTGGTCTTCAGTTCAGGGTGCTGGGAGCATAAAGCCAAGGCAAAAAAGGTGGGACCCAGCCTGACGGCTCGACCCTCCTGGGCAAACTTCATAACCTCCTCCACCACCTCAGCACCCCGACCCTCCTGTAGAAAGGAGAGCAGGGCAGCAGCGTTCTCCATAGTGACATGGCCCTCCCCTCTGGCAGTGTACATGTCTCCCTCTGAGCCATAGCAGAGGAAGCGGCACAGTCTAGCCCTGTCGCTGACCTCCCATGGGCAGGCCCCACCTGCTGAGCTCAGGGTGTTGTTGCTTGCAGAGCTTCCTGGTGGCTCCATTGCAACAAGGCCTAGTGACGCAACAACAACAAACAAAAAGTAATCAGTAGGGATGTGAATCGTCGAGCAACTCACGATTTGATTCGATTCCGATTCTCGGGGTGCCGATTCGATTCTCAATTTAAATCGATTCATAATCAGTATTAACAGAGAGCGTCAGCTCCAGGATGAACTACTTTGTTGTACAAGTTAGTTAAAGCTATGGGACATTTTTATTTGACTTTAAACTGGTCGTGCTCCAAAAATGCTAATTTACAATGTAAACTAAAGTGATTCTAAAACTGTAAACAGAAACAATCTTTTGACCAAAAGGCAACATTTATTTTTGCTTACCTTGTAAAATATAACAAATCTGTAGTTATTAACAGTAGCTTTGAAAGTAACATGGTCAAATACTTTTCAAGTATGTGTAGAAACAAGTTACACGAGTAATCCTGAGTACTCATTTATCAACTTAGAAAATAAATATGAGAACATCTCAAATTTATGAGAATGGAAAAAATGACATTCAAGTGCCCTCTTATCAGCAGATTCAATCATAAATCATCTCAATTTATGGGACCACAAAAGTAATTGGAGTACTGACTCTCCTAAGATCAAAAAGGTGCATCTCAAACCTGTAACATGCCAAATATTTGAGTTCTTGGAATCGATTCTGAATCTTTATAAATAAGAATCCCGATTCAGACTTGAATCGATTTTTTTCAGCACCTCTAGTAATCTTTATCTTACAGTGACACGAGGTACTCCTCAGTCCTTTTTAAACATTGGAGCAACTGCCTATACGGTTTCTAATTAGAATGTGTTTGTATTTTATTTTTATTTTTTTATTCTTGTTATGGACATATCTCTTGTCTGAAATAAAGTTTGATTGATTGATCAGTTGGCGATTCAACACGAAAGACTGTTTTTTATGGTTGTTTGAGAAAAATCAGAATAAACCAGAACCTGTATCAGCAAGTCTAGAGTCAGCCTAACCCTTGAAAGTCCTCATCCGAAGCAAAAATGGTTTTGCTTTGCAGGATGTATTCACATATAAAGGATGGCTTGCCAGGCTAGGTCAGAGCTGTACAAAAACCAGAATCAGTGTAGTCTCACAGAACCAGATCCTTTACCGCTAACGTGTCACGATGAGTGACTACACAGCTGCAGTCTGGATCCTGATCTCCAGTGACGTCGAGCCAAGTGCTACCAGGTGATGGAACAGAGAAGAAAGGTTGTTAGCAGCTTTGTGAAGGCCAGACGCTGGCCCAGAGGAGGTTACGGACGGCACCAGCCCAGTCCGACCTGGCCGCCACCTCAAGCAGACACAAATAGATTAAAGCCGGTTAGAAACACTTGATGATGCACAAACCACAGGACATGCTGGAGGTCTTTACCGAACTCAAGCAGCGACAGCCTAATCTGTTCTGCTAACTAGCAAGTGAAACTGGGCTAACGTTACCAGGACAGGTCTAACTAGACTAGTTAAACTAGCAGGAGACTAAGTTAGGGAACTACTGAAGATTTTAAACAAATCTCATGTGAAACACTAAATCCTTTACTGACTATTTGGTGTTTATTGGTAATCGACTACGAACTTGTCGGTAGCATACTTCCATTCTCCTTGGCACCTAACTAGGAAGGCATAAATCAGAGCCGGTGTTCCGACTATCCGTGCTCCCCGTCGGTGTGCTACTTTGGGGAAATGCGCATGCGCAGGCCGATTATTGCGTCACAGGCTGTTTACAAATAGAGACGCGCTACCTGTGGAAGTTTACGTTTAATCTCGTCACTTATCTAGTTACTTTCAACTCGTCGAAGGTCACAGTACGTATTTCTTTGAGTTGTTTTATTAAATTACTGCTTGCTGTATGTTTACCTGACAGTTAGCTTGTAAATGGCTTCTAAAATATCGTTATTATACTGTAAACAAGACACTTCTCCCATTGTTTACAGTCATTCTGAAAGAGTCCCACATTAATATCCAAAAGTTTTATGTTATACATATAACAATTTATCATAGTTGTATAATAATCTCCAAAATTATACATCCAAACAACTATAAGTATTGGGGGAAGAGCATATTTGTTCTATGTGGATTCATTTGTCTAATAAAGGATTAGATAGAGAAATAGAACGGTTAGAGCTAACGTCTTACAAATCTCCATTTTTATGAATCACTTTCTCGACATGGGTGAAAGTAGTTGGTAAATCGTCATTGTTCTGAGAATATTCAAATGTTTTTAGCAACTAAGGGGTTAATTTTTACGAAATGACTAAACTGCTTCTTACACTATCCACTTTTTTTACAGAATAAATTAACAGTAGCTACCGATTTTCAGTAACCCTGGACATACTGAATCAGCTGTTGAAACACGCTGCGGTAAGAAAATTCGACGAGGAAGCACGGATAGTGAGAACACCGGACTCCCGGAGCTAGTCGGTAAGATGCAACTAACTTACCCTGAAGAAAAAAATAGCTGGTTCATCAAAAAACACAAAGTCACAAAACATGCTGTTAAAACCGGATAAACACGCACTTACAGCAACATAAACAGTTACGGTTTCTGTGTTTTGAGCTTCAGGCCTCCTCCCCTCTGACCGTAACTGAGTAAATGGAACGGATACGCCAGAAAAGCGACACGCCCTCTGTTGGCCTGGCGGGGTATTGCTTTGCAACGCTCCCAGGTGACGGAGAAGTCTGAAGGCCATGCTGAACGCACGTCTCAGTTACTGTGTATGTACGGGGAGAAGAAAGTCTAAAAAGAACTGTATATATATATATATATATATATATATATATATATATATATATATATATATATATATATATATTGGAACTTTTTATTTTTGAATAAGACCCACCTTTTTAGCTTAGCTTTTCACTGATTACTAATTATCTAGTCTGTTTAACTGTATCACTTGTCATATTTGTTTATTTATACAGTATATATATATATATATATATATATATATATATATATATATATATATATATATATATATATATATATATATATATATATATATCTTTTACTTAATTTTATTCTTTTATTTACATCATAGTGTTTTTACATGATTATGGTTTTTTACTACCTTTGTAATCACTTTTTATCAATTACTTTCTATCCATATTAGCTTTTTTATTTTACAGTTATACGTTTTAATCCTCCAGTGTTTCCTCTGCGGAGCCCTCTGCCTTGGGGCCGGTGGTCGGTGGTCGGTGGTCGGTGGCGGCAGCCAGGGCGCTCCTCGGGTAGTGCCCGGGCAGTGGTGGGGTCTCCGCCCTCGCTCCCTGGGCATCATGGGCCGGTGCCTTGGCTGCTGCCGTGGATCTGTTGCTGTCGAGGCAGATGGCTCCACTGATGATGTGTCGTCCATTACCTGACCCATCTGAACTCAGCCTACTGTTTACCCTGTTGCTCACGTGTGTGTGTGTGTGTGTGTGTGTGTGTGTGTGTGAGTGTGTGGGTGAGTGTACGTTCACCTTGGAAATTGGTTGCGGGAGGGGAAGTGTAATTGTCAATTGTTTAATACTTGGGGAGGGGGGCTGGGATGGGAATATGGGATCTATGGGGCCATTTTAATCTGTGAAGCACTTTGAGTTGCATTTTTTTGTATGAAAAGTGCTATATAAATAAAGTTGTTTTGATTTGATCAAAGAATTGATGAGTTGGAACAAAATGCTCGAGCCACTTATCACTGGGCTGGAAACCAAGCATCGCAGTTATGCAAGAGCTACAGCAAGAGATCAAGAAGGCGAGGATGCACCACCTGAAGAGCTACACACACTGGAGGAACAGGTTATTTATTTCTTCAGCATCAAGAAGAATAGCTTACACAGGGTGAACGCCTTGAAATAATGATATTTGAGTGATGTCGGGTGAACGCCTTAAAATAATGACATTTGGGTGATGTTGGGGTGAAAAACCCTAAAGTCAGGATATTTGGGTGATGTTGGGAAGAAAACCCCGAAATGATGATATGTGGGTAACTTGAAGGTAAAAAAATAATAAAACTAGAAGCAATCATATCCACGAAATAATAATAATAAAGGTTATTAATGTCAAAAACTTTCTGGTGCATAAAAAAGGACTCTGCCTGCTGAAGCAGCAGCAGGTCTCTTAATAAAACAGCAATCAATTAATTAATTAACTGCCCACAGTTAGCATATTGGGCAGACCTCCCCAGGGAGGCTGTGGCTACAAGTAGCTTACCATCACTAGCAGTGTGTGAATGTGAGAGTGTGTGAAAGCGTCTTTGGGGGGTCTTGAAAAGCGCTATATAAGTTCAATGCATTATTATTATTACCAACTTTAGAATATGCAAATTTAGCAGCATAATTTGCATATTCAACATAATTAGCATATGCAAATATGTTGCATATGCAAATTATGTTGCCTAGCAACATGTTGTGCATCTGCTTTATCATATGCAAATTAGGCAGGTTCCGAGTGACATCATAAAGGGATACATTCCATCACTCACAAAGGCTTAGTCACTCAGACTGTAAGCACCTACTTACTTGCTCTAACAGACAAAACATCGCAGACAGTAGGATACACTTTTTTTTGCAGAAAAGCTTGACTTTTAAATCAGTCTTTCACACAACAAAATGGCAATGCTACTCAATGCCCTGAAAAGATGTAATGACTTTTTGTGTCTAGACTGTGAGTCGTGTAATACGACAAAAGCGGATGCAGAAACCACCAAGCAGGTGAAGAAACTGGAAAAACAGAATCTCGAGTCTCAGGTAAATAATTTACAAGATTCTCTTAAGGCTAGAGACGACACCATCGAGAAATTAATATGTGAAATAGTTACTTTGAAAGAGAAATCTGGTCTGAGGCAACTTGAGATGGAGAAACAGATGTCAGAAAGCATTAGAAAACTAGAACAGGACCAACAAGTGGAAAAGGACGCTATGCAGAAGGTTTACATGCAACAGCTAGAGGAAATTGGTGACCTTAAACAAAGGCTTATTTCAGTAGAGGTGACAAAAGGACTTCAAAGTAAATTATTGGAAGATAATTCTCACCTAACAAAACAAATAAGTGCTCTCTTGGAAAACCTGCAAATTCAACAAGAAAGGAATAAGGATTTGGCTTCTGAGTTAAAAGAAACTAGTCTGATGAAAGTCCAGATTGAAACCCTGAAGAATGAGAATGAAAAGTTAAAACTGAGTGAATACAGTCTCTCCAGAGCTCTGGAAGAACAAATCACCCTTCGGGAAACTACAGAGAAGCTAAACAAAGACTTGAAAGAACAATTAACTAAGATGGAGCAGGATTTTACAACTCTCAAGCTACAAGAACATACCTCTGTTCAATATCAGAAAGACGCATGTGCAAATCAACAGGCTAAAGAGAAACCCCAGCTTCTGAAAGACGTAGGCTCTATCTCAGACTTTCTACGAAATCAGGTGAAAAAAAATAATGATTTGAAATCAGAATTAAATGACAACAGTAAAATGCTGAATGAAGAGGATAATAGTTTGAAGATGAGTAAAGGCACTCAAGGTTTCAACTTCAAAGCCACGGCAAACATTCAACACCTTCAAGACACAATAAAACCAGACAACAGTGATTTTAAAAAACATTGCAGAGAAACAGGAGTAATCATTGAAGACGACAGCCACTTGTCTTCTCAGAGAGAGATCCAGCCGGTTTCTGAATCAAATCATCAACATTTTGAGGACGAAGAGCCGAGTTGCTCTTATTCACAAAATCAGACTCAGAGAGAGTTCTTCTATACTATGACACCAGAAGATTACTATGATTTTCTAGTACAAGGATTTTTGTCAGAACTAGACTAATTACGAATTAGTCTAGAAATAGTCCTAAAGAAACTGTGAAGTGTAGTGTAGTGTGGTATTTACTACTCTTAAACTAGTATTAGTGAGGCCATCGCGGCCCCCTAGGGGCAATAGGATTGATAACGACAGAGATAAAACAAATAGATTAAAAGGTTGTATCTCAAGCAGTTAAGATAAAAACCCATCACATAAAAGCCATACGACAGAAACGTGTCTTCAGGTGACTTAAAAACCTGCAGTGATGGTGACTAGTTAGGGTTAGGAGTAGACTGGTAATAGTTAGAGGTAGGGTTAGGGTTAGGGATAATCCAGTCGTTAAAATAAGCAACAACTTAGTTGATTGGCTGAACATGAAGCTTACGGAAGTGACGTTATCACGTTATGATTTTGATTGGTCAGAACAAATTTGCGGTCGTAGTCTTAGCGGTTGTAGTCCTGTAGTCCAAAAATCAACACTTTTTGGAGAAAATATGTTTGAATTTCTAAAGGAAATGTAAAATATAAGCAAATGATAAACGCTGACCCTCAAAAGCTCTTGATGTTGATGAAATGTGGCAAAATAAAATATAATAACTTTATTGAAAGACACCAAGCAATATTTTGAGTCAAAGAATGTATTTAGATAACAACTAAGGAAATATACAGATGAACTCCACATTAATACTAACAGATGTGGCTTCACATATAAGAACTGTTCTAGTTTTTGTCAGCCCGGTGTTGGTTTTATGCAGTTTCACATTCTTTACTAAACAAAGACAATAGTGTTATATTAACAAATTACAATTATAAAGAAAACATTTAGTTGTTAACAAACAAGAATTTATTAACAAAACTGCTGATGTCTTTCCAAAACGTGTGTGTGAAAGCCGAGTAGATGTGCAGTCTTGTGACGTCATCAGCAGTCGAAGGACCCCGAGCTGATCCTGTACCCGAGCAGATCCTGTACCGACACCGGCAGGGAGGAGAGGAGAACGGGGAATGCTGCGTCCAGGAGATTTATGGGGCACAGGTGAGTAATCCAGCGGGATCGTGGAAAAGTCCAAGTAGTCAATCAGAGGAACCACAGGAAAACCAGAGAAGCTCCAGAAGCTCCAGAAGTCCAAGGAGATCTTGAGGAGTCAAGGCAAGGTCCACAAATGATCCAGGTAAGCACAAGTATATCCACAAGGCTTCTAAAATCCAAAAATCACTAGAGCTAACCTGGAGACACATCATCCGGTGTTGAGATGTGTTCTCCTCCTCCTCTCATAGCTGGACCCGCTGATTATTAATGAGCTGCAGCTGGAGCCTCCCTCTCCTGAAACACAGCAGCTCAAAGATAGAACAAAAATGAGAGGAGCACTCATCCCGGCACATGACACTGATGAGCAGGGCTGTGTATTTGCTGCTATCCTGGGGGACGTCTCAGCTCCCATCCCACTAACGTTTTTAGTTCATGAGTGTTGTAACCAGTGTGGGACTTTGGTTCTCTGTCAGAATTATGTTAAAAGAGTAAGAGGGAAAGCGTTGTAATACTTAGAGAGGAAGCAAAAATTTCCCTGTGTGTGTGTGTGTGTGTGTGTACCGGTTTATACATGGAACCGAAATGGTTACACCCCCCGCGCACCACGATTGGAAACCTTTCTAGGGGAAACACTGTGCCGTGTAAGTTGTGGGTTTAGGCTACTGGTGTTGGTTCTTTGCTGGACACCATACTTGAGCTGGTGTTACCACAAGGGGCAGGATCTTGTTCAGCGTTTCCTCATAGTTTGAATAAGTAAGTTCTGCTGATTGCTAGTTCTAAAGTTTATTGAAATATGAAATGAGATGTTCGTAAAGGTAACAATAAAAGTTTGTAAGTTTAAGATTTTGTATAAATACATTAGGTTCAGCTGGTCACTCCATGGTACATCCTGGGTTCTGTTTACTACTTTTAGATTAGGGCTGGGCAATATAGGGAGCCTAAGTCACTTCCGGACAACGGGTCCCCGGAAGAACGAAAAAAAAAAAGGAATACAAGCCAACGGGGCTACAAACGCTATTTTCTAAATCCGCTTGTTTTGTGTCATGGATTTCACATATGATGTCCATGAACTTCGAAGAAGCATTTTGATACCAAGAACAAGCTTTTTTTCAAACGGGGAAATGCTATTTTAGATTTTGTGTAAAAATAAATCCAGGACTACAAATGCGCTTCACGAGAGTGACGTCCTCAAACCAGACACAGAGAAAACTTAGGAAAAAGGGCTGTAAGTTCAGCAAAGTTCGGCAACGGGGAACCAGGAGATGGGAACGGGCAAGCCGTGGGGGCCGGCGACGGGGAATCAGGAGGCGGGAACGGGCAAGTCGTGGGGGCCGGCGACGGGGAACCAGGAGGCGGGAACGGGCAAGTCGTGGGGGCCGGCGACGGGGAACCAGGAGGCGGGAACGGGCAAGTTGTGGGGGCCGGCGACGGGGAACCTGAGGCGGGAACAGAAAACCCAGGGGGACCGGCAACGGGGAACCAGGAGGCGGGAACGGGCACGTTGTGGGGGCCGGCGACGGGGAACCAGGAGGCGGAAACAGAAAACCCAGGGGGACCGGCAACGGGGAACCAGAAGGCGGGAACAGAAAACCTAGGGGGACCGGCAACAGGGAACAAGGAGGCGGGAACGGGCAAGCCGTGGGGGCCGGTGACGGTGAACAAGGAGGCGGGAACGGGCAAGTCGTGGGGGCCGGCGACGGGAAACCAGGAGGCGGAAACAGAAAACCCAGGGGAACCGGCAATGGGGAACCAGGAGATGGAAACGGGCAAGCCGTGGGGGCCGGCGACGGGGAACCAGGAGGCGGGAACAGAAAACCCAGGGGGACCGGCAACGGGGAACCAGGAGATGGGGACGGGCAAGCCGTGGGGGCCAGCGACGGGGAACCATGAGGGCGGGAACGGGCAAGTCATGGGGGCCGGCGACGGGGAACCAGGAGGCGGGAACAGAAAACCCAGGGGGACCGGCAACGGGGAACCAGGAGGCAGGAACAGAAAACCTAGGGGGACCGGCAATAGGGAACCAGGAGGCGGGAACGGGCAAGCCGTGGGGGCCGGTGACGGTGAACAAGGAGGCGGGAACGGGCAAGTCATGGGGGCCGGCGACGGGGAACCAGGAGGCGGGAACGGAAAACCCAGGGGGACCGGCAACGGGGAACCAGAAGGCGGGAACGGGCAAGTTGTGGGGGCCGGCGACTGTGAACAAGGAGGCGGGAACGGGCAAGTCGTGGGGGCCGGCGACGGGAAACCAGGAGGCGGAAACAGAAAACCCAGGGGAACCGGCAATGGGGAACCAGGAGATGGAAACGGGCAAGCCGTGGGGGCCGGCGACGGGGAACCAGGAGGCGGGAACAGAAAACCCAGGGGGACCGGCAACGGGGAACCAGGAGATGGGGACGGGCAAGCCGTGGGGGCCAGCGACGGGGAACCATGAGGGCGGGAACGGGCAAGTCGTGGGGGCCGGCGACGGGGAACCAGGAGGCGGGAACAGAAAACCCAGGGGGACCGGCAACGGGGAACCAGGAGGCAGGAACAGAAAACCTAGGGGGACCGGCAATAGGGAACCAGGAGGCGGGAACGGGCAAGCCGTGGGGGCCGGTGACGGTGAACAAGGAGGCGGGAACGGGCAAGTCGTGGGGGCCGGCGACGGGGAACCAGGAGGCGGGAACGGAAAACCCAGGGGGACCGGCAACGGGGAACCAGAAGGCGGGAACGGGCAAGTTGTGGGAGCCGGCGACTGTGAACAAGGAGGCGGGAACGGGCAAGTCGTGGGGGCCGGCGACGGGGAACCAGGAGGCAGAAACAGATAACCCAGGGGGACCGGCAACGGGGAACCAGGAGGCGGGAACAGAAAACCTAGGGGGACCGGCAACAGGGAACAAGGAGGCGGGAACGGGCAAGCCGTGGGGGCTGGTGACGGTGAACAAGGAGGCGGGAACGGGAAAGTCGTGGGGGCCGGCGATGGGGAACCAGGAGGCGGGAACGGGCAAGCCGTGGGGGCCGGTGACGGGGAACCAGGAGGCGGGAACGGGCAAGTCGTGGGGGCCGGCAAATCCTCACTGACTCCCATGGTAAAAATACCAATTTCACAGCAGAAATAAACCTAACCCTAAACCTAACCCTTATCCTTCAAAAATTTAAACATAAAGTACTGACAATCGCCCATGAGAGCGATTGGTCAGGACATTTTGGCGTTAAGAAAACTTACCAAACTGTTTTGTAACACTTCTTCTGGCCAGGCTTAAGAAAGGATGTGAGTCAGTTTTGTAAGGGTTGCCATATTTGCCAAGTCGCTGGTAAAGCAAACCAAAACTTACCACCCACTCCCCTCCAGCCCATACCAATTGTTGGGGATGCCTTTGATCACATAGTGATAGATTGTGTTGGTCCTTTACCCCGCACCAAATCAGGAAAATAGTTTCTACTTACCCTTATGTGTAAAAACACCCGATTCCCCAAAGCCATTCCCCTATCTTCGATAACTTTGAAATCCGTTATAAGCGTTGGTAGGCTTCTTTTCCACATACGGATTACTCCGCACGATTCAAACAGATCAGGGCTCGAACTTTAAGTCGGAGCTGTTTAAAACGGTTACTGAGACCCTGGGAATAAAACATATAATGTCATGCTATCACCCCGAATCTCAGGGTGTGTTGGAACGATGGCATCAGACATTTAAGAACATGTTGCATAAATATTGTCTTACAACACGGACGCCAGTGGGATGAAGGAGTCCCCTTTTTGTTGTTTACAGCGCCGGAGGCTAAACAAGAATCATTGTATTATTATGTAGAAGGTGAAAGCCTCTTTAGGTTTTGGAAATAACCCTGGGTCTTTTAGTTAATCCATCCCACATCTTTCTTTCTTTTGTACCATCCTGTTGGACACTTGGGTTTTCTTTTGTTGCTGCCAGTTAAAAGAACTGAACCTTAGCCTCTTGATTTATTTTGTTCTAACATTGGACTCTCTGGAAGCAGAGTTTCATGGGCTGTGTTAGTTTTATTGCTGTTAGGATTTCCAGCCCCTGGTTTTGTGTTATATTCGAATGTTTTGACAAATTTGTTTTCTTTACACAAGTTCCTTCTTGTCTCCCTGGTATCCCCTCCCTGAAGAAGGTAAAGCGTAATGCCTGGGGAAAATAGAAGTGAACCTGCCATTTAATTTCTCCGTTCAGTTTTCTCCTGTGTTTGTAATCAGGGAGGTAAGTTTGGTTGTATTTTTATTTAATTTGTAGGTAAGATGATTATTTAAGTTAGGAGTATTTTTGTTTGTTGTTTTGGCCTTTGGTTCACCCTGAGTTATATTTATCCTCCCTCGCTTTTAGTTAATATAGAACTTGTGAATAAAAATCATTGTAGATAAGTCAAACTGTGGTGCGGGACTTGGGATCTGTGGCTAAATGGATATCCACCTTCATGTTGTGGCCTGGCCCCTCTTAGACGGGTTGTAACACCGAGGTAAAATCTCGGGCGTGGGAGGAGTTTGACGAGGCCATGGAGAAAGACTATTGATCGGCTTCAAAAAGGTTCTGGCAAATCATTCAGCGCCTCAGGGGAGGAAGGCAGCAACTTGCTAGCACTGTTTACAGTGGGGATGGGGAACTGTTGACGTCAACTGGAGCTATAGTCTGTAATGACTGGGGTCTCTCACACCGCCGATGTGGGTGGTGTGGGAGTGTAGCGTGGTTGGGGGAACCCAGGCGCGGAAGAACGAGCGTTGGGGGCTGCGGCCACGCAGTTATTCTAGGAGCAACCGCGCCGAACCCAAGTGTAAACAGGAACGTGGCGTTGTTCCGAAAAGTAAGGGATTGGCTTACTTTGAGCTGAGGCGAAATGCCTGAAGAGCTGGGAGGCTCGAATAAACAGTTAGCAGGCTGGCAGGATGAGCTGGATAGCTCGGATCTCTGACAACGATTCCTGAATCGATGACTGAGTGAGTTTGTGGTTTGTACTTCCTCCTTTTATCAATGACGGCGATGACGTAGGGGGAAAAGCGTTGAGAAGGGGATGATAGGAAGTGAAGTTCTAGGCTGAGGATTTGTAGGTAGAGAGCTAAGTGGAAGATGAAGATGGAGAGGATGTGACATAGTCATGTGGTGGAAGCAATACTTTGAGGAGCTCCTCAATCCCACCAACACGTGGCAGACCGAGGTGGTGGTCCCAGTTTTTAAAAAAGGTGGACCAGAGGGTGTGTTCCAACTTTCGGGGGATCACACTCCTCAGCCACCCGTGAAAGGTTAGTGTAAGTGCGCAAATATAGACCATATATTTCACTCTTTACATTGTTTTACAATAGTGTAACGGGTTACGATTTGTCATGGTTGGACCTTTTTGTTGAAGGGGGTGTTCTTGGCCGGTTGTTTGGAGATTTCCGGTTCGGTTGTTTAGAAAGAAAAAAACAGCTAGTTTGAATGGAGATTGTCAACGTTGTTTTTCCTGGAGTTGCGGCCAACAGTAACCCAGAAAAAAGATCTGAAACAAAAAAACAAGTTGGAGTCATTACAATATCTTTAAAAAATCAACAAAAATGTATAGGTGTGACAGCTTTTGTTTTGCCGTGGTGGTGCGATCAATTAGTGTAGACTTTTATTTTGGCTAATGCAGTAGGGAAAATAACGTATTCTGATGCCCAATCTGATTGGTTAGTGAAAAGCTATAGTAACCCCCATTAAGGCGTTTCTGTAGCCCTAGCAGAAACACCTCGCGGCTGTCTCAACCCTGCTCGGTTTTACCGACAGGTGACACAGGCGGCCACCTGGGGACGCAATTTCCTGGACAGGGCACAAAATTGCTGAATAAAAAAAAAAAAACGTTAATCCCTCTCTCAACCTCCAACACACAATGCCCTTTTACAGGAAAACGAGAACATTTTTTAAACATGAACCTTACTGCAGTATTAAGAAATTTACACTCTATACAAATTCCAAATTTTTCATAAAGACATGAAAAATAAAACCTCAACATTAAAATTATTTGCAGTGATCTGGCTCCATCACCTGCAGAGTGGTGTTTAAATATGCAGACGGTCACTGAGCGCTCGCGGGAGTTTCGTAACAGGTCGCACGCAGAGGACGGGTTGTTTAGAAATTAGTGGTTGCAGTTGGTTCACTACCTTGCCATGATACCAATGATGTATGCTATGTTTCTTTGACCTTCTGATCAGAAGTTATTAAGATGTAAATGTTGAATCTGCTAATAACTTGTCTACTTTAGTGAAGTACGTCGCTTTCCTATGAGGCCAACCTGACGCCCCCACCCTTCGTCTGATTTACGTGTTGGAGGAGAACGGTTGCTTCTGATGATTCAGCTAGCTCAACATGTCAGCGCACCATAAATGATCTGGAGTCAAGG